CAGAATTCTAATGGTCAGAAAACAGCGTTTTAGTATGTCGAAATTTACAATTTAGTAGTACTAAATGGGCGAAGGCATATTTAATTAACTATATATTGGATAAGTTGCAGGAAAGTATGGGTAATATCTTCATTCTTTGCAGTTGTCATGGATTAAATGATAAAGGTCTGCATGATTTTGAAAAAAAATATTATTAGCAAATTATTGGGGGACTGCAGCCCCCCCCCCCAGGCCCAGTTGCTACGGCCCTGTATATATGATGCTTGATTAACTGAGAGGGGAGGGGAGTTGAATATTTTGAATCTCTAGAACGTCGGAAATGGCATTTTCAGAGTCTTCATTAATTTATTGATTATGATTCTAGAGATGCTATGAAATTTTATACTCGGAAAATGTACTTCTTCTTCTCCTGAGATCTTATCATCTGGGACACAAATAGGGAATAAAAATTACGAGTCCTGTAGATCTAATTACGAGAGCTATAGCATACTGATTCCCCAAGCTGTCTTAAAAAAGTAGGATTTTATGAGAAAAAGTAGGAAAAAGTAGGAAAATCAAGCAATTTTTAATAAAAAATAGGAAGAGTAGGAAAGTTGAAGAAAAGTAGGAAAAAGTAGGAAAAGTAGGATGGCAAGAAAGCCTGCGCGCGTGTGTGTGTGTGTGTGTGGGGGGGGGGTTGGAATTTGACTCAAGTTGAGAAAGAAAGTAAGAAAAAACACAAGGCAAAAATCATGGCAAAAAAGACTTTGACTGATATTATTATATCGTGTTTAACTATACGTTTTGGAAAGTTAACTGATACTCTTGTACATACATAATACATACATACTGATACTCTTGTACATACTGATACTCTTGTACATTCTTGCATACTTTTTAATTGTTGAACGTGGTTAGTAACTATACTATTTAACTAGAAAACGGACAGTTAAAAAGTAGTTGGGTTTTATGCAATAGTCCTCACACTACCACAGCGTGTATTTCAGTATTTGTCGTCTATGAATGGAAGGGAATGATGATATAATACTGTGCATAAATTAATTCGTGTCTAAAAATTCTTCAAATAATTGTTTTTTCAAACAGCGTTTACTGTAAAATCCCTGCTGGACGTACAATATTTGCGTTCGGGACAAAGGGAGTTCCATATGTTTGATGCCCTATAAACAAATGACTTTTTGACTCGTACTCCGTAGTAGTTCTGAATTTAGGGATGTCATTGTCATTTGATTGTCTTGTGGTGCGCCCACTTCGAAGTCCTCTCCTGTATAAATGTGCACTTAAATAAGTGGGGGCAATACCATTGTCTTTGATACATTTAAACGCCAGAACTGCATCACGTAAATAAAGTTTCTTTGCCACCGGGACCATTTCAATTCCTTCGAACACGGAGTGATGTAATCATACTTGCACATCCTGTGACGTACCCTGGATTCCAGAGCCTTCGACAGTAAATAATAAATTGAAATGTCGCGAAGGCTCTGGTTCAACGGGGCGATTCTTTGATTAAACCGCGCCAATCACAAAACAGAATTAGTGGTTTTAGTACAGATTCTGTTTTGTGATTGGCGCGGTTTAATCAAAGAATTGCCCCGTTGAACCAGAGCCTTCGCAACATTTCAATTTATTATTTACTGTCGAAGGCTCTGGAATCCAGGGTACCTGTGACGATGCGTGCGGCAAATTTTGAACACACTGCATCTTCTTTATATTCACTTATTGCGGTCGATGCCCAAACTGCATGAGGAACAATAATAAAGTTTACTGAAAACTGAACTATCAATGATATTATTGTCGATTTCAAGTCACTTTACAACGATCTGATCTAAAACTTCAGACCAGTCCAACCTCGTCCCCAGGACCTTCGTGCTGAAAAGGCCACAGAAGAGAAAAGGCTCTGCAGACTAGTCCCTAGTCCTCTGTGCACGCTTTTGATTTTTACACCCCAAATTTTGGGGTGTGAATAAACTAAGACCACTTAACTTTAATGCGCGAAATTGATTTGTTCTTCAAAATTTCCTATACTTGCTGCTCCAAGACAAGGTCAATTTGATCTGATCTAAAACTCCACACGAGTCAGAACACGAGTGAACATAAGTGAACACGAATGAACACGAGTTAACACGAATGAACACGAGTGAACACGGATGGAACACGAGTGAACACGGATGGAACACGAGTCAACACGAATGGAACACGAGTGAAATACATGCAAGTCTTAGACTATGTGGACATGGTAACGTTTTCGAGCGTTTTCATTTGTGATTTCACGCCAAAACGGATGCAAACACTGTTAATTTACGACAGAAGCTGTAGTTTATTCTCATATATTGGAAATATTTTCCTTTGGACCGTGTGAACAGGGCGTCAAAACAATTTAAGGAAAAAAAGGTTTTGAAAACGCTGGAAAACGACGCCCGTGTGCACATAACCTTAGTGCCAGGACACTTGCTATATTAATATTAAGACACGTTGTTGTTTTGGGGGAGGAATATGTTTGATACAGTTCAAATTTGGAAAATAAACCATTGCATAGTTAGTTGTTTTTCCAATTTCTCTGCGGACCCTAAAGGCGTTGCAACGTTCTGAAAGCCTGCACGCGATCAGAAAGGTCGTAGCAACCGGGCGTGAGAACAACAGCGCCTACCAACATTTATTGACAAAAATACCTATGAATTATCAAATTCACAAGAAACCCGTTTTGAATCGCCCTTCGCCCCCACATGTCCTTGTGCAGTCCACCCTCAAGAAATTGCTGTCAGCCATGCCCAACATCACAATCCTCGCAAGAATCAATTTTACTTTGTTCGTAGTGTGAGTATTGGCCTATTAATAAGTCGTATTAGTGTTTTTAGTCGTTTAATATTATTATATTAAGACTTGCATGTATTTCACTCGTGTTCCATCCGTGTTCACTCGTGTTCCATTCGTGTTCACTCGTGTTCATTCGTGTTCACTCGTGTTCATTCGTGTTCACTTGTGTTCACTCGTGTTCTGACTCGTGTGGAGTTTTAGATAAGATCACTTGGGAACCTAGACTTGGATCACCGATCAAGTCCGTCTCTCTAGAGTCCGAGGGAGAGCGCGAACGATCACCGAACGATTCCACTTGATCCAAGTCTAGAAGAAAAGAAGAAAAGTGACCTGAAATCGACAATAACTACTGTCTCACGATGAAATAAATGACGTACGTACTGTATCCTATTCATTTGTAACAATGCGGTGTTCATGCAAGACGACAGTTGTCACATGATTGTCATAAGTCATTCTTGTATCCCATGTAATGCCAAGATCTTTTGCATTAGTGGTTGGTTTTAACTCTTTATCCATCAGGGTAAAGGTTACATCGTGTGGCAGCCGCGATAACAGTTTGGGTACTCCAAACAGCATGACCTTAGTTTTTCCTGGATTAATCAGGAGATAGTTGGAACAGCACCATTTGAAGTAAAATATTTCAAATCCGACTATGAGGACTAGACTAGATTTCAAGTCCGCGCAATTTGATCAAGTCCGAGGCGAAGACGAGGACTGGATCAAAATGCGAGGACTTGAAACCTAGTCCAGTCCGAATTGGAGGATTTGAAATGACATTTCATGCGAACAAATCACTACTTATATTTAGTTTGGATCCAGTCCAAGGACTGGATTAATTTTGATCCAGTCCTAGGACTGGATCAATGTACTTCATCAGGTATCCAGTATTATCATGTGAGCAAAATATAGCAATATGGTTGGCTAATTTACTCATGAATTATTAATGAGTTTGAGATCATAGATTGAAGGTTTTGATTTACTTTAGTTACTGCATCGTCCAACCCATTTAAAGTAAATGCCAAAAATAGTTTTGAATCATCTGCGTAACACTCCGTATTGCAATGGTTACAAGCTGTAGGTAGGTCAATATAGGTAGGTCAATATATAAATTAAAGAGTGAAGGACCCAAAATTGATCCTTGGGGAACACCATGACTTATACTTAAGCTGTCAGAGAGAGGTGAGCCAATACTTACAGATTGCTGTCCTCCAGTCAAGTAACTTCTAAACCACCTCACTGCCCAAGCTGATGCACCAATCTTTTCTAGTTTTGCCAAAAGACTAGCTTAAGTCCAACAGCACAAGAACTGTGATTGGTTTACAATCCATATTGCTTTACGAATAAAATAATTTACAAGTATATTCAGCGTCTCTGACTCAGTAAAATGATTGTTTTTGTTCCCACTTTGGTGTCTGGTAAGTAGATCATTTCCAGTCAAATACCTCATGAACTTTTCTAAAGCTATTCTCTCGCATACTTCGGCGGTTGGTCGTATCAGGGATATAGGGCGATTGTTGTTCGCTAGCTCGTGATCGCCTTCGTTAAGGTGGGGGAAAACGTCAGCTAGCTTCCAGTTATCTGGGAAGATGCATGTTTCGAAGGTTGATTAATAATATCAGTCGATCAACGGGATTGAGATGCTGGCCAAACAATCCTCATAAATTTTAATAGGAATCTTGTCGACATCAGGAGATTGATTTCCAGGCATTTTCAAAATGCACGTTTTGACGGCTGTAGTAGTTATGGGTTTAAAATAAAATTGCTGTAAAGTTGACGACTTCGAAAGAATGGTAGCGGATGGCATAACTACATTGAATTCCAAATCTAATTTTGTTACGGATTCAATGGTCATTTTTCCTACGGAAGTAAAATATTCATTAAATTCATCAGCCAGTACCACCCTAGGATCTTTAGTAAACTGTAAAATATTCGCCGGCCCTCCAGATGTAGGAGTAAAGTTGCGGATGACCTTGTTACGTACTCTGCTGTATAAAATTTCCTACCTCAATAAAATTAGTTCTGTTTCTCAAGGATCTGACATTATTTTGGGCAAGTTTTATCCTTTTAAGAGAAGATGTCACTGTTACAGGTAACGAGTGCGTCTCAATACTGTTGCAATTTGAAATATTCCTTTCACAACTAAAATGGTTTCTATGTTTTTTCCCAGTTATTCAAACTGGAATATTTAGTTCGATTTGCTCATCAGGTGAAACAAAGTTCATGTTCTGTATTGTTGATCCCGAGTTGCCCTGTGAACAAAGTCCAAATACTCCCGCCAGTCCTTTGTACGGCGAAAGTCTCGAATCGGAGGAATTCTGCTTTCATGGTACAGCCGAGTAACAGATTGGATAGCCCGTCTCTGTACGTAACGTCTCCTACCTTTACTTTACATATCCATCTAGTGGCGCGTCCTTGTACTTGCTCCAATTTTATCTTTTGGGAACTATAGTGAGGGGACAAGACCTCACTAGCGTAACAGAGCTGCGACTTGACGAGAGCCAAATACAGTGTTCGCCTTACTTTGATATCTGTGAAGAGACTAGGCATGTTCTTTTCGGTAACCCTATCATCCTAATTTCTTTGGCAGTTGAGAATCCCAAGACAGGTTGCATGGATATTATTACACCGAGATATTTTTCTTCGTTAACGTTAATGATGGGGAACAGGTCGAGATCGTGGGGAAAGGAGATAGGTTGTTTCTTCAATTCTTCCGAGTAACTGACATCGTCTTAATTGCATTTAAACACATTAAATGAAGTAATGTTGTTGCTACTCCAATTAGTCAAATTAGACAGAGCTTGCTGTAGGTCATGAGTATCACAGTTTAGAACTTATTCCTCTGAAAGCTTTGGTGTCGTCAGCATATAAGGCAACCTCTGTTCTCTGTGGCACAACATTCGGCAGATCGTTTATAAATAGCACAAACAGCGTTGGTCCCAGTATACTGCCCAGCATGAGGCACACCAGAACTAACGCCGGAGTGTCCAGTCAGAAGCAACCCTTCCATAATAACTACTCTTTGAGTCCGATTAGCAAGATAGTCTCGAAACCAATTAATTAAGTATACCCCTTTTACGCCATAAAACTCAAGTTTTTCTACAAGTAAACTATGATCGACGGAGTTGAAGGCTTTAGCAAAACCTAAATACAGAATATTAGTCTGGATGTTTTTGTCTACGTTTTGTCCTATTGAATGAAAAAAAATCGTCATCTTTCCAGACCCAACAATTTAAATAATTGGTATATCTGTCTAATAGTTTCCTGAAGTCTATTATCATTTCTTTACATTTCTTAGCGTTCGTTTAAATTTTAAGCAAACAGAACTACATTACCTATATTCTTTTGATAATTTCTAATTGGCTTCCCACATGGATGCATGGTTGGACACATCAATCACTTCTGGCCCGGTGGTATCATCCAAACCGAATATAACTGGATCTTCACTTGAACCTTCGCAATATATTTACCGGCTAAGGCAACTATATTCCTACTCTGAATATTCATATTCTCGCCCCATGTAAGGTAATCCAGGACTTCAGAATCCCCGACTTTTAATAGCTTTGCAATCCAAAATCCAAACATCGGAGGAATCCTTATCCTAGGCCAATTTTCTGGAATCCGGAATCCAAGGAGCGGAATCTGGACTCCAAGGAGTGGAATCTGGAATCTAAGGAGTGGAATCTGGGATCCAAGGAGTGGAATCTGGAATCCAAGGAGTGGAATCTGGAATCCAAGGAGTGGAATCTGGAATCCAAAGAGTGCATAGATTATCTTGCATGGGCCGAATATTCCTACGCTTGATATTTATATTCAATTATTAAAACTACTTTAAAACCTAGACCCAGTGTTTAATATATTCAATTCTCAATTTTGGAGTCAATTTCGGTCAATGATGGGACGAAATCCGTCGAACACTTCATCAACGTCGCACTTCAATAATGTGCTGCGTCGAATAAACTCATTTAAAATTTTCTCTCGAATAAAAAATTCAGCAACATTTAATTAGACAGAAATTCGACGAGAAATTCTAAAAGTAGTATGCAGGGTACTAAAAAGTCTGTAGCCCAAAAATATGAAGTCGAACACCAAAAACACAGTGTGACGCTATAACTTATGGACACATGATATTGACGTTGCATACTACCGATGTATACTATACACTACCGATGTATACTATACCGATGCGATGTCATGACCTTTTAATTTTTTATGTATGATTATTTAATGTATGCATGCAAAAGACGCAATGCTTGGATATGATGTTGAACATGTCTGTTTGCTGTCGTATGTATGTGATCTATGTGATCTATATATGTTATCTATATATGAAAATATACAAAAGATAAATAAAGCATGGACGATTAGTATGTGTTATATTGATGCATTGAGAAGTGAGATTCAGCTTTATAGTGAATATAGTTTTATATTATTATGAAATATGAGTATATTTGACGTTATTCGCAAGATATTTCCCAGTTCCGATTCATCAAGTACAGATCGCTTTCATCATCATGGACATAGTAAAGAAGTAGCCAGGGAATTTGTAGAAGATGAGTGTTCACATCCAGTAGAATACAATCCACATTCCAACGTCTATGCTGGCAGACGACGAACTGCTAATGTCACAAGTAGGCGTTCTTCTAATATCACTTCAATCGCAATACGGTCATCGAGTAAATCATATACACAACCAGACTTAAAAAGCCAAAGGGAGAATACACGCAAAGGATTTAAAGATATCTTCTCTTTGTCAGAAAACGCAAGGTGTTCAACAGAGTGTGTTAAGACAAGTAACACTTCAACAAATGTTTCATTACTTCCACGTTCAACGGCTTCAACCGAATCTCATCAAGTCTATTGCTATGATCAGAGTAAAAATTTCAACGATGATAGTGTCAGTGTACAAACACATCGGCAAAATCCAAGACCAAATCATTCCAAGCCTACTTCAGCGGAGTACAGCACTACACGTGTTGATTATAGGGAGATTCATAAAAAAGCATCAGACATCAAAATTTTGCAAAGCACACTGAAAACAAAGTCTTTTGATTTGGATGGAAGCTGCCAATCAAGATACCCGACAGTAACTTCAGAACAAGCTAAAGAAAGCAACACTACAATAAAGCCAGGTCGTGGTAAATGTTTGCCACCTCCTTCAGTTGCGTTGCACAATCCAGTTGGCACTACAATCTCCTGTCTTAAAAGTAAGTCCTAGCTACAAGATACCCGCCATTTCACATCACAAATTTATCAAGCTGTACTGTAGTGTAGACCTTTCTTATAATGGCGTCAAACGCGGAAAAACGATGCCCCAAGGGACAATTTGTAGCGACAATTCGCAATGCAAATGATGTTTTTATTAAATTTACTGGCTCGCCAACGACTTGATTGCACTGTGGGACCTCGCGCAAAAATTAGTTTTCCACGTTTGACATCATTATAAGAAAGGTCTATTAAAGTGGTAGTCAAGTCCGTTTTGCGCATGTATTGACATTCGATACACAAACACCTATTTTATTTCTATTTAGCAAATAGTTATATCTTTACCAGAAAGAAATCATGTATATTTTGAATAAGTACATGACAACTTATACATTTTGTATCTTATAAGCACGATAACACCTTCAAATTGTAAAGTGTGTCGTCATTTACTTCGTTCAACCGCCAAGGTTGCTCGAAATTTGGACAAATTTTGTACCAAGACTAGCTGAGGCTGCTGGTGCCCTTCAAAATCTGCCCTTTGGAGCTAACTTTTCTCTTCAGCAGCTAAATTTTCTTTTCAGCAGCTCAATTTTATCGTTCGTGATCAACACAGATCGGAATATTAATTGAATTATCTATTGTTTAAACCGCAGTAATCAATATGTAAATAAAACACACTGAGCAGAACGGACTTGAGAACTTGACTGCCACTTTAAACTTTAAAGCGGTACATATACTCTGATCTCTAGTCCAGCATTACATGACTTACATCCAATCCTAAAAAAAATCTAAACATTTTGCCGATTAAAACTCGACCTAGTAGACCTTAGAACTGCTTACGTCACGCAATTCTTTATAATAGAGAGAACTTCTGGAATGCACAGTGCATTGTGGGGGTGGGGGGGGGGGGCATTGTGGGATACTTTTTGGTCAATAATTCATTGTTTGAAAATTACGTGACGTAAGCACTTCTAAGGTCCATTTTACCATCTGGGTTCTCGGAGACTGCATACCTCTGCTACTTTATGTATCATGCTAAATTATGCTAATTGCGCATTCAGTTTACTCTGCCCAGCAAGGTAAGACAAACTTTTGCTAATTTCTCATCCAATTTTCAACCAAATTTAATCACAATTTACTCAATTGGTCCTTGGGCAATGTCCATTAGTTCCCCAAATTTTCGTATCAATATGTTTGATAGTTTTTGAGTTATCGTGCTGACAGACAAATTCACACAAACAACTCGTGCAAACGCATTTTTTGACCTCCTTTGCATTAGAGGTGTGCAAATCCGATCCGATCGGATTCGTTCGGATTTCGGATCGGAATTCGATATTCGAAATAAAGTGAATTAATTATCCACGCATTATTGCAAGAATTAATTATTCATGCATTTATCAAAGCATTATCGCGGTTGTCGCTGCATTTTTCGTTTGATACTTCAATTGGACGTCACTTTGTCAGCTTCTTGACATGTATTCCTTGTTTTTATATTTATTTGGTTAAACATTTCAACTTGAATGAGAAATTTATTTTGTTAATTTAAAGGATTCTTCGGATCGGATCGAATTGAAATTCTTTATCACAACTCGGATTCGGATTAGACAATTTCGGATCGGATCGGATTTTAAACATTAGCCAATTGTCGGATTATAAACGTCCAATCCGATCCGATGCACACGTCTACTTAGCATTAGCATGCGAAACTCGAGGTACGAAGGAATCATTTTTATTTTTTAACTATACCTGGTTTGCGTGGATTTATTTTATGCTTGTCCCAGGCCTTTTGCTTACAGTCAAAATATACCACTTTTGCGCATGCCCATTCCAAACGGCTGTGTAAAAAATCAAAAACGCTATATCCTTGATATGTTTATTATTACTCGGTAACTGTGTGCAGTTTGACTCGACTAACAGCATATGATTGTTTTTCAAAATCATTATTTAGCTCCCATGACTAAAATGACTCTGAAATGGCCGAATCCTGCTAAGTGCCTTGATTATCAACAAATGGTTAATACCTCGTGCATGTTAAAACTGAATTTTAACCTTTTAAATTAATGGCTTTAGCCAAATTTTGTTGGTACCAAAGTTTCCGTGGGGCATCACACCGATCTAGTGGCGTGGGGCCCTTTTCGTTCTGACGGGCCCCCCTCGCCAAAAATTGCGCTACTGGTTGCTGAATTGTAAATGAACTGTTTGGATTCATTACACTGACCTGTAAGGCCAAGTGTCTTAAATCCCTAACGCCCGTATTCTAAACGCTCACTCACACTCAATGAGTGGAAGCCGTTCAATCTAAGCTTCTCTCGACTGTCATTGCTGTTTTCGAGTAGCTGGAGGGCTAGTAGCCTAGTGTTATACCTTACTATGTGACCACTCACGCTCCAGCTTCAAAAACAGCATTGACACTCAAGAGAAGCTCAGATTGAACCTCCACTCATTGAGTGTGAGTGAGCTTTTAGAATACAGTCGTAATTCTCTAATTTTCTGTGTTTTTCGTCATCGAGAAATCGAGTTTGCGTTAGCGCATCGCAGGCTCAGTTTCCAGTGTTCCAGTTTACTATACAGATCAGTTTTCAAGATGGCGGCCATTCAATGAGTGACTGCTATTCACTGCCATTTCAGTCTCAAACAATTTCTTAATTTGTCAACGAATTTTACCGCGTTTTTCTCTGGATTTTGTATTTATCCTACTCTACACTTTCTTGGAAGTTGACTTGGTATGTTTTGTTCGTGCAACGTCTCTGGAAATGCGATATCTGGATCGCTGAGTTTATTGAATATCGTTTATCGAATTTTATACGTTACGGTCTTACGGACTTACGGAATGTAAAGAATGTTGTCTGCGTTAGCGCATCGCATGCTCAGAGACCATGTGCATTTATGGATAACGTTTGTATTTGTGGGTAATACTTGTGTAACTTGTGTGACGTTGGACATTTAATACGAAAACATCTCCTCAGGATAACTTAGGATAATTTTGCGTATCCCACCCACTCATGTATCGATCACGCCACGCTTTCAGCCCCCCCCCCCCGCTTTGCGTTTGCGGTTCACGATTTGTATTCCTTGTCTATTACACCATAGCGCGTATGTCGTCATTTTCAGGAACATGTAAGACAGCCACCAGTGTTGCCTTTTTGGTCAGATATTTTAGATAGTGAAAACGATCTCAACCTGTGAGAGAAAATGAACATCCATTTTACTATATTACATTTCGCAGATACTTATCCTGAAAAAAAACACATTGCACTAACACCAAACAGTCATGGTGTAACAAAGTCAAAAGTCGCATGAACATGTTAAACCGTGTTGCCGTAATTTGGCTTCAAATGGCCTAAATTGGCTTGTGCTGATTGGCTGATTAAACTAGCAGCCAATCAGTGAATAAAAACCTGGCACGGCGAGGTCTTGGAAACGGAATATCTGACATTAACGCGGATGCCGCTGATAGAATAGTTTCAGGGAAACATCTTTTACTATTCTTCCACCACATTGTCAATTATAATCTACAGTCAAAGATCGTACAAATGCGACAACAGTTAACAATCCACCTAATGTGCAAACCAAACACCATACGTATCCAATGCAATGAAAGCAGAACCAATGCCATTTCAGTCTATTTTATCACATAATGTTTTCTCTCTTGCAGATTCCTTCACAGAATCAAACTTACAAAGACTAAACCACTCCAGTGAAACTGCAAAATTCCTCTACCCCCGGATTACAACCGTTCCTGCAGTATTGGTACCTTATAAACAGAGTGCATCAGGGGAATCAGATGATGATATAGTTATAAAACCACAATATTCGTTACGGAATTTCACCACCAAACTGCAAACGAAAGACGAAAGCTTTAAACCAGGGAATGATGTCATATATCATAATCAATGGACTGAATGCACCGCTCGGATCTTTGATGAGTTCGACAACATTGTCCGTACACAAAAGACGGTGGAAGTAAGCAGCAATTCGTGGCACGTAGAGATACAAAAAAATAACACCAAACTCAAAAAAGGTCGTCTTCACTTCAGCATGAAATGCAGTGCAACAGGAAACATTTCGATATTAATAACGATCAATAATTTTGCACTAACCAAAGAATTCTACGTGACATTCAATCCTTGCTCGAGTTCTTTGTCAGATATGACAATCGAGAAAATCAATCCGGCAGAAGACGAGTTTGTATTTCGAGTCTTCATTTTTGATGTTTTTGGTGAGCCAGTACCTTTAAACTCAACTGCAAATTACGAAGTTGATGCAAGTTTCCGATCTTTTGAAAATAAAGTCGTACGTGAAGAAAAACATATTGAACAGGAACAAATTTGTTATGATATAACAGTGAGAGGAGACAGACCTTGGTCTCGAGATCTTGTTGTACTTCTTAATGGTAATGGAGAACAAGTTAGTCATGTACGAGAATTGGAATTTACAGATAGAATGCGACGCTATAAATGATCTTGAGGACGAAGATTATGAATATATTCAGAAATTTTTTGACGAAGGCGATTGCGGGATATTTATACCTTTAACAACAGGCGAAGATGACGGAAAGTTTGTAACATATGATGAAAATGACTGCGAGTTACAGTCACAGAATAAAAACCACAAACTTATTTGTAAGAATGTAAGGAAATACGATATATTGGGTGCAGACTTTGCACATGTCGACAATATGAAAAGAGTTCTTGAACTTAAAGGTCGTATTGAAGTCCAAGAAGCTGAGGGCTGTGCCATCATTGATCTCAGAAATATTAAGTCTCACCTTTACCCAATTCGTAAAGAAGTTGTTCAACATCTTCTTCGTGGCTTATATTACCGAAAGAAAGCTTCAGAAGCGGCCAGAATTAGGAAGGAATGGAAAAATAGGCTTATCAGTATTGATGAAGTATTATGGTTAGACAAGAAGACACCGAGCTTTATGTTTTGCAAGTATTTCAAAGATTTCTTTGGCGATTTATTAAACAAATACAATCGTGAAGCTTGCGAAGAACTGTTCAAGTTTTTCAATTTTCTACGAGATGAAAGCGAGGTAGATCTTCATGGTTTGCTTGTTGCAGATGAGAAGAAGTTGGAGTTGCTGAGATTGAATTTGTTGATTGGCTCTTTAAGTCAAGAACAAATCAAGAAAATCTTGAAAATATGCAAAATAAAGAGTAAACAAAATCGAGAGAGACAGACGTTTAAGAAGAAATTTCGAAGAGGGAAAGTGCCTGAAGACGTAGTTAAAGACGTTATAGAAGGTGGTCGCAATGAACCGTTATCCGACGAATTGGAACGCAAGTGCTCCGATGAAGACTGTAGTTTATGGTTCCAGAACGACCCTGACGATTACGGTAGCCGGTATTACGACACCGATTTGGAGCCGTTGAGAAGCAGTGAACGTAGTGAGTGTCTCCAGAAAGACACAGAGTCGTCCACACGCTGCAATGTCCGCAGTGAAGATGTGGATGCTATCATCAGAAGGTGCAGACTGGAGAGTGATGAAGCTATCCGGAAATTGAAAGAAAAATTGGATAAATTTAATCTTCAAGACGCAATCAAGAATAACACACCATGGCTGGAGATCATAGTTGGAGCTGGTCGTCACAGTAGAAAGAATGAACAAAATATCCGACCAAAAGTTGAGAAACTTCTCAAAGAAAGAAATCTTCAATGTACTGCTGTGAACAAAGGATCACTTGTAGTCACATTTCAAACCTACAGTGGTCCTGAGCCTTGTTTTGGAGAATATTATTGTGAGAAATGCGACCGATGTTGGAAAAGCAGTAAAAGTTATGTCGGAAAGTATCAGAAATGTGCTCGCTGCAAAGTCAATTGTTGGCCAGTCAAACAACGGGAAAAAGAGAAAGTCGTAAATTACCATCGTGATAGTGCTGGGCCTGTGAAACGTCAATCTAAACCTCATCAATCAAGTCTTTGTCAGAAATGTCAGGAATTAAGACGTCCTTGCAACGATTCTTATTAAATGAATATCCTGAACAATAACTTGGCTCTAAGATCTTTTAACTTGACATTGTGACCACTGGCCATACATCTTTCATCTATGAATTTGAAATTTTTTAATTGCAATCATATTAATATTATGGCGCTGATTGAACAGCATCATTCTGGATTTGAAGTAGCAGCAAAGCCAGCAATGTTAATAAGAATAACTGGAATGACCTGTCATAACGATAGCGCCGATTAAGGCTCTTAACTGTTAGGTTAAGATTGGCAATATATTAAAACATATGAAAAAATTCATGATGAAATACAGAACAGGCTGGGTGTTTTGGACTTGTTGCCAGCGATATTTTTTCGAGAGCATGTGAACTGAGCTATGAGAGTTCGTCAGAGCGCTGCACCAGAGCCGCGGGTTCGATTCCTACCCGAAGGCCTATAGGTGCATTGTTCGCATCTGCTCCTGGTTGAGGTCGGCTAAAAATGTATAAAATTTGCATAACAATATGGAAAGCACGAAAAATGCTATTCTTTATCCTACTTTGTTTACAAATCCGTCACTTATTGTTCTCAACTATTTTTAGTTATCTGCAAAGAGAGGTAAAGAGCCTATTAATGTTCATATCTCTGAGGATTTTTTACTGGACTTGAATTTTGAGTTTGAATGAATTTTCATTGTCAATAATTGCAATTGCATGCTTCCAACATGCAGCTACTATACACAATTTAGATAATGACAAGTCATTAGGCATTAATGAGTCATTAGTTTATACTAATGAGTTTTTAACGATACGTGTTTTGTTTTGTGAACATTTTTGTGTTTGTTGTACGTATTTTGATGCGTAGGTTACCGAAGAAACGCTGCAAATGGTTACTCGAGTTTCGCAAACGAAATTGTGAATACTGGAACATCTGTCGTACTTAACTGAGGGGAATTGCAGGTACTGCGGTATACAATGTGGGTAGGTTCCTTACAGGAAGTCGACAAGCAACGATCATGTTTAAGCATGCATGCAGGACACCAACGTTAAGTCCACTTACAAACACACTTGTTGAATTTTACTTTAATTTGTTATGGTTTGTGGAAAACACCACGTTTATTATTTATTATTAAGCTTTCGATCAGTAAACCCAGATCTTCTTCAGTACTGATAAATTAGAACTTATACTTGTTGAAATGTACGACTTTATCGTTTCCTACTTGTATTAACCATCGCATGGATGATGGATTTGATATAGGCTGAAAGGTTACGAGACTATAACACGATGACGAGGTTTTACTGAGCCTCTTTAGAAAACTGCTTGTTACTGCTCACGGGCTTGAAAAGTATACAAAAATATGTATTCCTGGGTTCCATTAAATCATCTATATGATGGATTTTTTAGCCGAAAGCAGTCGTCCTTACGTCGTTACGAGTAATTCCTATGCCAAAACTCCTTTTTGATCCTTTGCTATTATCCTACTATAAAGCTAGTAATCTCTACAGCATCTCCCACACTGGAACCAAAAGAATCCACCTTAGGCCTCTTGCAAAGCAGTTACCGTGTGTTCAACTAATTAATAGGGTATGTTGTCTGTCTGAAGTTAGGTATGATATTTCAGACGTATTGACCTATATATAGGTCTGAAATTTGGGCCAGGTCTGAAATATGAGGGTAAGCGTTTCAATAACCTGGGAGCTCACCCATGCAAAATATCAGTTGTGCGTATTACTCCATATTTTGGGGTTCTGTTTCGCAGTAAAAGATCTTTACCATTTGCCAAAAGATTTTATTAAAAGCCAACAGATCAGTTGTACTAAAAATATTTAAACTTGAGCGTTCACAGTCTGCCGATATGTAGAGATTGTGGATTTCATACTTGTCAACCTTGACAGATTACAAACAGACGTGGACATTTTGAACAAGAGTTAATAAGATCACTTTAGATTTCATCGCCACTCGCTTTCTAGAGGACATGCACTATATGAACACCGTCAAATATGGAAGAACACGACAGAACTTTTATTAATTGAATGCAGTTTATAATATATTTTTATAGGGGAAATATTCTGTCTGAGAATGATTCAAAATCGTTCCCAAACTGCGCCGCGTTCAAGGAATCATTCCAGGACACAGGATATTAACACCCGCTTATCAAGCACAAGAGTTCATCAACCAAACATCGCAAACAAACTTTCTCCCACCCCACCCTTGGCTGTTCCGAGAAACATATCAATTCCCAAAACATCTGGTAAGAGAAATGATAGATTGTATAAGAGAGCTAAATCTGCACCACCAGGATCTCGGCCACATTCAAGCAGCATTCTTGATATTCGGGGGAAATATTTCGAGCAGAATGGTAAAACTTTTGATATGATGTCCTACTTGAAGAGTAGATCATTTCCTCGCAGAATTCATCGTCTAATCAATGAAACTCCGAACAATGCATCAGAAAATAAAACCGAAGATAACAGCAGTTCACCAGCTGATGATGATGCAGAGGACGCTTTATCAGCTAGTCAAATTGGCTTAAAAAATAAACAACTTTTAGAGAGAAGACGAGGACTTCATCGGCAGAGATCTATGAACAGATCCGGGGTAAGTGTATCGAAACGTTGGGTCGACTGGGATGTGCATGTATTTACATTTGCATAGAGATTTCGTACCGAGAATAATCAGTAGTTATCCTATGCACGTATCATCGTGTTTTCACTTTTCACAAAGCGAATAAGTGAGTGCAATGCATGAGCGAAGAGTTTGGTTTGAGTAAATTAAAGAGTGAAATTAAAGCATGCACATGTCTTTCATTGGACAACTATGTATGCACATGCCTTTCATTGGATTGGCATTTTTCCCCACAGGATGTGATACAAATTTATCATCTAGAGTATAAATGAGAGAAAGCATAAGAGAGCACAACTCAGTACAAAATAAGATCGCTTTAAGGTTGGCTCACATTTTAGAACGTATTCCAATAAAATATTGTCGATTTTTTGCCATTTCCTCAATTTTTCAAAAACGTAAATCCCCCCAAAAATGAAGAAGCTAGTCCATGTATACGTTTGTCGATTTTGGCCATTTTTTATATGTTTTTGTAAATTTTCAAAAATGACAAAACATCAAAACACCTTTTGAGTTTGGTGTATAAAGAGTTAGTTTAATCTCTACAGCATCTCCCACACTGGAACCCTGATATTACCGTGCAATGTTTTAACCTTTCTTTTTAGGCTCGTGCAAAGATCATGCGAACATTCCACCGTGTTCTGCTCATTTGTCGTGTCGAGTTAATCATGGCTAAGCATTCAATAGACCTAGTGCCTGCAACAAAGAAACAGATTTCATGGAGTGAAAAAAGACACACGAGAGAAGCCGCAGAGGTTTTATTTAGTAAATCTTTGTACCAGAAACAACCAATGGTTAGTGTTATCAAGGGGTTTGCAAAGTAAATACATTCGAATTTCATCTCTGTAAGCGGGATAAAACTTCATATGAAGAACAAACGTACAGACATGTTGTGTTCAACTGTTCCAATTATCCGTGTGGGTCCGTGGACACTGATATACAAATGATTAAATAAATCACTGAATAACACCCCGGCTGACTGAAACCTGACATTAAAACATCCCTGAACCCTAACCATCATGTAGTGAAGTCTTTAAACATGGTCTCTGGTGGTTATATAGAGTTTACGCGAGGGGAAAATTTAGGCGGCTTGAGGAAAATTTGGCAATATTAAAGTTCTCAATATTTCTTTTTTAATACACGCCGTGTTTCCCTTAGCTTTCATCATTTGCGCGATTTTTAACAAGAATCTGCCCGAGGACTGTAGTCCCCCCCCAGCCCCGTACGCATGGGTTCACGATTGTTCTATAGGGTCAGGTATAAGTCAGTGTTATCTTATTTATTTTATGCAGTTGCACTTTTAGTTTCCAGAGGACATATAACCCAAACTTCTTCAGATATATCGGCACGAAAATTCCCAGACCTGGAAAAGTGTTTAATGTTTCCTTTTTGAAATGTTTCTCAAAAGTGCAAAAACTACATTATGGAAATAGGTGATTCGAGCTATAGACTAGATTTTGATCTAGGCAAGAAGAACGACATCCAACACGACAACAGCTAGAAAGAACATCTTAGAATGAGTAAAACTGCAAAGTTTGGTTGCTAAATGTTGTAAAATGGAGAAAATGTAGCCCTGTGAAGTTCGCAAATTTTGTATAAATTTTAATTACGCACGGTAAATTAAAATAACCACTTCCCACCGGGCACACGACGTTGTTTCAACGTTGAAATTTGGTAGAAAAAAGGTTGCGACGTCGACAACCTAATATCTACGTTGCTCTGACGTTGTTTTACAAACATAGGTTCAACAGCAGCCAACAGACGTTGAATTAACGTTCATTCATGGTTAAATGTACGACGTCGATTTGTGAACCAATCTCAACGTTGTTTTAACGTGGATTCAACGTTGAATTATAGTTGACGAGATTGGCAACCTAATTTCAACGTTGTTTCAACGTCGAAACAGTAACGTCGATCCAATTTGCATAGTCAACCCTTTTTCAACGTCTATCCAACGTCTGGAAGGTCATTTCCAACGTTGATTCAACGTTGGATAAACGTCATTTTGCCCGCTGGGTTTCGGCTCAAAAATGGTTATAATTTTTCACGCGCGTAATGCAAATATATACAAAATTTGTGAACTTCACACGGCTATATTTTCCTCATTTTCCGGCAACCAAACTTTGAAATTTTACTCATTTGGTAATGGATTTCACTATGGTAATGGTTTCGTTGTTCTTGTCTAGATCAAAATTTCGTATATAGCTGGAATTATCTATTGGGCCGCCGCACTTACTGGCTCATGTGTGCAACAATCGAGTTAATGGACACATGTACTAGTGTTTTGAATTTAATATTAATTGTTTCCTCACAATTCTCCAATGAAGAATGTTTAAAAGTTTGAAAATATCCTTCCATCTTGTTGATGAACCAAGACCAAATGTACATCAGAAGTCAGGATCCCGATCACATTCAATATTTTTTGCAGGTCTGAAAATTTTCTATAGTCCGACTCGTTTGTTTCATTTGTAGTAAGTGAAATATTTGCTTTCTAATCTATTATTTTCTTAGATATATTCTCACGTACCAAAATGGGCAGAAGTAATATTGAGAAAACCTCCAACGGAAAGAACGGACAGAGAAATAATGCAAATCCATGCAATGATGCAGGGTCTTCTTGCTTATGATAAATTTACCCGCAGAATTCAAATTGCAATGTGTCGTTCAATGAGATTTTTAAGGTATCTGTAGTCTGATGCTAACCAGACAGAGAGAGTATAGTTGTGTTTTCGTAACTGCCCCCAATTAGGTCTAAAATTAGGTCTAATGTTGTTTCTCGCTTAACCTTTTCCAACCACGAAAAACATTTAACATTGTCATTGACATTGTGTTCTGTCATGAGAGATGCCTATAATATCTATCTTTTAAAATTAACGTTTGCATTTTTTTGTAACAAAATTTTTTCAAACTTATTGATTTTTCTCTTTGTCGGGTTGACCATGGGGTTCCGTGTTTCTGAAGATTTTTCTCATCCCGCGACTTCTTGAAATCCTGATCACGCCATTTTTCTTCTTTTTTATCTCATTACCTGCAGTTACAAAAACGAAGGCAATCTTCCATTCTATATTGTGAACCCTCAACAAAGATTTCAATATATGAACTAATCACTTGTTCACGGCATTGTCTCGTTACCTATGGTAAACAGTTTATATATATTCTTTATAATCAATCTCGAAATTTATTTTCTCTTATATTTTAGGATCAAGTATCCACGTGTTATTCTCCGTAAGGGACATGTTGGACAGGCATTTTATTTCATTTTCAGCGGTTCTGTTTTTATCAATATCGAAGGACTTCATGTTGAGACAAATGAAGTAGTTTATAAAACTGTTAGTATTTTACAGCGTGGCGATGCTTTCGGGGTAAGTAAGCAATACAGAAAAATCAGAGCACAGTAGATTGTGGTAGGCATAGTGGTTAGTTCGAGTTCCTTTCACTTTTGCGGCCCATGTGAAATTCATTATATGCCGTAAGGCCTGTTTACACTTACAATTTTTGCTGCGATTTTAGGTGCGATTTTCTTCTTCTGATGGATGTGAATATTCAGATGAGGGTACATCGGTACATGCACTCCGAACATTCATAACTCATCTACTCGTTCACATGCATCAGGAGAAAATGGAACTAGAAATTGCCCATATCCATAGCATGGAAACATACAAATATTATGGATAATCAAATCCATTCTATTTCCAATAAAGGTCCATATACAATTTCCATTCTATGGATTTTCAAATTTTTTTCCAGTGACTGCAAGGCGTCTTGCTGCCTCAAATGCAAAGTGTTCGAATTGTGCATGCATGACAATCTTCCCTCTGACGCATGTTTCATGTACACTTTTGTTACGTTTCATGTACATTTTCAAATGTACAGAATTTACTTGACATGAAAACTATACTACCTGTTCTGCTAGAAGTTCATCTGATCGTACATCCAGTGTTATTACAGGATGAAACCGAATTATCCAGAGCAAATTTGCCTATCTGCGGTTTGGGAGGTACAAACTGGAAGCACTCATATCAGTATTGAAATAGTAGATATGCTATGGATTTCATAGTATGGATTTCACATATTTTCCCCAGTGACTTGCACTTCTTGGGGGAGACCCATAAACCATTTACTCAGCTTCGCCACGGTTTTCAACAAATATCTCGGCGTTTGGATGATATAACACGCTTTCGCATGTTTGATATAATAAGTTGCCACATGTCATTTCACTATTTTCACAACCCTTTACCTTTATTTATTTTACTGCTTCCAAAACGGAATAAATCACTTTTTCTGGATATTCTTCTTTGAAGGAAGTGGCCTTATTACGGAACATACGTCGTACAGCATCTGTGGCAGTCAAGGAAGATGTAGAACTAATGGTCGTAGATAAATATGTATTTGGTAAAGTTTGTTCCGAGATTTATGAACGAGAGATGAGAGAGAAACTGGAGTTTTGTCGGTAAGGTATTACAATTATTAGTCGTTACTACGATACTCAGTTGAGAAAAAAAACAAACTTTGTTTCAAGATAGAGAAATATTAACCGAAATTTTGAAAGATTGTTTCAAACGAGGTCCTTTTTCGGTTTTGACAATATTCTCCGCATAGTCTCCTTGGCTATTCCTACAGGTTTAAACTTAATCTTTAATATTCATAGAAAGAAGATGTTCACACTACACTTGTAATCATTTTTGTATTAATTTTGGAAAATAAAATAAACTAAACCAAACAATGAACGCTATTTTAGCAACATAGTTTTAAAATTTGTGACTGCCATAAGTTCGTGACTATATATACTCAAATTTACACAAAAGATGTTGGATTTAAGTTTTTCCCATTTTAGAAATTTACCACTATTTAAACATTGGAGAGAAGAAGCAATAAAACGTATTTGCCAAGATTCTCAGATACACGAGGTAATTTATTTCTACTGGACTAAGACTATAGGAAGCATTTAATATAGCTAGATTTCAAAAATCTAAAGCATTTAGAAATGCAAATACTATTTATGAAAGAATCGTTCTCGTTTTTAGTACAAAGCAAACAAAATAATTGTACGAAACAGTAAGGACGAAGAAGATTGGATTTACTTTTGTATGGAGGTGATAAGTCAAAATTATTTTATACAGGTTTTTGCAAAATAAATGTAATCCCCCAAAACATTACAAGTTCATGATCCAGTCAGAATGGGTGTCTATATATAAAGCCTGCCGCACACGAAAGCAACTTGCTGAGCTAACCGCCTCGCGTGGCAGCTAACTCGGCAAGTTTCTCTCGTGTGCGGATAGTTTTCGTAAGGAATTGACCTCTCGTGGCCTTGAGGAACATCTATCGTGTTTGATTTCACCTCGCGAGGAAAAAATCTCAACGTCTGCGGATGTTGTGAGCTTAGTGCTGAGCTATTTGCATCAATTAGCCAACGAGAAACCATAGTTTCTTCATGTGACTTTGAACACAATGGAGGAAAGTGCAAACGAATTTGTCAATTATGTTGTTGTTGAGAAGTTTTCCCACCGTGTGTGAAAATACATAGCTGAGCTAGCCGCCACGCGCAGCAAGTTTCTCTCGTGTGCGGCGGGTTTATAGGCGCAATCCTTATATATAAACTCGGATGGTCTGTGCCAGCGTAGGTTGGTGACAATAACACCAGAAACCTGTGGGTTGAGAGAGATTCAACTACCTGTATACAAATAATGTTGTATTTTTCAGGCAGTTGAATCCTTCTCAATTCCCAGCTTTCTGGCAATCGTTATATACCCAACCACCCAAGATATGACGTCATCGGCCAACAAGGTGGAAAATACTCATTTGAAGTAAGTTATCCCTATTCAAAGTTTGATGATTCATATTCATGTGCCACGCATCCATGCCTTTGACCATAATAATTTTTGGTGGTAATGACACGCGAGTATTCTTACCAATGTTTTAATTAACTCACGAGTTACTACCATTGACAACAACCTTTAGAAGTGCTTACGTCACACAATTTTCAATCCATCAAAACATTCGGTATGCGCAATGCAATGTGGCATACATGTAGGTCAAATACTCATTGTCTGACAGTGGTCAATTATTATTGTCAAAAACGTTTCTTGGAAGCGTCGCACATGAATCATCACACTTTGGATATGGATAACAGTAGCTTTCTTCTACAAAAGTATTTCTTCCTTGTTCGCTGAGATGTCATAAAGCGAGTATATATAAAGAGCCACATGGTGATTTTAGATCACTCTTAAGCCTGTTTTCCACTAGGCGGAATTTTGCGCGCGGAGCGGAATTTTTCTTTGTCTTTTCTAATTAGTTCCACCCGAGAAATCACAAGACAAAGAAAATTTCCACTCCGCGCGCAAAATTCCGCCTAGTGGAAAACAGGCTTTAATAAATACCAATGAAGACAAAAGTGTTATTAATGTCTTGCCATGAATGCATAATTTTTCGGAGATTACATTCATTCACTTAAGAGAGAGTAGCGAAACATGTCTAATGTTACACCCGGTTGTCGTGGACGCTTTCCAACATGTGAAGACGTTTTATATTTAAAGGTCAATTTCCACTCAAGAAAAATTTCCACGGACAGAAAATTTTCCGAAAATATCATTGTTAAAAGTTGAACATTCTCAACTTCAAATTTTTTTCAGACGGAAAATTTGTGTCGGCCAATCGCATTTTACAAAATTTGCAACTGTGGAAATGGGCCTTAATTAAGAGTAGTATATCATGATTTCAGAGTCAATGCGGTGTGATTAAAGCACAGGAATTCAACGTGAAACCCAAACACTCATCAACTTCTATTAGAATGTTGCTATCTTTCTAACGTTATTCAATCAGACGTTTTAAATGTAGTATATCACGATTACAGGGCCGATGTAGTGTTACTAAAGCACTGGAATTTAACGTGAGACCTAAACATTCCTCAAGTTTTGTGTCTCGACGTTTGGAAGAAGAGAATTGCTATCGTGGTTGGTATCTTTCTCTTGGCGTTACAGACTCAGAAACTGGCAGGACACGTTCTTACTCCACTGAAGTTGAAATCATGAACGAACTACAGATTTCTATTGAACAGATAGATTTAAGGAAAATTGCAAAGACACACATAGTGGATGACGATTATGAAGTTATGTCAAGGTAACACAACTAAAATACAGCATGTAAGGTACAATACATGCACAATGTAAGAGTAAGAACTCGATTCCAAAAAATTCCTTTCTATATGTTTTTGTCTACGCGGTCTGCAAGAAGTGTGCCGAAATTTCGTGTTTTTACTTCAATTTAAAGAATAATACTACGGTTTTATGAACTGATAACTTGATTGGCGATACGGTCCATTAGAAAACACTGGAATTAGCTGAATAAAACGGTATTAATGCATGGTATTATTTTTCACATATTTTTCAGTTCGTTAGCTACAACACCTACTATTTTATTTAACTAGGTTACCCACAGGGCAGTAATGCTGCCTTTGACAGCAAAAGACAAACTACAGGGTGTTGAACGAGTCCTTCAGAAACATCCTATTATTGTTTAGCCTGCATGGCAGGCGGTTCCTAAAATTGGGCAAGCCTGGGAAATACCGCCTGCCATGCAGGCTAATTATTTTTATCCTTGTTAACCCATTTATTGACAGTACCCTACCACTGACTGAGTATTAAAAATCGTCTGGCGTTGGACAGGGTAATACTAAAGTAGGGGTCATTACTGTGCTGATGAATTAGCAAGAGCCATTGGCAGATAGGTTTGTTAACCCATTTACTGGCAGTACCCTATACCACTGACGAGTAAAATCTTCTGGCGCTCGACAAGGGAAGGGCGCATTGCCAGCTAATGGGTTAAACCACCGTGGTTAAACATAAGATTTCATGATGATCCAGGAAATGTAAACAAGCTATCAGTGTGACATCCCAGTTTATATATTTATATACTCGGAATATTGATTTCTCGGTACATACAAAATTATTTTAAAGTATAACAACCAGCGAAGACGTAAGGCACTATCTACCCTGCGCGGCTGCGCGCAGACTATATAACGACATATATATGTCATCCGTCCGGTCCGTCCGTCATTCATCCGTCCGTCCGTATCCGCTTTTTATCCTAACTCGTTTTTAAAACACAACGTTTGCATTTAATTAAGGCAGTGCGGTTCGTAATGATCAATATTTTCAAAAGCGGCCAATTAGACCAGGGGTTAAAGGGCAATGACAATGACATGCAGATGACATTTAACATTGCGTCTCACTAATTAAAATTTGCGTGTTTAATAGTGTTTATCAAAGAAAGCAAAAATATATACAAGACAATCTCACATGTGGAGTTTTTTCACTTACAGTACGTACTGCCTTGTGATGCAGTACAAGTATAAATACAAATGACAAAGCATTTGTAAATCCTAAAACATCATTAAATCGTACGGCACATTTAAGATTTTAATATCGTATTTCAGCCGCGTTTATACTGTTTGGCGCATTCGCTGCGTTATATTCATTTACATGTATATACACAGAAAAGCATGTCATTGTCCTTGCAGACCATAGGCAAAAGCATTTGTCAACCATGCACATACCAAATTTAAGCAATCGTTAAATCATATACATGTCATGGAAAGAATATGGAAATAATGTTGAATGAAAGCTAGCATCGCGTATAATATTAAAAGCACCGCATATAGTGCTCGAACCACTGAGTATAATTGCAAAAGCATCGCGTATATAAATGGTGAAAGCACCGCGTATAATACTGGAACCACCGCGTATAATGGCGAAAGCACCGTGTATAATGCCAAAAGCACCGCCGTATAATGCTAAAAGCACCCAACAAAATGCCGTTTGATCACTTTAAGCCAGCTATGGGCCTATGGCTTTCCATAAAGGAAACCAAAGATGAAACATGATCACATTGCCTGTTTGCCTTATGCCTGACCGCGCTGCACCACGGTTAAAATTCACTGGTACCGTCATGCAATGCGCCAAATAGAAAATTTTGATTTCGACCCACAAAACAAAATTAGGATCTGCTGCCTTGCTCGCTCGCTTCAGGCTCGCTCGCTGCGGCAGCAATTATAATGTTACTATAGAAACGACATGTTGGCCGTTGGAAACGACTTATGTTGGACGTTCTACCCTTTATTCATTAATAATTCATGAGCAATCCAGCCAATGATAATCACCTATTTGATCACAAGATGGCATTTGGATAACCCGGTGAAACTTGATGAAAGTCACTAGTGTTTTCATCAAATATCTTAATTACGCATGCAAAATTACTTGAATAGAATTCCTAATTACGTTATGCTTGGTTAAGAATTCTAATCAAATCAGCAAACGAAAACATTCTGTTACGTCTCGATTCATTTGAGAAGCCATATAAACAACTGGAGCTCGTGTCTCACCGGGATATCCAAACACTCGAAAACAATGTATGAAAATACTCGCGCTTGGCGCTCGTGTTTGGATATCTCGGTGAAAAAACTCGCTCTCGTTGTTCATATATTAATTCGTACACATTCGATGATTCCAGAAACATCAAAGAGAAAGAAGCCAAATTGAAAAAGATGGGAGGAGCGGAAGAAGTGTTATTCTCATTTGGTAAAAGCTACAATCACTTGCCGCACTGCACAGGCGAAGCACAATATTGTTTGATAAAGAAAGATGACAAACGATGCTCTTTGTTTGAAAGTAATAGAAGTACTCGGAGTGCAGATATTGATATAGAGAAGACGTGTGTGAAACGGAGGAAATCTATTGAGCTGACAACCTTGTTGAATGAAGAGTTTACAGCTGGTCGATTAAACACAAGAACTGCTTATCTGAATATTGCAACTATGAAGAAAGGAGATGTTTTTGTGAGTCTATTTCTTGTGTAATTCCATACGTACAAGAGAGAAATTTATGCATTGAGCAAATAAGCATGCACTTATAATAGAAATTAAAGTGATGTTGAAAGCAACCTGAATGTTTATGAAATTTTATAAAACAACTGCAATGCTATAAATAGTACATAATATATAACTTATGTTCGAAGTATGTTAGTATAGGGTTATCATATGAGGAGCGAGACAACTGCTATTAGAGAGGTTTAGCAAAGACGACGGGACGTAAAAGACGACGTGAAAATGGCGTAAAAATGGAGTTTGACTAATGGTCGCGGGTCGCGTGTCGCGGGTAAAAAGTCGCGTGTCGCGGGTAAAAAGTCGCGGGTCGCGGGTAAAATGTCGCGGGTAAAAAGTCGCGGGTCGTAAAAAAGCTCTAAACCGTGTATTTTATTGAGTCGCGGGTTGAATAAAGTGTGTAAAAATCACGTTATCATTTATTAGTTATTTAATGGTTTTTATCAATAGTTGTTCGAAGATGTTATGGCTGCAATTGCGAGTTTCTAGATAAATATAGACAAGAACCATAACATTATTGTAAAGCACGTTGATAGACGGTGGTCCGGTTGTGCAAAAGGATCCTGTTACACATTCCTATGCTTATAGTCCTGATTTTAGTAATACATAGGCATCCAATTTCTACCATATCAGGCGTACAAATCCGCTATTCAGTGGCTCAGTGCGCGTTGTCGTCAAGCCTCTGCGCATCGATCAGTACTTTCCAGAAACAACTGCTAGAGAACAACGACTTAAATATCCGGGTTGTTGGTGAATCATAATGTACTTTTATAATGTCCTAGCATGGATATATCTATTATTTGTGATACTATATGGTTGTTTTTAAATTGGTATAAAACTGATTGTAATAGTATAGTGGTAAACTGAATTTATTTCTACCCGAAAGTCTTGTTTGTTTCTTTCAGAACATTTTTTTGATTAGAGGATTTCTGTCATGGTATAATTGTTGGTTTAACATATTGAAATTATTCTTTCAAGTTTTAGGCTTCTGGCACGTTTATATTGAACCATTAAATCGTGAGAAAAGGCTCTTGGGCAATGCTTCGAGTTGAAGCAATCCTATATGGTTGTTTACTAAATGAAAACGTGATTTTACACACTTTATTCAACCCGAGACTCTAGAATACATGGTTTGGAGCTTTTTTACGACCCGCGACTTTTTACCCGCGACATTTTACCCGCGACATTCTACACGCGACTTTTTACCCGCGACCATTAGTCAAACTCATTAAATCGTGACAAAAGGTTCTTGGGCAATATTTCGTATTGAAGCAATCCTATATAGCTGTTGAGTAAATGATAACGTGATTTTTACACACTTTATTCAACCCGCGACTCATAAAATACACGGTTTGGAGCTTTTTTACGACCCGCGACTTCACCCGCGACATTTTACCCGCGACCCGCGACATTCTACCCGCGACACGCGACTTTTTACCCGCGACACGCGACCATTAGTCAAACTCCGTGAAAATGGCGTAAAAATGGCGTGGGCACATCCATAGATGGCATATCACGCCATTTCCACGCCATTTTCACGTCGTCTTTGACGTCGCGTCGTCTTTGCTAAACCTCTCTATTGTCTAGATTATGATAACCTGTTTATTATATACTTGTGCCTCTATCAGGATCAGAGTTTGTTAGAATATTAATCGCCCCAACGCAACAATTGTTAAAACAACGGGACAAAAATCGATGTCAGTGAAATATCGTTTCTCTGCCACCCTGTCATAGTTATTGCCCTGAATTGTTTTATAAGGATTACACCAACAATATTTATTGGTTCTACATCACTTGAATGTTCTATAAATACACGCCGGCGCTGATTGAAACGTTTCATAAAACCTGGATCTTGTGCATAGCCTTATAGCAGTTCCTTAATACTTTAGGCGATATAGGTGTGGTTGAGATTACTGCTCCGCTGATGTCGAATCCGATTATCTATTTTATACGATTACAATGTATGCGTGAAATGAAATCATTATTATAATTTATTCTAATTGAAACCAGTAATGTATATTCCTGTGTAATTGGTTTAGAATCTTGGTGAAGTGTTGCAACCGACCGGCAGACAACTTATCTTGGTCAGTCATAATGCGAAGATATTACAGATTAAAAAACAAACCTTCTTCAAACACGCAACGAGGGAATCCCTGTTAATTGCAAACGTTTTGGCGTTGGAAAACAAGTAAGATTTACGTTTTAAGACTTATGAAGTAATACGATGGTAAGTTCAAGAATTTTACTATAAAATAATGCTCAACGTTCGACAGTCTCATTCCCAAGGGGCATTTTACGCACACTTTGCCAAACATTCGAATTCTCCTAAAAATCCGCCAAAATCCAAATTTTAAATTCCATTCAAATGAAATCCTCAAAAAATCTGGGAGAATTCCACAAAAAATACGGAAAATACAAAAATATCCGGAAAAGTAAATTAAACTCAATCGTAAAAAAACTCAACAAAATTTCTTTTAAAAAACCCAAGAAAAATTCCACTAAAAATCCGCGGATTTTTGAAAGTCCGAAAATACTGTACGCTTTTTTGGAGTGAAATGCCCCTCCCTTATTCCATTGGCATTAAACGAACCGGGGTTTTTAAACACATTTTCATATACAAAGAATTGTATGTTTTGGAGCAAATACTATACATACGTATATGCATTTATAATTTGTTCTTAGTTATCCAGACGACGATACATTGTACTACACATTTCGCCAACAATGTCTGTGGGAAGAAGTGAAGACAAGCGTTTTGCAACAAACTATGGACAAGATAAATGTCACTCAAAATGAAAGAGACGAAGAACCTTCTAAAAAGATGTTCACGGCAAAACAACGAGCAAAAAGTGCTCGTCAGGTTTCAAGGAAATTTTTCTAACCCAATTCACCAGCTACAATTCATGCAGGTAGAAAACAAATCTTCCCTAATCATTGACTTTGTATATAGACATAGACTATTTGAAGAAATATGAAGCGTATATAGATGCATACATAGTGTCAGTGAATACATTAGCTACCTTACAGCACACCAAACGAATTGGAAGGTCCTGTCAGTGTTAGCGCGGTCGCTAGAAGTGAACATCGGATGTATAAACAATGAGATTGAACAAGAACGGTGTATATTTGTCTCATGCAGAGAAAGATGTTATTTGTTGTACTGCTCAGCAGTTGCTGCTAATATATATACTGGATGCACTGAAATGAATATATAACTGGAACGCTACCTTTTCTTGAAGCTAAATCTGTGACACGCGTGTCTGGAGGTCAGATCATGCGTGTTTATGTCATGATTGATTAATTGGGCGCTCTTCGCATGGGTGAAAAGACTGGGACTGGCTTTCAAGTTTGGCTTCAAATTTCCGGTTGGAGGAAGCGTTCCAGTTCAATGACTGGATGTAAATATGTATATATATATAGTTTCAAATACGTCACAATGATTTATTGTAATTCAATTCCGTAGGTTTGCATCAACATGAAGCAAAATATACTCTCTAACGACATCCAGTTATTTGGGTTAATTTAACATTCCTGGTTAAATTTACTGGTTAATGTAACCAGGGGAATCTGGTTATATTTGACCAGGACGTCCTGGTCAGAAATAAAGTAACCAGGAAATTTAACCAAGAATATTAAGTTCAACCAAATAGGGTTATTTCTAGGTTAACCAGGAAAAATTAGCCATAGTGTTTTTAGAGTGTAGAACAAAAATTTTATCCAGATCGCCAATGGCCATAAGCTAAAAATTATACTTCAGTCACTATTTCAAATATTCGATGTCATTAAAACAACTGTTAATGAGATAAAAAATAACACAAGATGTCATGATATTTAAAATAAGACAAACATTGTGGAAAAAGTGATCCGTGATGTTTTATATATATATATATTAAATGTTTTAATAGTTTTATATATAGGTGTATAGTAGCAACCGTATTTCATGGTGTCAAAATACAACTTTAAATTCCCCAAGAGTCTCTGGTCGTATTACATAGAGCATGCAACCACAGGCATAGTCTATTGTTGGCGAGCATATAATTGCAACCGGACATTTGGCTATTCTAGGGTACACGCACTGAAATTTAGAACGTGTGAAAATGTTCCTCAGTCTTGTTGCTAAGACGAATGTTTCTTACGATCCTGTAGTAGGCTACCTTTTCCAGGTCTGGAACGATTAGCTCTTGCTAACGGTACTACAGCGATTGTATTCTTGGATGATGCCAACTCACTGTAGTTTATGAATATTCATAAGTTTCAATAGGATAATTCTGAATATTGTCATAGGTTTTTATGACATCTTCATGTTCATTAATTCTTTCAAGCAGTCTATGTACCTTTTCAAGTTGATTTTCATTCAGTTCTATGAGAGTCTGAGGTAGGTACTCCAGGTTGGCAGAAAGAAGAGTGCAGGAATTTTCTTTCGTCAGCTCATTGGAGACTTGTATTAAGTCACTGGGCGCACATATAAACTAAAAAAAAATTCAGTCATAATATTAGACAGAGACCATTGAAAAAGCTTCAGCCATGCATGAACTGTAACTCAAACAAAAATTTGTCGACCAATTCATACTGGTTCGTCAACTCTAGCACTTAATGCACATTTCAATCCAGCGGCTAATCACAGCATGCTTTAGCTTGCATGGCGAGTCAACGACGTAGTTATTACTATAGGAAGCAGACTTTTTATCAGAGCCTGAAATAACGTTCAGAAGTTGTCCAGAAAAAATGTCCGACCAAAATTATATGTATATACATGCAGTATAGTTAAATGCTTTAACAATTGTGGGCTGATCTTGTGCATTGTTTGATTAAATCATTCTTTCAAGAAAACTGATTGCTCCAGTACTTTTGTCCGAACAAAATGTCCGACCAATTTAGCATTGATTACCCTGGATCAGGGAGTTTCTCGCTTAGCACGCCTGACACCAGAAAACCTCTGCACCCATGCAGAGTAACATTTAGTCGGAAATGTTAGCCTCTGATTATTTGCAAACTAAAAAAAAACGTGCAAAATGTCTCAAAATAAAAAAGAATTGTTTCATAATCACTTTTATGTTGCAGAAACCACGTCAGAAAACAAGATACATGCAGTAGTGATACCTGTACAAATCTTGAGTTATCAGCAGTATTTCCAAACTGTACATCTTCAGCACCAACATCAATGGCTAACTCCTCCGCCTATGCAAAAGTGGTAAATTATAATAATTGTTCTTTACATTTTCTCTAATTTTATTGCTTGAATAAGCTACAAGAGAAAGTTCGCGTAACTTTACAGATCAACTTGTGCGCACTATTTCTCGCGCACGAGAAGAGAACGGCAAACGTTTTTGGTGATGGGGTCAGTTAGCCGATGCCACTCCACCACTGGGGAGTGGGTTGTCCAAAGCTCGGTTAGTGCTATCTCTGGGTTAAATTTAACCCATTGTTTTGGTTCGTGTATTTTTGTACAATCTTAAAAGAACTATTTAAACAAGTGAAAGTTAGCAAAGAACAGATAGTTAAGTTCATATCGTGGTTCACATGGATGCGTCGACTATTCTCATTATTCGCGATTATTCACCGACTATTCGCACTATTAGATCCTTTTATCAATTGCCTCATATAGGTTCTCAGATTTGTTCTGATAACTCAAGTGCATGGAAAAATAAACTTTGTAACTTATAAGTGCATTATTGATTTTCGCGCGGTCATGCAGGTAATTATATTATACGTCAGCAGAAGATAAAGAAAAGAACATTGAAAAACAATATTGAAACTTTAGATAAATAATTTTTGTTTGTATATGATTCTGTACCTCGCGCAATCAATAAAGAAATGAACAAAAGTATGCCGCAACAACTTGTAATCTTTGCTTGTATATATTTAGTTGGCACTTTATATATACCTTGTTTATAAGATCTTCATTTTCGTCAATCTCCGATGAAACCCAGATATTTTCTATATTTATTATCCCTGAATGAAAGAGCATTGAAAATTTAAATGAGAAGACATTGACGATCATCTGAGCGCCCAGGTCAAATCAGCATTTTATAATAAATGCCTTCTCCATTTGTAATGGGTTGCTAAGAGCAACTGGCATGCACGGATTAAACTGAAGAGGACTCCTGGTCCTGCCTGCCCATATAAAATGGGGACGGGTTGCCATGTCTAAGGAAGAAGTTATTTCGCTGACCTCAGAATGACATCTCGTCAAAACGTTTTTACCTCAGAATGACATTTCGTCAAAACGTTTTTCTTCAAAATTGGTTTAGAAACAAACTTGAAGTAGGGTTAAGTTAGGGTTAGAGTTTGGAATAGGGTTTGTGTTAGTAAAATCGTTGCTTTGTTACGTTTTGTCAGGGGCCAGCGAAATAACCTCTTCCTCTAGAAAATGTAACATGTGCTCAAATATTCAAATCGCCTTTTCTCTTGCGTCTGTAATGGTCGAGTCAAATTACTCCGGCTGAGAACAAACTCCTACTGCAAATATGGGAATTAAAACAACTCCTGGAGTGACAAGATGGAGTAAAATTTACTCCCGACCGTTATTTTTACTCTTTTGCTATAGTTATATTTACTCCTTCAGTGGAGTTAAATTGACTCCAGTGGAGTACATTTTGGAATACATAGCAAAGTAGATTAGATATAACTCCAAGATATACCTCCAAGATGTTAGTTTCAACTCTGCGGGTAGCCTCGCAGACGCAAGTGTGCTCACCCCGTAGTCTCTCCCACTAACGTCTGCTTACCTTCATGGGGGGAGAGAGAACGTACACAACTGGCGGTTCATGCGAGGGAGACTATTCTGCAGGTGGAGTTAAAAGAACTCCTTGAAATTAACAGTACAGATCATTTGCGGCATACTTTATGAAATAGTACCTTTGTGTTCATACATAAAAGAAACAGAGCCCTCATCGCCAACATGTCCCCTGAGAAAGAAAATATTGTGAGAAAGAAATAATTGTATTTGTCGTTGACTATAAAATAGCTGAAGTGCCGTAGAAATACGCCGGATGTAGTGACATGCACAAAATCATGCAAAATTTGAATTTCACGTCTCTGTAACCCATAGTTTTTCTTTTATGAATAATAAAGCAAGTTGTTTAATCGTGTAGCTAGCAGGGCTTGAATTTTATCGCTGCAATTGCCGTAGAGGGAGAACAAAATGCCGTGAATTATATTGCGGCAACGACGGCAATTTTTTGCCATATAGTGTAATTTTTATACTACTTCACTGTGCTTTACTATTTTGATACTTGAATTCAGATGTTGATCAAATCATGCGTAAATTACTATTTTAGTCTCAGTTTTCTTCGAGAAAAAAAACAAACATTTAAAGAAATACGTAAACGTGTTTCTAGCTTGTCAACAATCCAAAGTAACAATAAACTTAAATTTTTATTAAAAAATGCCGTGGAAACTGCCAAAATTGCCGTAGACAGCTGTTAACGCCATTGCCGTCGATTGCCGTCGATTGATTTCAGGGAAACTCGAGGCCTGGTAGCTAGACAGCTGCGGATTGAGAGAAATACAACTATTTGAAAAAGACGTTTCGAGCGAAGGGTCGCGTTATCGTCGCAACCTACACTGGTACAGACCGTTCGAGACTATTAAGAGGCAATTTTTTTCAATGTCACGTATTTGCAATGAAAAGTGTTCAAAACCTAAAATCTTTTTGGCGTTCCTCTCAAAATTACTTTGTTTTAGCTTTATTCTCTACTGTATAGAGCTAGCAACCTTTTTAAATGCATCTGCAGGTTGAGAAACATAAAATAATAGTTAAAAATTGTCAATTAAAATACAATTATCAATAATGCTTTAAAATTGACGCCATATTTACAGCCAATATAAGCAAAACTTACTGAACTTCAGACATCATTTTCTCTTTGGCGTAGTCTAAAATCTCTTCATTTTAGCATTATTTTACAGATACAGCACTAAACATACTTTTTAAGTTTGTTTGCCAATTGAGAAACGTATCGAAAAATAAAAATTTTGAATTTATATAGTCATAACCTCAAGAGTCAAGTGGTATATTATACGCATTAGTTTTGAGCGCGTGTTACGTAACATACAAAAAAATCTCCTCTTAAACATGTAGCTACACTATCAGTAAGTATGCGTGCAGCTCTCTCATACATACAACACGCACTCTAGCTGTAGCAGTTACAGTCGTGCCAATAAGAAGCGTTCCGAAAAATGTTGATCAGTTCATTTCCTAACTTCGAGGAGTTCCTCTGAACAATTCCTCAACAATTTGATAAGTTCGTTAAAAGTTCCTTTCTTCCTGTTTCATTGACCAATCAAATTTTATATTTTATTTTTGAGCAATCTGATTGGTCAATGAAACAGGAAGTTAGGAACTTTTAAAGGAACTTATCAAATTGTTGAGGAATTGTTCAGAGGAACTCCTCGAAGTTAGGAAATGAACTGATCAACATTTTTCGGAACGCTTCTATTGGCACGACTGTAATACTTAGTACACGAATACAGTATATACAATTACCCATTTCTGGCAAACAGGGTTTTTATCTCTGTTCTAGTTCGGATTTTGTTTGATGTTAATGTGTCGACCAATATTCCACATCCTCCTGGTCCATGACCTTCTATCAATAAATTATGGCTGACCTCGCCCGTGTTCTGAAAAAAGTAATGGAGAAATATTGAATTCAATAATGCCCAATAATAGTCTGATAAAATCGTCCAAAAATTGTACAGTATCTGGACTTGCACCAGTGATGATCTGGCGTTTTGAAAAATCGATAGATTCGTTAAATGGAATGTTCTTTTTATAATTTATAAAAGTAAAAAATATGCACCTATAAAGAAACAGGCATGCCTGTTCCTAAAGAGAAAGAAAAGATGTTTTACTTCTTTTGTTGAACAACGAATCAATGGACCTATCCGGCCTAATGAACAAAGTTTTGATCTAGAGAAGTCTAGACAAACATTTCATCACAGCTTGAAAGAACATCACAAAATTAGGGCCTGTTCATATGATCCCGCTTACCAGGACGTCTCGCTTACCGATGATCTCCCCGCCTAGTTATTTTCCTACAAAATTTTGCATTGTGTTCATATGAGAAAGCGAGCTGGCCCGCTTGCCGAGATCTCGCTTGAATTTGCCGAGATCATAGGTAGGCGGGATGAAAAATTTTCCATATGAACACGCCAGCCCGCTTACCGGGATGAAGTCAAACAAGTCTTGCCGTTTAATTTAACACTTTTTCCTTAGTTTTATGTTTGTTTTGTAAACAAGTATTAAATATGCAGCTAAAGCAATACTTTTTCTTGTAAATAAACGAAGAAAAACACTAAAATCGCTAAAAATTTGTGTCGTTTGACTGAAATGTAGAAGTTTTGCATACGCTAATTATAGAACGACATTGTAATTTCATCTCAGCAAGCGGGACGAAATACTCCATATGAACGCACGGAAATATTCGTCTCGCTAGGCAAGACGTCTCGGTAAGTGGGATCATATGAACAGCCCCTCAGTAATATGGCCCTGTGAAGTTTGCCGTTTTTTAGTCATTTTGTATTACGCACGGGAAATTGATACCGTTTTTCAGAAAGCGGTATCAATTTCCCGCGCGTAATACAAAATGACTGAAAAACGGCAAACTTCGCAGAGCTATATTATCCGCATTTTGCAACATTTCGCAACGAAACTTCGGAATATTACTAATTTTGTGATGCTCTTTCAAGCTGTGATGAAATTTTTGTCTAGACTTGTCTTGATCAAAATTTTGTTCATTAGGTAATAGGTCCATTGATGATGAAAAAAGATTACGTTTCAAACGAAGATTGACGGAAGAATACTTTTACTAATTGTACACAAGTAGTATAGTATTTCAATTATATTTCAAACCATCCTCAGAGAAACCTCAGAGATATACAAAACAAGTTTCATATTATTCTGACACTGCAGGGTACAGCAAAAAATTATTTGTCTCCAGCAGGATTCGAATTCGCATCTTCGGGTCTCTAGACCGCCGTTATATCCATTGAACTATCGAGTGACTGCCAATCCCCGTTGACTTGATACAGTACTGCCAAGAAATAACTTATTAACCCCGCGTCCTGCCTCCAGAGCGCCCACGTCTTGCGTCCACTCTGCCTGCGTCTTACCTCCAGAGCGCCCGCGTCCGGCCTCCATGACGCCCGCGTCTTGCGTCTGCTCCAGGGCACCTATAGCGCCCTGGTCTGCTCTGCCTACGTCCTGCTTCCAAAGCGCCCGCGTCCGGCCTCTAGTTAAAAACTGCGTCCGTTTGGACGCAGTCGTCGTAACATAATCGGGAAAACGGACTATTTGCATCATACTCGTAGTTTGTCGTGAGAATACAGAACAGTGTCACTGATCGGAGAAGAAAAGAAAAGTTCAATCCGAAAATGAGTTTCATTGAACCTACAGTAAGCATAACATTTAGTATAACCATTGTATAATGTTATACTAAATGTAATGCTTTCACAATGCAATCACACGTACAGTAGCTCAATGGGTAGAGTGGCAGTCTGGAAAGATGCGAGTTCGAATCCCGCTCGAGACAACAAATTTTTCGTTGTTCTCTGAAATATCAGAATAATATTAAACTATAGTTGTAAAGTGCCTGCATATATAATGATACCAATATTTAGGCCAGGGTGCGAAAGATCGCGTACTTACGTATCGGAGGTACTTCTTTGTTTTCCACCTTGCATTTTGCTGGTACCATGTACCATAGGACCTTACCAAACCCAAGGTATTCAAAACCGTGTATGTAACAGCACAGTAAGTAGGTACGTCTGACATGTCTTGGCATGAAATATGACTGGATTGATGGGACTACGGACTGACTGGATTGATGGGACATGATCGATGGGACTAAGGAATGTTTGAGCCAATTCTAGTGTTTGTGTGGGTAATTGTCATCTTTCTCATTCTAACTTGCAGTTCCAGGTTACTGAATGAATACCTTTTAGAAACCTGTACTTTATGTACTTCATTTTAAAGACTAAGCAGGCCTTAAAATATCGGTCGGTCATGGACATTGTCCGACCCATTCGTGAAATTGTCCGACGTAGAGTGGAAACCACCGGACATTCTGTCCGACCAAAATGAAACTGAGGTTTATTGTTTGTCCGACCCGAGTGTATTGGTGTCCGACCGAACTGCAACCTCGTGCTTTGTCCGACGTAATGTACCCTAGTCCAGGACTAGAGGCTTGTATGTTAAATGGCAAATCAGAGTATATTGTACAAAAGGTGAACTGGAAATGTTGTTTTAACGTAGTCGAGCGCGGGGCGGCGAGCGAAATGGTCGAAATCGAAGTCTTTTTTAATACTGCTGTTCTGGCAAGCAAGTTAATTTTGGCGTGGAAATAAGTATGAAAGAAACAAATTATTTAATATCTTTACAACATTTACCGTTATTCATTGGTGTCATTCGGACTTATTTCCGAGTCAAAACTGAACTGAAGGTCATCAGACATATGTCCGACCCAAACTCAACGTCACCGGACAATGGCGGACATTATGTCAGACGACCCTGTAAAAGATATTTTAAGGCCTGCTAAGTGCACCTTGAGTATTAAGTTTGTACCAGCTCAAGTACGCAGCGAAAATCATTGGAGTACCAGTCAGATACGACTACAAATTTCGAATTATCGTGTCCTAGTGATTTAGGTTTTGGGACTATGAATAATGTTTATGTTTACAGAAGTGAACATAAAGGTTCAATTGTTGCAATAACTAAGCTACCTTCACACCTGACTTGATAGCAGATTCAATTTTATCTTTAGCCATATTTGTTGCTTTTGCACGCTCAATCAAATGTTCCAGTTTTCCATTTAGTGTTGGATCAGGGCCACTCTCTAAAAGTGAATATTTAATGCATATTTAGTAATCTTTTAAATCTCATCGGGAACCACTTTTGAAAATAATGGATTATAGGTCTATGTATTGTCACAGTCAGTATCGAATTTTCTGAAACATAGTAATTGTGTATATTCACTGATGACAGTCTGCAACATTCCCATGAATTGAAAAAAATTTCCCCCAAATTTCAGTGTACATTTGTCAAATTTACTGTAACCTATTAAATTAGTGTATCATAAAATATAGAATAAAAAAAGTTACATCAACTTTTAAAAACATTCAAGGTAGGCTGTTGTGGAATATTGATATACCAATAATTATCTTTTTTTATAAATGCCGATTATTCAATTTTTAAATTATCAGAATATCGATATTTCTCTGTATTATCAATATCACATTTACATTTGTATATTTAAATGTCATATTAAGCTTTTTCAAGCACTGATTAGAGTTATTTCAGAAGGACAAAGATGATCAACGGGCTAACTCTGTGTGAAAATCCGTAATTAGGGTTAGAATGACTTTTGCAAGATTCTGCCCCCGCCACTTTCCAGTCCTTCCGGTGCCCCTGGTTAAGCTCCAGAGGTGGGGAGATGGGAATATGTGGGGCATTTGATTTTTGAGCAAATTTTCAATCAAATGTCCCACTATCGGGCAATAAATATTGGTCAAATACCCCACCATTTTGCAATCAATTGCAATTGGTTCAAATTGCCCTATTAAACTCGGACCCAAAATGCTAATCAAAACCCCCAGGGTTGGGATGCAATTTGATGATCAAATACCCCACATATGCCCAATTGTGTAATATTGTGAAGATTTTTGAATATGGAGAGATTGATCTGTATTTGAAATAAGTGTATCGACTGCAGTCAATTTCACCTTGTATTGCACATGAAACTTCCAACATGTAAAAACTTTATAACTTTCTTGTCTGTCATAAGACCAGTGTACTGGTGTAAGCAGTCAGTGGCTTATTGGCATAACCTCCGGCGTAAAATTTTCACGGATTCCAACCTGGAATTGGCTGGAAACCACCCCCAAATCCAGACTGCAGAGTATGGCGTTTTTTGACGAGATCTCCGGTGTGCAGGAACATATTTCTGGTACGCTGGTGTGCAAGCAAAATATTTCTGGTGCACTGGTGTACAATTAAGCGCAAACTGCGCAATGCAGACTACACAGTTTTTATTGTTACGAGTTTTTTAAATCAGTTAGGAAGACTGTTGGGCTGATTTATTGTTCATGTAAAAAAGTTAGAACATGATGAACATCTCCGGTCTTTTGAAGTCAATTGAAAATGAAATTAATGCCCAAATTGCAGGATTTCGCATTTCTGGGAGGCTAGTTTTCAAAATTTTCCCCGGACCCCCCTAGCGGACTTGCGCCTCTGGCGCTCAAGAGTGCACTAATTAATTGAAGTATAAATCTCTGGTGTGCAACTGCCATATACTCTGCAGTCTGGCCCCAAATCACATAGAATACATGGCAGACCTTCCAACTCTCACGCATTTTGCGTGAGACACACGCATTTGACATATTTCTCACGCTCACACGCATAAACACTATTTTCTCACGCAAAAAAGCGAAAAAATAGGAAGCGATCCAACTTTTGTTTTAACACTTCTCTTGCAAGCAAATATTTCTATTTAGCTGAATCAATAGCTATAAAATAAAGTATTTTTCGAGCAGTTGCTGTGTAATGTATAGTGTTGCATAAGTTGCACTATTGCGCAAATTAGTAAATTGACACTTAGTTAATGATTTCCCCAGACAACGCTTTATGTAAAATATTAAATATAAACTATAATCTTATTAATTTCGTGTGATGAATTAGCATTATTCGCGCCTGGGCATGATAACGCATTAAAAAGCAGCTAAATCTGCTACTTATGAATACAACAAAGCACATACGCGCTAGCTATAACTCATTAACATTTAAATTTAGAATGTCTTTTACTTTTTAAACAATATTAACGAAATAAAAAATAAATGAAACTTATAATTGCATGCAGATGTCCAAAAAGTGTTACTTTTGAGATTTTTTAATGCCATTTTTGTACCTTTAGAATTATTTTAATCTTCTCCCAAAATGCAGGAAATGGCATTTCAGAGACTCCAGATTTAAAAATTTTCCGGGGGGGGGGGGGATGCCCTTGAACCCCCCTAGGTCAACGCCTCCAATGGCAGGCGCCAGCCCGCTGTCGGCAGGCTATATGACTCAGATTACAGGAAATAACTAAATCTCACAAAATAGTGTTCCAAAGGTCGTAGGTTCGAATCCCACCGTGGCCGGGCATATTTTTCAAGCTCGCCCGGTGTGGATATGCACTCAGAGTAACATCGCAAACATATTATTCACCCGAGTACACAACACCAACACAGAAAGAAATTCATATTACAAGAACACATTGGTATTGAAGGAACTAGATACTGTTCCGAAATATCACTTACTCGAACCGTCCTGACCGCGTAGCTCAGTTGGAAGAGCATTGGGCTAGTGTTCCAAAGGTCGTAGGTTCGAATCCCACCGTGACCGGGCATATTTTTCAAGCTCGCCCGGTGTGGATATGCACTCAGAGTAACATCGCAAACATATAAATCTCACTCATTTTCATGACACAAAGTAAGTTGGAAGGTCTGACATGGAAACTAAGGAAGTTATATTTTATAATTTAAAGTAAATTTTTAATGCAAAATATCATAAAATAAATATGTTGTACATTGTGCAAATATACTATTAAGACTGTAAAAGTGCAAATTTCAGCATTATGTTTCGTCAATATTATTACCTCGAACAGCAGCGACAATTTCTTTGTGCAACCTTCCCAAAATCTTTGCTCTTGCAATGTCTCTGTGCATTTTTTTAAACTTAATATTTGCCCATTTGCTGTGTCCAGCCATTGATCTTCTATAAACCGTCATTGTTAATGCTGAAAGTCTAAAGAAGTCACGAAAAAATACAAATTTTGAAAAGCATTTGCAGGCCGCCATATTGTATTTTTGAGTCAGCATTCAATACATTCAGCGGGATTGGATATATACAATACTATACTTCATTTTACATTAGATGTGAAAGGTTGAATACGGCGCGATACGTATGACGCGGTTTTAATTTTTGTTATCCCATTTTCCGATCTAAGTTCGCGTTATCAATTTTTCATCTTCATATTTGGCCAGGGGCCGGTTGTATAAAAAAGTGATTAAAGTTAACTATAGTTAGTGGAAACGTCATCCAATAAGAAGCGCGTAATTGAGAGTTAATTAATCACTATTGAACTACAAATAGTGATTAAAAAAGTGATTAAGAGTTTTATACAACCGGCCTCATAATTGCAATTTTCATTCTAAATACCGAAAATGTCATGATGTTTGAACATTCAGGGCGCGAGTTACGGCGTTTTGAAAATTTTAATTTTGCCATAGATTTGTATGGAATTCTACCCTGGGTTCAGAGGTTTTCTGGGTAATGGAATTCCCGCTGCAGTGAAAATTTTTTCACAGCATTTCCGAATTGTCCAAACATCGTGACATTTTCGTTATAGACTAATTTGAGCATGACGATTTTAATTCTGAGGTCCATGTAGACCGCGTGCAGGCCCAAGGGAAGAATATTCCCTTGGGCCTGCACGCGGGCTAACGTCCATGTATGGCAAAGATCTGTAGATAGTGAGATGAGGACGTCAACTCGGATCGGAGAACATGTGAGATTGTCATTACTCTCGAATATTATGTGGTTCTCTGTCCAAGTCTACTCGTAATGATCTACGAGTAAGAGATATTTTTCAATATATGCAATCGTAGCCTGCGTAGCGGCTATCAATCGCGACCCAATATTTATTTAAATTCAGAGCGGAAACTGGTGCCTTTTTCAAGATCCTGATTTTATTGAAGAATTGACTAAGTCACTTCAATGAATACAATTTCCTCAATTGGTATTTATTTACTGGTTACGATATTTGTGCAGGCGCAATTGGTAATGAATACGTGACAGAAAACGGATAAAATCAAATACATTTGGTTGGCAATCTGAGAGTATATAATTATATGTGCCTTTTTGTATTGTCCTAACGGACACAAATGTTCTCAGTTTCACGAGTTACAATTCCATATGATAGCAGACCTACATTTCTGGATCTTGGTGGTTTCTCGGGTAGAATAAAAACAATGGCACAGATTAATGGTCTGCAAGTTTTCTAAAAGCTTGCAAAGGAAAACCCCATATCAATAAGCCGTATTTACCCCGCAAAGAAAAAGTACCAACTCGAAAAAATAACGTGAAAAAATAATCATCCAAAGTTCTTGTACCCGAGAAAGGAACTCAAATTTCTACATATTGGGCTCCAAAAATTTCTACAACTACATTGCCACGTTCATTATTTGCATTAAATGTCACATTTGCTGCGTTGAATTTCCATTCCATGTGTTGTTCTCATCGTCATCGTTGTCAGACTGTTTAAAAGAATGAATCTTTCCATCTTTCTTGAAGCGGTCTTCATTTTGATCATCTCGTGTTCTTTTACGTACTTCAGATGCCGCAGGCGATGAAGACGAACTGAAAATAAAGAAGTTTACAGAATGATGACTCAGACTTCCTGTGGTAACATAAACCTAAAATTGAATGGTATAATCTTGAACGGTCTGTGCCAGTGCAAGTTGTGCCAATAATTAGCCATTCTGAAGTTGATGAGAGGGCTGGGGACGAGTGTTAAAAAGTGCCCAAATTAAGAAATGAACCAAATCACTAAAAAGACCACCTCAAAATTAGTAAGTATACAAAGTTTGAGGACGTTTACATGAATACCCTTCGAATAATCTTTCGAAAATCGCGATATTTACTATGAAATGTACTGTAATTTTTGTGTAGCCATATAGTCAGCGAGTGCTTGAGGGGTTTGGACTGCATTTATGTCACGGTCGGGAACCGTCGACCGATATCGACAAGCGCTCGCGAGCATGCATCTGTCATATAGTTTATAATAATAATACTGTGTTTATATTTATATCTTTAATACGTTTTCCAACTGGTTCCTTTTTGTGTTTTCCAACTGGTTCCTGAAGAGGTCTGGTATTATCGTAATATATAGAAGGTAAGTAGTTATAATTTAAAAGTTGAAATTTTTCACGTAAATACTGTCAGCTTAGTTACTATTTTAAAAATAAAATGGGCCATTCCATTTAATGTGACGGGGGTTTGAAAAAGCCATTTCTGAGGGGTTGTGTGCATCGGCATCCTTTGATCTTTGCGTTTTTTCTGAGGGGTATCACAAAAATTTCTTAATTTCTGGGAGTGTGCTTGTGTCGGCACTTTGATCTTTTTTTCCTATGGGTGCAAGCGGTAGCCACATGCACGCTTAGCGTGCCTATTTTTGTTTTTGGGGACGCGCGTCCCAAAAACAATCTTTTAATCAGTAATTTCACAATTTTCAAAAGCTTATTATTCGAAGGGTATTCATGTAAACGGTTTCAAATTTTGTGTACTTATTAATTTTGAGGTGGTCTTTTTAGTGATTTGGTTCATTTCTTAATTTGGGCACTTTTTAACACTCGTCCCCAGTCCACCCATCAACTTCGGAATGCCAATAATAAGAAAGCTTCGGGTTGTTGGGGATGCAACTACCTGAAAAATACATGGAGAACTTGGACTTTCGAGTGAAGGCTATTCGTCGAGAAGTTAGTATAGCGACGAAGGCTTCGCTCGAAACGTCGAAGTTCTCTTTGTTTTTTTCGGGTAGTTGTATCCCTATCAATCCGAAACTTTCTTAAAATGGAATGGAAATACTTTTAAAGATACCAGAAAGCAATAAATGTCTACCGTAGTAGCCTACGTTAGAAATGTTGTGAATTGGTTCCTTAGTAATGCAGAATTCACTTTTTAACGCAAATCCAATTTTGTTTCAAAATTCATCTTCAAAATAAGTTAACGTTTAACACATTTCCAAAATAAAATGATAAAAATTGACGTGGTACTTTACAATAGCTTATATTACCACAACATATGTTACATTAATTTATTTATAATAACTAATTACCTCGCTGTAGTACTTGTTGTTGCTTGGTTTGTATCTTGCTGTACAGCTCCTCGGGGCTGTTGTGGTGACGCGAACAAAAGCAATTTGATAAATGAAACCAAAGCCAAGAGCGGCGCCAAGATGAGTGAGAGAAGTGAAGTTACAGATGACGAACTGTTTGATCCACGAGAACTGCTTGAGGTACTTGATGTCTATAATATTTCAATTACATTTATAAGTATGTTCATCGGGCGAACCTACAATCTGGTCAAAACCAGCAGTGACAGTCTATTAAAACATTTCTGTGTGGCTTTCTTTTGCTATTAGACCAGAATAATTTACTCGCTCCCTAACCGTATTCTGGGAATGCAATGAACATTGAATGGTGGGGGTAACGGGGAGGTTTCCCAAATTTGGGATATTACGAAAGTTGGTAAAATAATTAGTCGCATGTCGCATTAGAAATGTTTTGTTCAGGATTGTAGCCTCCCCCGCATGGCACCGGTTCCTATTTTTGAAGGGGAAAAATAAGATCATTTTCAAACTCTGATAACTATCGATTGACCACTTTCTGTTCCATGATAATATAGTGCTTAGTGAAACCCACTTATAGAATGTACAACGCTCTTAATTTATATATAAAGACATTAACTTTATGAAAAGTGCTCTTACTCGGTGTTATGAAAAGTGCTCTTAATCGGTGTTGAAGGCGTTAGAGCGACTCCAGATTTCACTGATGTGGAAAGTATTTATGGGAAGTTAAAAGGAAATGTATAATGGTTCTGGTGTATCCACATTACACTGGAAAAAAGAGTGAAATCCATACAATGGGATTTGCAATTGCATCACTACAGTAAGTCCATAGTATACAGCATATATCCATACTATTTCCATAATGTATCCATAATATGGAAATTGCAATTAGTATGAAAATAGGATTTCCATACTATTTTCAACAAATTTCCATACTATTTCCACAATAAAGATTTTGAAAAAAAATTCCAGTGTTACACAGCATTCTCCTGATTTGCATAAACGTTTTCTTCAATTTTCTCAGTTGAAATCACTTTTTTAATAATTGCTTGAAAGCACACGGCTAGTTAGGTCCTTCATGCGTTTCACATGCTTATTAAATATCTGATACAACACAGTCGCTCATGCTGCATATTTTGCAAAGAATGTTTATGATAATTGAGCCTGGTTTTCATATGGTCGTGATGGTCGTAAAAATAGAGTCACGATCTTTCTCAAAGGTTTATACCTGTAAACCATATATAAATCATAAGTATATTCTCTAGTTATAATCACTCCGCGTATTTTCAGTTCTAAAATGTTGTACTTCGGCTGATGAGAAAGATCGTGACTCAATTTTTACGACCGTTACGACCATATGGAAACCAGGCTTTAATGTATAGATACACCACACATATGATAAAATCACGAACGGTGGTGCCAGTATATACTGTATAGGTAGTGAAGAATACAAACTGCGAACTTTTGCAGATTATACAATTACCTGAAAAATATAAAAAGAACTTCACATTTCAAGCGATGGCCCTAACTATATGTTACTAATGTCCAGACGAAGTGCCTTCGCTGGAAGGTCGTTATTATATTATTTTTATAATTATCAAGCAGTTGTATTATCTACAAAGGTCACACAAGTGTAGATAATATACAACTACATTTCAACTCATTCTCTATTAAAACAAAGAATGAGTTGAAACTTGCTCGTGTATGATCGTGCTTAAAAATCATTGTATTCTCTTGTTCCCTTTTCCCGCAGTATAGTCTTATTTTATCTTTTTTTTCATATTTCTTTATTTTTTGTAAATAGTTAATTCTATATTTCACGCCCCTCATGGAAATCAGTCTCCTAGCGGTTGTATGTATGTACAAGTGGTAGTGAATCTTACCAGATCAACAATCAAAGCTGCACTCGGAGCCAGACCAAGTTCACTCAGAGTTTTCGTAAAATCTTCTACCCCAAGGTGTTTACGGGGAAACGTGGTCCAAAATGTCACTTGTTTTTGAGAATTAATTCGCTGAATAATGATATAAAAGGGTCGATTAAAAAGAGCAACAGACACTTTGCAAAATATTGGGGAGTGCTTATACTAAAAATATCACGATTTTAGGCATCTCACTCGATATAGAACTAATTGTTGGAGGATTTTGTAGATGAAAATTTCGAGTAAAAATTTTATATATTTATTAGACCTAACCAGGAAAAGTTGCGAAAAATTCAACTATAAGCCCTCTGGCAGGAACTGCTCTTGCTAGGTCTAATAAATAAAAATCATATACTCGAAATTTCCATCTACAAAATCCTTCAACAATGAGTGCCTATATTACAAATATCAGTTTCTGCAATTTCATTAAAACCTCTCATCCAGTTTTCAAGTTCAGTGCAAATTTACTTCATTAATTAAAAACTTATTAGGCTTTCAAAATTATTAAAACTTAGTTACAAAGTTAATCATGCAGCATGTCACTTATTTCAGCTCCGATGCAAAGTCACTTATTTCAGCTCCCAAATTTAGGAGATCACAGTCACTTATTTCAGCTCACAGTCACTTATTTCAGCTCCTAAATTTAGGAGATCGCATCACAGTGTGTTTCAAATTACAAAAATATATTCATTAGACCTAACAAAAAACCTGTGGTTCCGGTTTCATATCCCGAAAAATATGCTACTATGTAGTTCGGAAATTAATTTTTAAAATTTTTGTTTGACATCGGTCAGCAGTGGCAATGAGTGTGATCACTTGGCATTGTCACAACACATAAACATTTCAAGGAGCAATAACTGTGGACAACGGACGCCATTCTTGGGTGTATCATAAAGCAAGCAACGAAAAAAATAGCAAATGATGCCTGTTTTAAGACCGTTAGTTATTTGCTCTTGCTTGTGTGTGTGTGTGTTTACTCCCTGCATGCATATTACCTTATTACCCGTATCACCTTATTGCTTTGCTTGCGTGTGTTTACTCCCTGCATGCTTATTACCTTATTACCCTGTTACCTTATTGCTTGCTTATGTGTGCTTATTCCCCTGCATGCTTATTACCTTATTGCTTTGCTTGTGTGTGTTTACTCCCTGCGTGCTTATTACCTTGTTACCCTGTTACACTATTGCTTGCTTATGTGTGTTTATTCCCCTGCATGCTTATTACCTTGTTGCTTTGCTTGTGCGTGCTTATGTGTGCATAATTCGCCAGGAGTATAACATACGCATTGCATCAATTTTGCAATTATGATAAACGTTTCACCGTTTTTACCTGTCCAACATGCCCGTGCAACTTGTACACTTATTACGCAATTACGAGTAATAAGACAAAAAAACGCAATATACCGGTCTCAGGCCCGTTTCAGACGGCGTACTCTTCATGTGCCGAACTTAATTGTATTAGATGCGACACAAGAACGGCAGTGATTCAAACGGCGTACCAAATACTATGTTATATATATTGACAAGGTTGGGGCGCATTTGTCAGCGAAACCTCAATAAAATTCAAAATAAATAAGTTTATTTTTAGACTAAAGTTGAGTTAAGTTTGGCACATGAGTATTGAGTAGAGCGGCGTATGAATCAATGTCGCTCCAACGTCGCATAATGCGACAAGCTCTGCCGAACTTGTGTCGAACTTTTGCCGCTCCAAATTCTGCCGTACTTAATTGATTCATACGCCGCTCTTCTGCCGTACCTAATTCATCAATTAAGTTCGGCACATGAAGAGTACGCCGTCTGAAACGGGCCTTATAGTGGGCATGGTATAAAAAATAGGGACGGTTGGTAAACAAGCCAACCACATAAATAATAAGGTCAGCAGAAGGAGACTCGGTCGGGAAAACGGAATCACAGGGTCTGTTGGGCCTTAGGAGACATACGAACCGAACAAATAAATTCTCTTGCTGTGTCAAGGAGAGCGTCAGGAGGAAAATTTTGCGTCACTGAACTACCATCAGGTAGACGAAACTGAAGACGAACTTCCGAACTAAAAAAGAAAATACAGTTAACAGGAGAGATAAAATTTGGCCAACCTCCCCACCCCCCACCCTTAGAACAATTAATATTCATCGTTACCCATTCAGGGATGAAAATTACGCGAGAATTAAGAAACATTAAGGCCATTTTCCACTAGGCCGAATTTTCCGCGCAGAGCGGAATTTCTCTTTGTCTTTTTTAATTAGTTCCACACGAGAAATTACAAGACAAAGAAAAATTCCGCTCCGCGTGGAAAATTCCGCCTAGTGAAAAACGGCCTTTAAACTACATTTACCAATGTACATTGGCTTCATTCCGATCTAATCTCGGGTCTATCCTCGCTGCTACATGCTGTCTTTCTCGTTTTTGTACATCCTCCCTTGCAGCTCGTTCTGCTCTGTCTTGTGCAATCTTCTGCCGTATGGCTTCTTTTGCGGCCTTGTCTTTTGCCTTCTCAGTTCTTATCCTCTCCGCCATTTGTTGAGCAAGCATTTCCTCTTTTTCTGCTTTTGCTTTTGATAACGCATGTCCTTCTTTTCTTCTTTCTGCTTCCTTTCGTCGTGCATCCTGGTGGAGAAAGTTATAACCCAGTACTTAATTAAGCTAAACTAAACTTACATTCTTTATAATTAAAACTGGATAGCGCAATCAGCTCTGTCAAAGCTGTCTATCAAATTGGCATGCTAGCAGAAATTGTCTGACAATGAATTCTTAATAAATTCGAAATAGCACATTGAAATTTTTCTCTCCTCTTATTTTTTCTCAAACCTTGAGTTTCAAGACAGAACTTTTAATCGGACTTTTGTTCCGACCTTTATTATATAAAGTTCCAGGACAAAGGACCGTTGTTCATGGCCTATACCCTAGATGGTGTGATGGGCATAAGTAAATACATTATATAAAACATCCAACCTCCTTTTCTTTTTCTGCTTTCTCTTTCTTCTTATCTTCAATTAATTTCTTTGCTCTAAGAAGCATACAGTAATATGCAAGACATCTCAAACAAGCCCAGTGCCCTATCTATTAAACACAACTGAAACATTTTTCTGGAATTCATTGTTAGTTTCAACGGCAGTAAGTAAGCGTTGCAAGGTCCCTAAAATAAGCTCACGTGGCTCGACAGAGAATATATATGTTAACTATAAATGCTGTAGGTACTTCCCCAACGAAACGTTTATATCAGTATGAAGTTTCTATCGTAGATACTGTAAGTAGAGGTGTTGAAGGGATGTTATAATACATGAATTTATGTCGAGTTTGAGTTTAATCAGGCATATAATACGTTCCCTATATATATACAGGTATATTACCAACAATTATTAAACGTAAACATTTTCAATCTCATCCAATTTCATCCCTAACACGAACCCCTAACCCTAGCTTGGACAGTTTGAACTCAACTTCTCATAAAAAAAAAACAATGGCAATTCAGTGACACAAACAGATATTTAACCTTGCAACTCTATCATCCAAAGTTTGTTCAGAGTTCTCTCTTCCTTCAATCTAAAAATCAATCAAAGAATAAGTTTCTCCATAAGTTATTTACCCATGTATTCGATGTTCCAATACTGGAACTTTGTGTATTGAATATACATAATATTGTATTAAAATTAATTGGCCTTGATATTCATGTTACTGTAAGTTTACTGCATAAGATAAGCATTTTGTATTATAATCTGTCATAAATTTCTTTCGTAAAAGTGGCAGTCATCAAAAGATGAGGAAGGCAGAATATACTACAATAACACAAATGGCGAGACTGTATGGGAATTGCCTACATTTAATGACACAAATCTATTATCACCACCAGCTATGGGAGTAAGTACAGTATAGATTTTAGCAATATATAGTGAACAATGCATGCACTGTCTCTTGGCCAACAAATTTTGTCAACTAATGAAGATACTTGATAATATTGCATATTTGCATATATATATACAATAGGACTGAGGTGGAAGGAGATAAATGACTGGCTAACCAAAAATCACAATAAGTTTCTCCATCCCAGTCCACAGAGTTGCTCTCCACAGTCCACAGAGTTGATCTCCACATGTAGAACATGCACCAAATCCTCGGTTATCTTAATGTCTTTGAGGTTTTCTTTAGTAATAGCTTAAGCAAGAGACGTTGCATGTAGAACATGCACCAAATCCTCGGTTATCTTAATGTCTTTGAGGTTTTCTTTAGCAATAGCTTAAGCAAGAGACGTTGCATGTAGAACATGCACCAAATCCTCGGTTATCTTAATGTCTTTGAGGCTTTCTTTAGTAATAGCTTAAGCAAGAGACGTTGCATGTAGAACATGCATGTAGAACATGCACCAAATCCTCGGTTATATTAATGTATTTGAGGTTTTCTTTAGTAATAGCTTAAGCAAGAGACGTTGCATGTAGAACATGCATGTAGAACATGCACCAAATCCTCGGTTATCTTAATGTCTTTGAGGTTTTCTTTAGTAATAGCTTAAGCAAGAGACGTTGCATGTAGAACATGCATGTAGAACATGCACCAAATCCTCGGTTATCTTAATGTCTTTGAGGTTTTCTTTAGTAATAGCTTAAGCAAGAGACGTTGCATGTAGAACATGCATGTAGAACATGCACCAAATCCTCGGTTATCTTAATGTCTTTGAGGTTTTCTTTAGTAATAGCTTAAGCAAGAGACGTTGCATGTAGAACATGCACCAAATCCTCGGTTATCTTAATGTCTTTGAGGTTTTCTTTAGTAATAGCTTAAGCAAGAGACGTTTTCGTTAACATGGACGTCACCCAAAAATAGGTGTAACTAATTTTGGCGGCATTTTGCATCATAGCGCTCGTGCAGGAAGCAAAAAACTTTAAAATTCTCATATATGTTGAAGATTACCACAAACTGACACAAAAACAGTTTCAGACTCTCCTCGGCACTCAGACGTCCGTGTTGATAAAAATTTGTATTTTAATGATTTTAAACATAATGAGGCACTTTCAACATACTGGTCCATTGCTCGTAGATGCACCGGATTGTAACAAGGTGCTTGGTGAAGATACTGGCTTGACTTCTGCCTGAGAACGACGTTCCACTTTAGGAAATTGAGCTCGATGTTTCTATAGGAAAACAAGATCAGTGACTTAATCAAAGAAGACATTTTTTCAGAGAAAAATTTTAGGGCTCCTGGAAAGTGATTCCAAACCCTCGAAATTTCATTGTTTTCATAACCCATTTGGTCATGTTGACTAGCTCTTGATGTGCTGCCCCAGAGCGTGGCTGCACCTAGGAACTGATTTGCACCCCTGACCCTAGATTTGTAGTTTTTACGCCCCCGAGATCTCATCGAAAATTGCTCAAACCATGGAAGGTCAATGTTACAATTAGGCGTTCCGTACCAATTATGTAAACCTACATTTAAAGACTACACCGGGTATTTTACTATTTTTTGGCAATGTTTCATATATTATGTTAATTAAATTCTCGTATGATATGCATTGGAGGCAACTGACTGACTGTGGTTTCTCTAATTTTGAGTACAATTAATTTTAGCATGCATTAATATAGTACATATTAAGAGAGTGCAGGGATCAGAGCCGAGGGTAGTGCTAAAATTGTATCACACGGTCCACATGCCATAAAGCTAGTTTTCCACTTCAATCCTATCGTACCGAAACGTCGCTACGTTTCTTTGTTTCCTGAGTGGTGTGTGGAACTAAATGACTTCGACACAAAAGAAAATACTACGGTACGATACGGTTGAAGTGCAAAACAAGTTTAAACCTGTCATAACTACAATATGCGATTATCAGGATTTATATGATTATCAGGATTTATATGATTATCTATAAATATCAGGATTCGCAACTGGTTAGGTCTAAAAAATGTATAAAATTTACACTTGAGATTTCCATCTACAAAAACCCTTCAACATTATACATGATTATATCTACTCATGCTACAACAAAGCTTAAATAAAGTACCTGAATTGTTTGTTGAATTTTGTCTAAAAACTGTTCAGCAGGCAGTGATACAGCAATAATCTCCAATGGTGTGCCAGCACCATCAAGAAGATATGTGCAAGGAATGCACACAACAGGATCTGATACAATGCAGTTAAGATTAATTATTTACAAATTTCCTTTTTCCAACGATATTGTACTCTGTAGATACCCTAAAATTGGTCGGTTGGCAATTTTTTCAAACCTTTGTACTTTGCCTCCAGAATGTCTTTGGCAAAGACTCACTTCAAATATTTTTAAAATTTTGTTACCAATTTTAACAGTTTTTATACATACAGTAGTTGTTCATTTTTATTTTAAAAATGTAATAATTATAAATTGCTAACCATACTGTAAAAGGCAACATACACTGTGCATACATTTTTAACCAGAAAGGTTTTTTAAACTGATTTTTGTAATCTTTCTGAAAAATTGGGAGGTTAAACCATAGATAGGTTTTCTGCAGGAGTGCAGGGGAGTGTGCACCCCCAAAATATTTTGCACACCTCACAAAGTTTTCCCATCCCATCTAGAGAAATTTGCACCCCCTCAAAAATTTAAATGCTTATTGGATCAAATGACAGTAATGTGATTGAAATAAGACTAACAAGGATTTTGAACTATGTAAATTAAGACCAAAAATTTTGTCAGGGGGGCAGACCCCTGCTGCAGCTTGCTCACTCACATCCCCCCTTCAATCCCCCCCCCCCCGAGCAAAATCTGAAAATCCATCTGTGGTTCAAACTCAAATCAATTTGGAGATTGAAAGGTCACTGCATGGAAATCAGGAGACCCTGATCAAACCGTGATGGTAGGAACCTTTGTTTTGATTACCTAATCCACCTCAAGATGCATTGTAAATGATGTGTTAAAAGCACATATACTGTAGCCTATAAATTAACAGAGCTTATAAATATTTTTACACATTTACAATGCATCTTGAGGTGGATTGGATGATCAAAACAAAGGTTCCTACCATCACGCTTTGATCAGAGTCTCCCGTTTTCCATGCAGTCACGTGACCTTTCAATCTCCAAATCGATTTGAGTAAGGGGCTTCAGTGGCGAAGTGGTTAGCGCACTTCCCTTTCACCTCTAAGGTCGCAGGTTCAAGTCTCAGTGGGAACTTTCTCTATGCGACTTGAACCCAGTCCTCGTGTGAAGGGAGAAAAAGTCAACGCTCTGTTGAAAGTCGTGGGTTTTCTCCGGGTACTTCGATTTCCTCCCACAGGGAAGGTTGACAGGGTGGGTCAGGTAAAAAGGGCCAACAGTAATTGGCATATGCTGTTGTGGTGACCCTGCCATTGGCAAAGCTAAATAAATAAATAAATAAAAATCTTTTAACATGCAATATGCCCAAATAAGTCTGAATTACTTTACATTGTTTAAATACACCTGACAATATGCAGCAAAGGATACAAATTGATGCGAATTGTTTGAGTTCATTGCTGTAGAAAACAAAATATTATGACAAGAATCATCTAATATCATGGGCGAATCATTAAAATTAAAAAAAATTTTTATTAGTGATTGACTGATAATTAAAATTTAACACCTTGAGAGAGTACTTCCATCAGGGCTCGAATTTTATCACGGCAATCGCAGCAATTGCCGTAGAGGGAGAACAAAATGCTGTGGATCATTGCGGCAACAACGGCAATTTTTTGCCGTATAGTGCAATTTTTATACTATTCACTGTGCATTACTATTTTGATACTTGAATTCAGATGTTGATCAAATCATGTGTAAATCACTATTTTAGTCTCAGTTTTTTTCGAAAAATAACAATAAAATTAAAGTTTTATTACAGTAATTTGAAAAATGCCGTGGAAACTGTCAAAATTGCCATCAACAGATGTTACGTTCTACGGCAATCTTTAACGCCATTGCCGTTGATTGATTTCAGGGAAATTCGAGGCCTGACCTCCATACTCATTATTTTACCCTGTCCAACACCAGACGATTTCACTCACTCATCAAGGAGAGAGTAATGGGCACAACATATGGGTGATAATAATAAAGGATGTTATAATTTTACCTATCAGCAAGTAATTGTATGGCAGTGCAATCTGATACACAAACATCCTTTATCTAAATAAAGGTATGTACATATAATTATAAATTTTATCAATTAATCAATTATAGGCTGTGGGCCATTGGCCAAAATTATTTTGCTTCATGGCACCCATGTGGGAATATACTAGGTACATTACTACCAAAAAAAGTTCCTTGGAAGCAAAAACTTTGCCCAATACCGAGGAAATGGGTGATCAATTCAATAAAAATGACTTGCATCATCAGAAAACATACAAAAAAGTCTTTGAGTTATATTATATTGCTGTTTTTAATTGGGACAAAATGCCACAATAAGCTAGAGCATATAACTCAAAAACAATTTGAGATATAAAAAAACTGTTTAAATGTCTTACTGTATGACTTGTGTAGGTTTTTGTAAGCTTTCTGATCAAGTCATTTTTGTTGTAATTGAATACAAAATTTCACATTTTCTTGCTGTCAGTACCGTAATACAATTTAATAGAGGATAATCACTGATCACCCATTTTCTCGGTATTGGGCAAGTTTTTTGCTTGCCGGGAACTTTTTTGGTAATTGAGCATCTATGGTACTATGCATTGAACCACAGAAAATCTATTCCCCAGGGTGCCACAAAAGTGCTATTCTAAGCACTTTTTCCCACAACAGCCCATGGCCTATTATGGCCGAAGGCATCAATTTACAATACACTCCACAATAAGGGTAAATAATAATTTCACTCCACAATAAGGGTGTAAACATCTGGAATGAGTTAAATACTGACTTAAAAAATTTCAAATCCTATTGCACATTGAAAAAATATATAAAAATTCTTCAAATTCATCTTTATTTTCTATTAACTTACTTTAAGTTCTGACCATCAATGTAAATAATCAAATACTTATGACCTAGAGGTCTTAATTAATCAAAAGCCTTAGTTTGGTTTCTAGTAGACCTCTAGCCCTATTTCTGTAATTCTATATTTTATCTTTTTTTTGTATGTATAGGCGAAAACTTTAAAATAAATAAATAAATAAAAATAATACAATTAAAACAAAAATAAATAAATAAATACACCCTTTCAATAATTATGTTATGAATTTTGAACTCCTTGCGCCTGCAAGTGGCCAAGCGTGGAGCCTCATTCTCATAACTTGTGAGCGAATTCATGATTCCCAGGCCAAGGAAGTAATTGTGAGGAAATTAGTGAAAGAAAGTATTGCATTGCTGATTGCCACACAGAATATGATACACAATCAGGCAATTTCTACTTTCATCAGTTTCGTGTAATTATTAAATGCAATTACATATATTCCCCATTGCACTGCTGGTGCGATAAAAAATTACATGTGTATCCTCAACATAAACCATGATTATATTCACTTAAAACATGATTTTATATAAGACTATGAAGCCAACCTTTTCATTTTCCCAAACAGAATCCATTTTCCTTGACTGTTCATCATCACCTTTACAAAGTACAGGGGTATATTATTTAGCAGTCTAGTAACTACTACATAAATATACATAACGGGTAGATAATACATTTTACTGTAATTTAAGCTTTTTACTCTAAAGTTTCATTTTATATAAAAACTATATATGACATCATATTTTATAGCAGTCAGAAGTTATCAAGTTCATAATGGATACATACCTTTTATATAAACAATAAATAACGATCCAATCCTTCTTGACTCAGCAATAGCTTCTGATACGGATCCTTTAAACCAAAGCATGTTTTAAATATAGTGTAATAGTATGATGAAACTATGAATCAAGAAAACAGATAAATCTTCCTTGTTTCAATTTAATTTTCATAAATCATAATCCTATCCATGTTAATTTCATAACATGAAGTATTGAAGTACTTCATCTCCAATGAATCATTGCAACACTGATCTCAACGACGCCTGGATTACAATCTCAAGGACGGCTGGATCTCAAAAGTTATTTCGCTGACCTCAGAACAGGGCCGTAGCAACCGGGGGGGAGGGGGCTGGGGGGGCTGCAGCCCCCCCCCCAATAATTTGCTAATAATCATTCTTTTTTCAAAATCATGCAAACTTTATCATTTAATCTGCGACAAACTGCAAAGAATGAAGATATTACTCATACTCCAGATCGTTCCTCGCGTAGAAATTTTAGCTGAATTTCTGTCGCGCATTTTCAAGAAAATCCCACAAAATCTGCACATTTTTGATAAACTAATGATTTATTTTGTCTTTTGCGTGTTGGGTCTTGCGAAAGAAAACTCTGAAAATGCCATTTCAGACCATCTAGAGACTCCAGATTTTCGAAATTTTCTCAAATGTTCTGCCTTCATTCCCGCGCAACTGCCATTTACGACGAAAATTCCCGCCGCGCATTTATAATACTACAGTCTGGCCCATACTTTCCTGTAAATTTCGACATACTAAAACGCTGTTTTCTGACTATCAGAATTCTGTTAAATCTTCCCCAAAGTCCAGGAAATGGCATTTTAGAGACTCTAAATTTAAAAATTTCCTCGGGCCTTCGGCCCTCGCTTTCAGCCCCCCCAATCGAAAAGAGCTTCCTACGGCCCTGCAGAATGACATTTCGTCAAAACGTTTTTCTTCAAGATTGGTTTAGAAACAATTAAATTTGGAGTAGGGTTAGGTTAGGGTTAGGATCAGGGTTGGGGTTAGAGTTGGTTTTTAGAATAGGGTTAGTGTTAGTAAAACCGTTGCATTGTTACGTTTTGTCACTCTGAGGCCAGCGAAATAACCTCTTCCTGACTTCCTCTCAATGACGACTGATCTCAAAGACGGCTGGATCTCAATGACAGCTGGATTACAACACTGATCAATCACTGATCTCCAAGACCGCTGGATCTCAATGACGGCTGGATTACAACACTGATCTCAATGATGGCTGGATGGCGTTATATCACAGCCATCTCACGCCATAAGGAGGGCCCCCTATACCTCTTCACAATGTGCTTTCACGTAAAAATATTTTGCCTTTTCACGAGTCACGGATTAAGAAAATCATCGATCACGTTTCACGGCTAAGTAAAATAAGCCCTTCACGCTTCACGCAAAAAGTATAGGGGGGCCTCCATAAGCCATATAAAAAGTTTTATAATAAAAAGATTCTAATAGAACAACTTCTGCCTGGTGCAACATATAAATGCGTGATCGACTGATGAGTGATTGTACGTACAAAAGCACGACTTGGCATGCCAAATTTTGAACCCAGCTCGATCTAGGATCCAAAGGAAAGTACGCCAGTTCTGTGCTCTAAATGTGGACTCCCTACCCATGCCGGCCATGCGAGTATAGATTAGTGGACTGAGGAGAGGAGTACGATTATGGATTGATGAATTGACAATTTTGTTTTCCCATCATGTACCATTATTTTTCCATGCCATCATGCACCATATTTGTTTCAATATTTATATTCAGGGCCAGGGACTTGGGTACGAGTCGATCGACACTTAAAACAAAAATGTAAACTGTGTAAAATAAAATCGTAGAACATCAATTTTTAAAAGGACACTGATCTGGACAGGTCTCAAGCATGATAGTTGAAAGGTTTTGTAGAAGGAAATTTTGAGTGTAAATTTCATACATGTATTTATTAGACCTAACCTCGAGCAGTTACGGAAAGGCAGGCAGCCCTCTGGCAAACTGATGAAACTGAGCAGTCTGAGCTACAGAGTCCTGATGTCGAGCACTAACCGCAAGTTCATGCATATATACAACTAAGGTGATGCCATTGCAAAGTGTATGGCCTATAATCTGTCAATATTGGCATGTGATACAAAAGTTGGAAAACTCATTGAACAAAATCATCATCAGTTTCATTGAGCAGTCAACAAAAAATTCCATATTTTAGAAACAAAGAGTGGAAAAAGCTTCCCATTCCAAAATTCCACCTCAGCTCTCTATAACACTAATAACGCCGCAACTGTCCCAATTATACGCATAGATTTTGTACACGTGACCTAAATATGTCCACAAATACGTCAGATGCTTGTGCTCTCTATTATACGTTTTCCTAGCTCCATGACGATAAAGTTTATCATTATATGGAGCTAGGTCGCTTCTGGAGTTAGAGTTGGCAGAACAGAATACAACGCCTCCTAGCGTTCCTGCATGATATAAGCGATAGCGTGCCCTCTCTAAAATGAGAATTTTAATTTCTTCAACAACGTACAGCCAGTCCTATGTAATATTGATGACATGAAATTATACTACATTTACTGTACATTGATCTAATCGTTTATGCCCATTTTGCTACGACAGCCATTTACAAGCCCGACGATTTAGTCCCGCTATGCAAATATTTTCGTATTCATTGACTGTGAAAACAATCAATTTTTAAAGAAATGAATAATGATAATAATTTTGAATTTGCATAGCGGGACTAAATTGTCGGGCTGGCTACGCCACTGCGGCATTTACCCGACTATTGTCACTATTCTGGTAATGTAGCATAGAATGGAACAAAAGTAACCACGCGTTTATTAATACGAAGGTCCTGAAAGGGGGTGGGGGATCTGGATCCCATTTCTCAGCCCAAACTTCCTCTAACTCCCATTTCTCAGCCCTCTTTTTACATGAAATCCTAGTCCCACTGTGAAATTGAAAGAAAATCCCAGAGCAGGTGGTTCAGCTATGCGATGACTTTTAAACACAATTCTGCATTCAATTGTCTAGTGTTGCCAAGAAGCTTTATGACTGACTTGCAATAGGTATTAGCAAAAAATGACCAAATTGAGTCATAAGTCGGTTAAATTCAGTTTTCCTGGACTTTTTAAGACAAATTCTCTATCAAAAATCGTTCTGTAGCTGTTGTTAAAAGTTATTTCACACTCAAATGTCCAAGTACAACTGTTTATATAATGGTAAATTGGTATTCCCGTTTTTTGTATCTTTCATTCCGAGTCCCAGTAATCCAAATCCCATTCTCCCAGTCCAAAATTAGGCAAATCCCACCATTTTACGCCTTCAGGACCCTCTAATACGGGCGTGTAACATGAAGGGCATAATACATGTTAACTGATTAGATATATAATTGAGAACTGATTTGTCTTTGTGTGTATGCATTACACATCCTCAAATGTACGTAACTATTTCCACAAATTTTAGCCAAATCAGATCATATGTGGACTCTTCATGGCCGTTTGCCGGTGCTCCCAAGAATGAATATCGGCATCAGCTATTCATACATTGTATCTTCACGACGCTCCACTTTTATGATCGCTATAACGGTGTGTTTGCATTGTCTTTCAGTTGTTCACATTCCTTCTTAAGATTAGTAACACATTGAATAAGAAATCCTGGCATTGTACGGTCAACTAACGCTTGAGGAATAGAACCAGGCTGAAATACAAATGATAGTCACCAAGTTTTAACATGAACGATCCACTGGAACCCAGTGAAATTTAATACAAACGTTAACAGTCCACATAACGAAATTAGTGACAAAAAGATGAGAGATGGGCATCGAAGTTACGTAGATAACGAAATTAGTACGCGGTGCTTGTTAGTTAATTAGTTGCAATCTTGTAACCCGGAGTATGCCCGTTCGCAGGTTGGGCCATTCACCTAACCTGCGAACGGGCATACTCCGGATTAAAGTTATCACGGACAACGGAAAAGTGCGATGGAACATGGGGAATGTTGCGCTGGAAGAGAAACTACAGACGTTGAAAGCATTGGATACGACAATACAGGACATGATATGTACAGGCGAATCTAATTCGACTTTATCCTTCTTCTCCCTTCCAATAGTTTTGCTTCAAATATAAGCTATTTAGAATATTACCTCATTTAACATTTCACCTACTGACGGTGGATGGCAGGAATTGTTTGGTCAGAATTTGTAAAAAGTCGTCATTGACATCGGGATTACTTACCCTTAATGTTGTGGTAGCTATCCAAACGAACACAGATTTACCTGGCTCGTTTTCCGCTGGAAGGAGGGCATAAGAATTGAGAATAGTTTCTCCCCTATTAAGACAGAAAGACAGGCACCAAGTTAGAAGAACATTGCTCTTCAAACACTCATTAAATGGCAAATCATGTCAACCATAATATGTCACGTGCAGTGGCTTTAAACCTGATAAAACACTCCTGCTCGTTTATTAAACAGTACTTAATTCTTCCCCTGTAATTTACTAGTGATTTTCCTGAGCCTCGAACTGTTACATTTGCATTTTATATGTTATACCTATGCCGCATCCATGAACGCTTGTATATCACGCCTCTCACTTGGCAAAGTAAAGATATGCCAATAAACTCTCGTTTTCGCTTAATTAATCAGAAAATTATTATAAAATGGTTGTAGATGATTGCGGGAACCACTGAGTATTTTCATAAAATACAATACAACGGTAACTCCGAATAAAGTAAGCATTTTGATAATTGTTTATTACAGAATCATCCGCCGAATACAGTATATGTTGTTGTATATAACAATATACAACTGCGTAATGTATCCGAAAGAAACAGCCCCCGACAGCTCAAGGAGACAAGGACAACTAATTGAAAAGTATCAGGGCCGTTGCATGCTTTCGGAACTCAACAGTGGCTTGCCCAGCTTTGGAAAATATAACAATGTAATCTTGAACAGTCTGTGCCAGTGTAGGTTGTGGCAATAATAAGAAAGCTTCGGATTGATAGGAATGCAACTGCCTGAAAAATACAAAGCGAAATTCAATATTTCGAGCGAAGGCCGTTCGTCGGGAAGTTAGTAACAATAGGGCCATTTATACGGAACAAAATAAGACGCGACTTACATAAGACGCGACTTAAATAAGACGCGAGTTTGTCGTATAAAAGGTACAAAATTCTTATGTAAGACGCGTCTTACAAAAGAACAGGCCTTTTAGCTGTTCTTATATAAGTCGCGTCTTAAATAAGAAATTTTGGACAAAAAGTCTAACTATACATGCCAGAAACTTGAAACAAAGTAAAATTTAATGCCTTGCATATTAAAACAAAAACAACCAAAACAACATTATAGCTATAGCAAATAAATAAGACCAAAGCCGTAGAGAACCATTTATGCGATAACTCCACTTATTTAAGTCGCGTCTTATGTAAGTCGCGACTTATTTTGTCACGTATAAATGGCCCTAATGTATCCAAGAGCAAGGTACGTATCCGTTTAATACGCTACCCCATACCGGTGAATTAAGCCTGCCACTGTAGGTCAGAGCTAGGGGATTTACGTAGGTTCCGTAACTTCCCTGTATATACTTGAAACTCATGAACGTAGAGCGATTTGGTTGGTTCTCTTTTGTACTTCCAAGGGTTTTTCTTTGGCGTCTTCCGATTTTGCACCTTCATCAAAATAGCCTAAGTTTTTGAGCGTGTGTACCACGAGCTTTTGGTTCGAGTAAATTGGGCAAACCACGCCTTAGCATGTGCCGACAGTAAAGTCTGGTTACACTATACCAATTTTGTCGGCGATTATTTCCCTCATGGAGGAAGTGATTGAATGAGTGACTTAGAAATGTTTTCCTCCGAAATGGAAATTCACTTATTGATCACATCCGTAAAGAAAGAGAAAAACGCCGATAAAATCGCTAGTAGCCTAGTGTGAACCAGACTTAATCACTATCACTACTCTGGGCCAAACTCACCTAATAGTACCTTCTACTGGCGGTTTATCTGGTGAGACGACTGACGTTGAACTAGACATATACATCTCTCCAATTCTTTGATAATGATTGATCGTTACAAAATCTCTAAAACAATAATTCACTCAGGATATGAAAACATAGTCATCATTTCAAATATGTATACAAGTCGAAAAATTGTGCAGTTATTATACTTCACATACAAACAGCATATTAGAAGGCAATTGCTTGACAATACAGAAACAATGCCTAGACAAAATTCATAAATTGCCTTGACAACACAGTAGGCAACACAAGGACACTACCATTTATTTAGAAACATAACGACGGTCTTAATTCTACTTTGAATTTATCACATGCATGTCAGTGACGCTTAAAGCTGCACCTAGAGGAGTTTTCGGTTTCCCCAATCCCTATAAAAACTCTTATAAAGCATTACTGAAGGAATACCGGCGAATGGTTTTCCGTGCAAAATTGCGTGATCCATGCACACGGGATGTTTCGAGATTTTTTACGCTTTCCGAAAGTCGAGAAACATCCCAAGTGCATGGATCACGCTATCCTGCAAGAAAAAACCATTCTGTAAAAAATTGTATAAATAACTACAGTGAAACAATAGTCAAGTTAATTCACTTCCTTATATACTGGCGCTCACTCTCTTCAATATTAAATTCGCACCCAAATCTCCCGTCTTTGTTCCTCGGCCTTTCCCCATCTTATATAATATTAGATTCGTTTTTCTCCCAACTTTACGTTTGTCCCAACTCTTCACCTTTAAGGACAAAATTTCTAAGGCTTTAAGATCTTGTGTTGTGTATTCCTTCACGTGTCGTTGCTGTTCCGTCACTTGCACACACGAGTATCTGAACACTTGGGTGTTTCTCCTCCTAACAGGCAGTAAAAGCAGCAATCCGGCCATGTCTAGTATCCTTTCCCATTTTGATAGCAAACTCCTCATCCGAGAAAGTCTTCTCATTAACCGACAAACTCAAACCCTCTCTCAACTTACAAGGCAGTTTCGGTCCCTCTACTTCTACTCTGATCCACTTCTTTTTCTATTTTTATAATATAATATCTTGTAAATAGTTGTAATTTATTCATATTTCTAAGCTTTCCGCTTTGTATGTCATCATAGATGTCATTGCTCTGAAGATGTCGTAAGTTAAAGACGAAGCGTTAGCTTTCTAATAAATATTTTAAACTATATTTTTGTTATGGCTCTTTTCCGTATTTTCTGCCGGGCATTAATTTATCTTAAGATCACTCTCTGTAGTTATTGTACAGTAAACTTTTGTTCACTGTTTTGGTGAACTTGCCGGTCGTTTAATATACTATTATTGTTTATTTCACGCATTGAAATGTTTTCGTTGTCCGACATTTTGAAAACCCCGCGGAAGGCATTTAAATTTTCCATGCAGGATTGTCTCATTCTGCACTTCCGTGCAGGATTGTCTCATCCTGCACGGCTATTGACCAATCAGATTACATGTTTCACTATAGTTATTATATAATTGTTATTACCTAGCTGATATAAGTCCTCCAGCCACTGCTGCGATGGACGAATAACAAAGGTCGGTCGTTGAATTTACTTTTTTAATAATCTGAAAATGTAAATCGCCACATGAGCTTCTAGGCAGTTAAACATAAACAAACATGCGTTTCCTTAAAAGATAGGGATACTGGAAAATGTTTTCCTCTAACGAAGTAATGAGTTTGGGGGCTCTGCAGGGAATTAAGCGACTAAAAACTCCCTTCTTTCAACCATCAGACCGAATGCGTGAATTGTTCTTCTGATCTTCGAGACGCTTTTTTAATGTTCGTCAACTGGACTCTGGTAGCTCAATTGGTTAGAACACTGCACCGGAGTCGCAGGTTCGATTCCTGCCAGAGGACTTGTGTAGTTACATTTTTCGCAGCTACTCCTGGTTCGGTCTGAAATTCGTCCGCTCGAAATTTCGTTCTACATAAAACTGGTTGTAACTGTTAGTTCTATCGATGCCCAAAATCTTAACTAGAACGAACCTAATAAGTTCTTTGTAGCTTTGCATGGCGATAAAACATATACGTATAATACTTTAGTTTGTGGAAACACCACGTAAGCCAACAGATCACGACACTTTGATATATAAAGGGCGTGTGAATTGAACAAGTCACATATTATTATAGCATGCACTGATGAAGATCCGGGCTTATGGGTCGAAAGCTTTTATTTACGCGGTGTTTCCACAAACTAAAGTATTAGAAAGAGGCTATTTTCTCACTCTGATAGCTGCCTGTTGACCACCATCTATATCTCGATCTATATGATTGTAAAGGTCAATGGACCATTCCCCAATTAACCAAAATTTTGGACACAACAAGTCCAGACAAAAATTTCACCACAGCTTGAAAGAGCATCACAAAATTAGTAATATTCCAAAGTTTCGTTGCAAAATGTTGTAAAATGTGGATAATATAGCCTTGCGAAGTTTGCAATTTTCAGTCATTTTAGATTACAAACGGGAAATGGTGTATTACCACTTCATATCATTATCATTTTATATTACCACTATATATTTTTATTTCTTTATTATCATTTTGTATTACCACTTCTGCGCGTAATACAAAATGACTGAAAATTACAACTTCGCAAGGCTATATAATCCGCATTTTACAACATTTTGCAACGAAACTTTGGAATATTACTAATTTTGTGATGCTCTTTCAAGCTGTGATGAAATTGTTGTTTAGGCTAGTTGAGATCAAAAGTTTGGAAAAGTGGTAACCATATTTCCCATTTGTAATCTAAAATGACTGAAAATTGCAAATTCGCAAGGCTATATTATCCGCATTTTACAACATTTCGCAACGAAACTTTGGAATATTACTAATTTTGTGATGCTCTTTCATGCTATGATGGAATTTTGTCTAGACTTGTTGAGATCAAAATTTTGGTTAATTGGGGAATGGTCAATTGTGTGACTATACCTCAGCATGAGTAAGATTTGTGTTCCACTTTTTAGTATTTTCAGGATCTCCAAATACCATCGGATGTACAACCTGTTGACTTGCATTGATACATGCCTAAAAATATTTCCACATTTCATATTGTGAAAATTCAATTTATTTTACAATTATGCATGGTGAAACCAAGTTTCCATGACACAAATTTCAAAACTACAATGAGCCCTATACTGCTTGTGTATCAATTTTACATTTACACCAAACGATTTTACTCGTCAAGGAGAGAGTCTTTGGCATTAACGGTCATTGTTGGATAAAAAAAATAAAGCGGCGTTTCCATGGGAAAGTTGTAATGTTATCCATTGCTGTTGGTTACGCGGAAACAACGCGTTTTGGACAACCATACACCAAATAGTGTAATTATAAGATGGTTTTTCAAACACAACTGAAAAGTAATAATTTACACGTACCCGCACTCTAAGAACTTTCCCCAGCTTTTCATCCATTTTACTTTCAAGCAACATGTCATCCTGTAAATATATAGAACACAATTTAAGATAGGTGTTTGAGCGTGTAATAGGTCGCGCGTGGATAAGTCACGCCACGAAAGTTGAAGGTAATTTGAATATGGTCGTGCATATATCGTATACGGAAGAGGTTATTTCGCTGACCTCAGAGTGACAAAACGTAACAAAGCAACGGTTTTACTAACACTAACCCTATTCCAAACACCAACTCTAACTTTAATCCTAACCCCAACCCTAACCCTAACCTAACCCTACTCCAAGTTTGTTTCTAAGCCAATCTTGAAGAAAAAAGTTTTGACGAAATGTCATTCTGAGGTTAGCGAAATAGTATATACCATCGTATACACGTATTTGTAATAATCCTTCTCTCTTTCTCTCATGCTTAAAATTACACTATGTAATGTAATACTATAGCACTTTCCGGACCTTACTTTAAAACGAATTGTTCCACTCTGAAGTCATGTATGTAAAATATAGCTCCAACCACATTTAAAAGATTTCTTCATGGAACTTATCTATCTAGACTATGACATAACAGTCTCACAGACTGTTGACATCGACCTTTGTCGTCAACCTGACCTGTACGTACACATGGTCACTGAATCATGACTGTTCTTGTCATTAATGAGATCGTCTGCAAGTGACCATGATCTGAAGATCTCATAAAGCGTGAAACAGACGGTGGTAAAGATTATGAGGTAAGCCAACCTACATCAGTTACATTTGTTATCTTTATAACTTTATTGGTATTGGACACTCGCCGATCGACATTTTGTGAACCATATCACATTTATATTCATATACCTTTTGCTTCTCGATTTTCCAAGATTTCTCAGCGTACAAGAAAGCCAGTGCCTTGCTCGTTGCTTTTCTCGCAGTTTCAATATATTCCAAATTCTAGAAAAAAAAACCCCGAAACCTCACTCTCAAAGCACCATTCTACTATTTCAAAAATTTGGAGGAGTGTATTGTTGAGGTCAACGGACTCGCAACAAGTTGTTCCAACAAGTCTGATATCGTCTACACGTAACAAATTGTTTTAACAACTTGTTAAAACAAGTTGATGACAGCAAGCTTGTATAGCAACTTGTTGCGAACAGCCCGTAATACCCGTAGATTACTCTTAGCAAGTCTGTTACCGTCATCAACCTTGTAACAACGTGATAACAACTTGTTCCAGACTTGTCACAAGGCAATCCAACTGAGAACAAGCAGTGCGAACACATCCTGATATCGGATTGACAACAACCTTGTTACTACATTTCCAAAAATCTGATGGTATTCAGGGGTGGGAAAAAAACGATAATGGATATTATCGGTATTTCAGTTTTCGATATTTTTCAACTACAACAATTAGTTGACTGCTACATCAGCAACGACAGTATTCTAACTTTCTTAATTGCACGTTTAAAAGCCCATTTCAACCTACCGCTCTGATAACCTCTTCTTCCTCTTCTGATTCTAGAAACACAAGTAATAATTTGATGCAAATTGCAAAAATCGTACTTTAATATAACTCAACATTATATAACTGACAGGTTTATACTGTGCAAATCGAAATTATGTCATGCATATGATACGTGTAAATAGCGTCGTTATATATATATTAATTAACCTTGTTCTGGTGGTGTACGGAAAGTAATCACAGAACCCCTTGAAAGAGATAACAAAACAATTTAACCTTTATGTATTTTAAACCAGGTTCACAGAACGTTTTACAAGTACTATGAAGTTAAAGTATTATGCTTTTCACGAGCAATTAGTTGCAGCACTGTATCGATATAGGTTTTCTCCTCGCACTCTGTTTCCTCCTTTATGAATATTGAATTTTAGTATTTTGCACAAGTGAATATAACAAATCCTACAAATTGATTGGTCAAATTTGACGTATTAAGCTGTTATACTCACCTACACTCTACAGGTGAATATAACAAAACCGAAATTTGAAAAATGGCAGCTAGCCGTTTTGTAGAAGTTATTATATGATAAAGAAATAAGCGAAATTAAAATAAATTCAGTCCCAAAAAACACAAAAGACTTGTATAAAAATACTAAAACAATTATATTATTCGCCTCAGGCTCGGTGATTATCAACCTCGTACCCAGGGCCTCGTACCTCGTACCCAGGGCCTCGTACCTCGTACCCAGGGCCTCGTACCTCGACTTCGTCTCGGTGAATATTCCCTGAAAATCACCTCGCCTTCGGCGAATAATTGTTACTAATATCTGCCTCGATCGTATACCCAGGCGCTTTGGTTTGCTTCACTGTTATATGCCAATTAGTTATATGTGATCGACTTACGATGATTTGATCGATCCATTATTACGTGGCTCTACAGAGAGATAAAAACACAACGTTAATTAAGGTAAAATATCAAGTCAATCATAAAAACAAACTAAGGATAAATTTGCTCCACGAGCGCTTTTTCTCAATAGTTGCGAAATTCGAAACATTTCTGCGAAATCAATTAACGAATATGCAATAAAAACGAATTAGGCTTCGAAATAAATTCGCTTTGCCAGTGAGTAGAAGTAAGTTCAACTCACTGCAAAAGCGAAGATCTATGAAGTGGGAAAATTCAATAGAGTTACTCTTGTGCATGCAACCATTTCTTGCAAAGAATTAGCACTGTAGTCCATACCTCTATAAAATGTGTCTTTAGCTCTTTTCTCTCTTGGTATAACCTGGAAAACAATTTATATGTAGTCAGTTCCTGCAGACGAGGTCTATACCACATGGTCCACATTCTCATTTTCTAAGTACTCTTACCTTAACTTGCATATACCATGCCTCGATCCAAACTAACAAAAATGATCCAATGTGAAGAAAATAGTCTACTGGTCTGCTTCCACTGTCTTTATCAGAATCATCAAACTGAAAAATACATACACTTTAAAAAAAACTGTCCTTATCAGAATCATCAAACTGAAACTAAGCACACACTTAAAAAAAATAACATACACTTTGTCTGGTACAAATTGTGGGAAATATTGTTGTCCAAACCGCGACTACTGTAAATCCACTTTTATGATTAACAGACGGCATTTTATTGCATTACACTAATTCGAACTTATATCGATATCGTCAAATATATACATACCAAGGAGGTATACTTACGTCGTATATGAATGCCTTCGTTATTAGATACACCGTTGATACAAACGTGGTTAACTTGAAGAAAGCAGAACATTTTTTATTAAAGATGAAGAAAAAGTCACGTTTCTATATTATAACGACTTACTTTTGGTTTGATATCAAAATCGGATAATACGTGACAAGTTTTTCGTTAAGTTATCTACAGGGTATTTAAAAAGGAGTTTTTCTTCGTCCCGTTACCATCCTATACATGCTAAACGTCTCTATTTATTAATGAAGGATGCGATCTGTGGTTAAGCTTGTTAGTATGTCGTTGCCTCACATACTGAAAGCACAAGCTTATATACATTGGTGTACGAGGGGGTGAGGGAGAAGCCTATAGGAGGCAGCTGTCTTCCCCCCTCCAGTGAAATGTGAAAATGAAGTCGGGTAAATTATAAACGTAAGTTGGGCAAAAAGATGGGGAAATAAATTTAAAGATAAGAAATATGCAATGTAATAATGGGAAATGCAATTATGCAAGAAATATATATTCCGAAAATTTTTCCAAATGCCCCCCCCCCCCCCCCAGTCGACAGCAATTTTGGAAAGTGTACAGGGGGGAAATTTTTTTTGATAAGTCGGGCAAAAAAAGTTGGGTAAATTTTTTTCTGTCGACCTAACTTTTTCCCTCCCGTACGCTTATACTTATATACTTCACTTTGTTTTGCGTCTGTTTTTCCAATTTTGGAAGTCATAAAGAAACTGATATGCACTTACAGCTACCGTAAGGATGTTCTTACTGCCATAATAACCATACACAAACAGTAATATCGTAACTCGTAATAAGGAAAGGATCTAGGTTAAATACAAAATATAAAATCAGGTATGATACCATTAAGTACTACAGCCCAACAATTTATAAATTTCCGAATCTGTTATCTACTGTATATTCAACGTTAACATCAGATCTTTGAGACTTTCCTTTGAATCTCAGCATTTAGGGGTAAATTTTGTCACGTTATCAAGGCAAATTTTGCCGAGTCACTACAACCACTAATTAATATTTATTTTCCCAAAATTATTGGTGAGCGCAACATCAATTTTTTCCGGACACCAAATTTGTCAATTTCAATTTGTGTTTATAACTGACCACCGTTGTTCGTTCCATTATCCCCTAATTGTTCGTAAATTTCTCCACATTTTAGCTATCATTCTTAATTTTTAATCTGTGTCACTCAAATATTTTGTTTTTCCCTTCCTATCCAAATCCATGTTTTGCCTACTGGGATTCAATATTTTGCTGACTACCTGATGACTGAGGAGTGTTCCACCCCCCTTTAGCACCGGCCCTGCCCTAGGTATTTATTCCCGAAAGTAGCATGTCTTTGCGCATGCACAGGACATTTCACTGTAGGACTATGTCTGGTTCTAATGCTGCCTCAGTCCATTAACTATGCTCAGTCGCATTTGAGAAGTGTGACTTCAGGAAAGCCGAAGACGTCTTCGTGATACTCCGTTTTCCTCCTGTATTAAAGAGGGCAAATAGAGGATGCCCTTTACTGGCGAGAACAGTTTAGAACAGAGCTACACTATGGCATAATATAGTCAGTACGTAATTTAATTCAGTTCAATACACTCAGGGGCGCACATTAGGGGGGTTTGGGGGTGTACCCCCCACCGAGCGCTCGAAAATCACAAAAAGTCGGTCCCAGTTTTGATTGAGACTGTATCAAAAGTCCGTCCCAAATTTCTGGTATGAGAGTTGTTTTATAATCCACAAGCCACAAATGTCTGGTGTAGACACTAGCAGTCTTTTTTCAATTTTCATCCAAATTCTTCAACTCCGTGCCGGAAAGTGCAGGAACTGATGGTATTTCCGAGCCTCAATTTTGCATGTTTTTCCCGAGGAACATGGCCCCGGACCCCCTAGTTTTCACCGCTCCTATTATGCAAATATGTTACCCGAGTCAAATGATATTTTGCGTGCTGTGTTTGCACTTGGCTAAAAATCTTAACTATGGTTCCCAACTTAGCTGGAACTGATCAGCCCACCCATCCCTCAGTGTGCCCCCCTGAATACAATACGGTAGCACGGTATTTAAACTTACCATGATGTCAAAAAGAGAAGATGAAATTCCATAATGTTTAATTTCTGCAGAAAGTGAATCATCAAGACCAGTTACAGCCACTCCCTAAAACATTTTTTTAATTTAAAAAATATTTTCCAAATGTTTTCCCCAAAAGCAAATAATGCTTATCTAGGGTGCTTATACATTAATTATTTTCAAACACACAATAAAGCAATAGCGAGAGAGAAGCAATCAGTATTCAATATAAAATTTTGAACTAGAGGTAAAAGCAAACAAGAATTCTCTATAACTTAAATTTTCACAACCATGCAATACAATTAACCAACTAAGTTTTTCACTATCACCACTCTTTATCCATGCTTGACCACACGCAAACATTTACTTTGACTATAATTAAAATGTTTTCTATTAAAATTATTAATAATATAGTCTTTCTGACCTCCTTTGGCAGTTAAAAATTAACAACGAATGTCATCGACTACAAGTAAATCTGTGCACGACGTTTTATAATAGTATGCATTTATTCGACTTTGCCAGATCTGGTTAACCGCAACTCAACTAGTGTAAACAAATTCCGAAAAATAACTACTTTAAGGTCATCTTGAAATTCAAGATATGAATTAAAACAAGACGAGTGTATGAGACTTTATTTCAAAGTCATCATCACCTTGTTAATCCTCTTTTTCCGGTGTCGTGTATTCTTCCGCTCTTGCTCTGTACATATGCTGTATGTAACGTATAGTATTGTATTTCATTCTGTCTGATGATGACATGGAAATAAATTCGAAAATTTACAGTCTCATACACTCGTCTTGTTTTAATTCAAATCTTGAATTTCAAGATGACCTTATTTTTCGGAATTTTCTTAAATTGTCGGCTGGCCGTAGTTTTTTTCAACTTGAGTGTAAAATTTAATGCAACTCGGTAGAACCCACGGCTAAGGACAACTTCGGAGAAAATCACGAACGGTGCGGGCAGCAAGGATCCAAACTGCGAGCATTGTAGAAGATTCAATTACATATCTGAAAAATACAAAAATAAGTTCGACGTTTTGAGTAATGGCTCTTCATCTGGAAGTTATAGTATCCAAATGGCCAACTATACCTTCCAGACGAAAGGCTTCACTCGAAATGTCGAAGTTCTTTTCGTATTTTTCAGATATATTGAATCTTCTACATTGCCCGCAGTTTTACTTCGGAGATAGCATCATGATTCAAAAGCAACAGAGTGGACATCATACTTCATGCACTAAGAGCAGCAAAAGTGAGTGGACATCATACTCAGTTTACTGACTATAACTTTGAACATTTTAAATTCACGTTCACAACGCCTGCAGGAGATAATAAAGGGACGCGATCATAATCCTTATCCAGCTCCGTGCAAAGTTATTCAGGAGGGCCCCTCGTTATACACTACAGCCATATAGGCAACATATTTTAACAATACTACGGATTTGGAAATGAATAATAGACATAGAGAACGGAACAAAGAGAACAAAAAGAAATAGGGAAAAACCGAAAAAGCACAGCACTAGTAACTATTACTGTGAACTGACATCTAGAGACTAGATTGTATCAGGGGAGTTTTCGTGAAAAAGATGAGGCAGCTGATAATTATGATGATTCGTAGATGTCAGTTTAATGTGTGGAACACAATGTGTGAATCATAAAGATTTTAAAAAGTCAGCCTTGGCCAGATCTTTAAAGTAATTAATTTTCTTCAATTCAGGCAGCACAGACTGTAATTCCACTTTTATATAGGGGGGGGGGTAAATAGGTTTTCGGATCGTCGGATTTCACAGAAAAAATTGTCCGGATTTCACGGATCTGGCGAATGTTTTACACGGATTTCGGATCTTAGTAATGCAGCAGATTGCGGATTTATCTAATATTTTGGCTCGAATCGCGGAGTTTGCTTCAAATCGGCGGATTTGTATACCCCTATTCACCCCTCCCCCCATATAGCTGTCCCAGTCTCCTGATTTAGCTGTTCGTGAATTGGTATGTTCCATGGGTAACTGTAGGGGAAGAATTACATCCTTTTTTCTTTACATCCCTCTATATGCCTATTGTATTGCTTTCAATGAATTACACTGTTAGTATATTATCCTACCAATAACTTTTCATATTTGCTAAAATCAGGATGATTGCATGAGCCTAAAAACTATAGTCAGTATATTACTTGTATAGTCTCTGACCAAACAACAAAATATGACTTAATATGTAAGTGTTGGTTTCAGGTTTCCGACTGACCTGTTAAAAAAAGTCTCTGACCATAAACATTTTATTGTTTATGAAGAAATATAAGGAGAGAGAATGAAAAAAAGTTTATTGACTTCAGTATACTATATTTAGAATTTTCCGATTTTTCAGCAGCCAGTTAATAAGCAATATGCGGATGCATTTTTTCGATGACAACGTTTGTCGATTCAGTACAGGGTATTCCCGCCTATCTACAGCAAAATTTTGCGGATAAAAACCCACTTTTCTCACTACAGTAATAGAGTTAGAAAAAATATCCAAGATGTTTTCATTTGTATGATTGTATCTGTTCTTTCCAGAAATTAGCGTTGTTGTTGTTGTTGTTGTTTCAATGCGAACGTATTACTATTAGGCCAAATAAAAAAAACTTGGTTAGCGTCACCGCCCGCCTCTCGATTTCTGCCGCCTCTGAATTTTTTTATGCAAATCTCTTCGTTTTACAGCTTAAAACAGTTTATGATTTAAGTGAATACATTATACTATGTATGCCCAAGCCTACTCCTAACCTAAGTCATTTATTATCCTAAGGCACGCATCAAATGAGGATGAGAACAATCCATTTCCGTTATAGACTGTTCTTCTGTTCGCAGGCTAAGACTCATGAGAGTTGGCAGTCACACGACCTTGGCTAGCTGTTCTTAAATTAATGCTTTCCTAACACTATCGAGTATTTTATTTTTATTAAAAATTTAGTTGGAGCGAGTATCACTATCAGTCACCCAAGTCAGTCACCAAACATCTTTTTTGTTACTCTGGAGCTTTAATTATTAACTCTCTGACTCTGATTCGGCTTGATTAACCTAAACTCCAAAACTTAAAACACCAACTGCTTTAATTAATACCCACATTAACCATATACCATCTGACGTGTGATTTTCCTGTGCGATTAAATCATTTCACTGATTTATACTCACACAGTTTAATTAATTGTCACAGCAATAAAATTACAGTCGACCACCTCCATACCGAAGTCTATACTTTATTAATCCTCGATAGCTAGCAGATATTAAAATTAGTATTCCACACTTACCTGGGCATATATAATCCATAAAAGGAAGGTAAAGAGAAAGTCGAATATACAAAAAAGACAAAATATTTGTCTCCGAGGAGACAAGCTTTCATAAACTCTCTTAAACCACGGTGGTGATGATGTTTGTGTCATTTCCAATGCTTGTGCAGATTCCGCTACAGAAAGTTCTGTTGTCGATGACGAACTGCCTTGAAATTCGACATTAGTTCTCTTTCCCTTCTTAGCCATGTAAAACTTGATTTAAGTACAAACAGTTTGTTGCATCTTTCTGTATGTTTATTGTTGGTTGAGAATGTGTGATATTAAACACGACAGCGGTTCCGTTCCGAGTCAGTGCGTCTTGTGAGTATTTTGTTTCAAAATTTGCATAAATGAATTTCCGTTTGTTGAAATGTCAAGCACGTTGTTCTTGTAGTTTCATTCCAAAATAATTATAAATATTGTGAAAATTAAAAAATTACAATTATACATTTATTAGGCCTCAGGAGCAGTTGCGAAAAATGCAAATATAGGCCTTCTGGGAGCATAGGCGTCAAAAGATCGATAAGTGGGGGGCATATTCATATATTCGTGTTCAACATTATTAATTTCTTTTGAAATCCATTGTTTTTTAAGGTCTGTGAACACGAATATATGAATATGGTCCCCCCCCCACTTATCGATCTTTTGACGCCTATGTCTGGCAGGAATCGAAGCTGCGGCTCTGCAGCCCTGTTAGAGCTCGACAACTGGACTCTGTAGCTGAGTTGGTTAGACTTAGAGCTGTGGTTAGGGGGCTGCACCGGAATCGCAGGGCCGCAGATTTGATTCCTGCCAGAGGAATTACTCCTGCTTAGGTCTAATTAATGTAAATACACTCGAAATTTTCATTAACAAAACCGGTACCCTTCTACTGTACTGTATAGCTGGGTATAATTCAATGCATGCAGAAAGTATATATAGAGTATGATAAGTTTAGCCTATAGGAGTAGCCAGTCATTTCGAGTAGAAACTATTGCAACTAAAATATACTTCAGTATTGGGGTTGAAGACTATAAACAGTAATAACTAATATTGTTGAAAACTATAGTTTTCTTTGAAAAACTATTGTGTTAGGTGAAAACTATAGTATATTTTTGTAAAGGCGAGCTCCCTGAGCTCAGCCTGTTACATGTGAATGAGGGCCCTTTCCTAAGGGACAAACAAAAGGAGCCCTTTTTTCCCTTCAGTTGGTATGAATAAAACAAAAATGAATTAATTCCTGAATACACTAGTAATTATGACGCAATTTTTTTAGCGAATTCTCTCCACAAAATGCCAGAATTCGAAATCTCGGTCACCGAGCTTCAAAAATGGAAAAACCGTTCTTGAGGAACACCCAAGACCACCCTTTTCTTCTATGAATTTAGAGATGTAATTATTGCAATGATGACAATCGCATTGATGCTACTGAATATTATTGCAATGAACACGTTGAAGGCATTTTTTACTATAATTTGAAGTTCCAATACACTGCTTCCGGAAAGTACGTCACTTTGGCTATAGAGCCTCGTTTTCGTGTACGCGACACTGACATAAACATGTCAATCACGAAAACGAGGCTCTACAGCCAAGATGGCGTACTTTCCGGAAGCGTGTATTCAGGTCTAAATGACACCCGACTCCAACTCCAAATGTTTTGATTCTTTTGAAACAAAAAAGTGCCCGCTATGAAACGCTGCTTCTCCTCAGTTGCCCTCTTGTCGTTTCGGCATCCCTGGTGGTATTATTGGTAACTCGATTTGCTCGTTTACACTGGGAGAGAAATTTCTAAAATAATCTTGTTAATTGCCCTAAATTAAGTTCAAGAATATGGAAATCAATCTCTAAAAGAGCACATAACTTCAAGAATCTTTGACGATAGAAAATCACTAGGGCCCCAAATTTGCAGCACAGCCTAAAGGCAGGACCCCAGACACCCCAACTCAACCTTTCGTTCTCACAGCTTTCTTGTGTGCGTGTGCAGAGGGGAAACATAAGAAACAGTTTGGGAAGGAACTCAAGGAAGTGCCTCTACACACAAAAATCATGCAGAGAAACATTTATCACAACTTACACTTCAGGTATAAATTGGTCCCCTGACCCGTACCACATCTGTGCCCGTACTACGTTGTTCTGGGGGGCGAAGTTCTTTCCTAAATAAACGTTAATTACCAGGTAAACTCGTTAATTTTGATTAAATTTTGGAAGGAAAAATGGAAGTGAAATATTTGAAAATGGATTGAAAAAGGAAGGAAATTTCAAGTTATTGGGAATTATTGGGAATGTTGTTGGGAAGGAAATAATTTTTTTCGAGAGGAAACACTGGGAGGTCTGGGACGAGCAAAATATTTTTTTCCAAAATTCTGGCGCGAAGGTTGCCAAATGTCAAAATTATTTTGAAAGTTTATATTAATTTTACCTAGCTGGATTTCAGTGTTTCTGCAAAAATGAATGATGTCGAAAAGTAAGTATAACATTTGCACGGTTTCTTGATAAATACATAGAGTCTTCAATTTATAGTCTTACAAATATATTATAAGGGAATAAAAGGATTACTTAACGCTCAAACGCTGTAGTGCATGATAGCAAAGAGTACATACAGACACAGAATAGAGACAAAACAGAGAAGGATGTAACCAAAAACGTGACCACTGCCACGCCGTGATTGGCAATGATTTGTTATGTCAGACAGCAATGCAACACTGAGTTACATCAAAATCGTAGGCAAAACTAAGAAGTCGACCTTCTGTAATCTGTAAGGTTCCTATTCCAGAAACATGGTGACAGCGTTGCAATTGTGGTGTGGTAGCAGTTAAGGGTTTTTGGTTGAAGTCAGATCCAGACTACCCTGGATTCCAGAGCCTACAGAATCTGTACTAAAACCACTAATTCTGTTTTGTGATTGGCGCGGTTCAATCAAAGAATCTCCCCGTTGAACCAGAGCCTTCGCGACATTTCAATTTATTATTTACTGTCGAAGGCTCTGGAATCCAGGGTAGATCCAGACCTGTTAACTTTAAAAATTTAAAATATGATTGATTATTCGTATATGATTGTCATTCTGGCATATGAAAACGACTGCCGATGCCACTATTCCTGTTCATCTGGTTATGGTGAAATTTGACATATGTAACATCTTTATATGTATTTATTTGAGTACATACCATACACCAGGATGAGAATTGTATACGACTAACTAGTCCTTTAATCAGGGCCATAGCTAGCATGTATAGTTAGGGGGGTGTAGGCCAAAAATTTTCGAATGTCAAAAAAAATTTCCGAAATTTCATGTCATGCAAAGCCACAAAGGTGTTTGCTATCTGGTAAATGAACATAGGCGTACCGGGCGGGGGGGGGGGGGCGGTAGCCCCCCAGATTTTTGGGCAGTCGGGCAATATTCGATCAACAGTCGGGCAATTTTGGCTTGCAATAAAAAAAATGTGACAAATTCTGTCAATTTTGTCTAAAATTAAGTAAATTTTGTCTAAAATTAAGTCAATTTTTTGGCAAATTTTGCGATTCTTCGAAAATTTGTGTTATGTTCCGAAAAAGTTGGTTTTCCAGGAAATTTTTTTGACCCCTAAAATGGTACACTGATCGCAATTTTTTTGGCGACGGGGGGGGGGTCGCCAAAATAATTTTTCAGGAAAAATTTTTTTGATACTAGTCGGGCAGAATTCGAAAAGTCGGGCAATTTTCTTTCCGCCCCCCTAATTTTTTCCTTCCGGTACGCCCATGTAAATGAAGACGCAATTTACAAACAAAAATACGCACAGACATATTACAGTAGTTGAGTAGCATGCAGTGCCGTAGGAAGCTCTTTTTGATTAGGGGGCTGAGAATGAGGGCTGAAAGCCAGAGGAAATTTTTAAATTTAGAGTCTCTGAAATGCCATATCCTGGACTTTGGGGAAGTTTTGACAGAATTCTGATGGTCAGAAAACAGCATTTTAGTACATGTCGAAATTTACAATTTGTTTACAATTTAGGCCTAATAGTACTAAATGGGCGAAGGCGTATTTAATTAACTATATACTATATATTGGAGAAGTTGCAGGAAAGTATGGGTAATATGATTCTTTGCAGTTTGTCATGGATAATGTAGCCGCTTAAAATTAATCAATTGTCAGTATTTTAAAGGTATATTATTTAAATTATAAAGGTATGCATGTTTTTGAAAAAGGGGCTGCATCCCCCCCAGTCCCCCCTTGGTTGCTACGGCCCTGAGAAGTAATAAACCGAAAAATATTTACCCATTTGCGATTTGTTTAGGCAAAAAAAAAAAATATGTGGGTTTCCGGTTTCCCGACCCTACCTAGCTTTTCGACGTCGAAATCCCGACCCTAAACTTTTTTATTGGATCATACTTGTAAGTGTTTCCACTTAGAGGAAAACGTTTGTGGAAAATTGAAATTTGAGGCAATATTAGGGAAATTTATCTTTGGATGTGGAAACACTGACTAAACAAAATGGCGTCCGCTTATTCGGAAAATTAAAAAAAAAGTTTAAAAAAAAAAGTTAAAACCGACCTACCCTACCTAAGTTTTTATAAGAAGAAACCGGAAACCCACATATTTTTTTTTTTGGCCTTAATGTTAATATCCATGTAAATGCCATGATTTCGGAAATCAGTTTATACTGACAATACAATACAATTATATTATATTTTCTCTGTTTAATAACTAAAATTTTGTTATACTATTATTGCCGTAATTTTCCGAATGACCAACCCGATTTTCCGAATATGTTAATTCCAAAAAAGTTGGGGGGGGGGTTAACCACCCCACCCCCCAATACCCCCCTTGCTACGGCCCTGTGTTTAATGTAGTTTGGCCTTAACATGGCGGGAATGCAACCAGTTAAATTGAGATCCCATGTATACTCTCATATCCTAATTATGATAATCTGCTTATTGCTTCCAGTGTAAAAGTAAATAAAAATTAAAAAGCCAAACACTTGTAGTTTAGGGAGTCACTGTCAGCTGGTAGTAACTTCAGCTTGGACATTCATGAGCGATTTTCGTGCACATCTTGAATCTGAAAATATTCCACTACTTCCTAACAATTAAAACAAGCAACTGGGAGAAAATACCTTGATACTGGGAGAAAAAGGTCAAAAACTGGAATCTCCCAGCAGCATCAGATCTGCAAGTCTGCAAATCTCTGTATCATATATATTCTGTGTGGTTGCGATACAGTAATCCTTTATATTTAAATAGTTGTAAAACTTATTAATTAGAATTTTCTGATTTTGTTCCTTGAATATTTGTTTTTACAGGAATTTACATCTGCAAGATGTGAAAATAGATTGTATAGAACGTGTCTTAAAGGACACAAACACAGGTGCTTTGGATCCAACTGGAAACCAACATGAAGTTATACACAATGTAGACAAAATGTGTCAAGTCAAGGTACTGCCTCCTCCACGTACAGGCCCTCATGCCTCATGGAAAGATCACAATTTCTACTTCTAGAGGGCCTGCAAAATCTTGTGAACAAAATATGGTGTGTCTTACACCTATGTCATAGCTTATGGCATCCTACTATTATGCCATTTGTCATTTGTCAAGTACTGCATGAACAACATGTTTTAAAGCAATTTGAAATGCTAAAGGTTAATTTATAAAACCCTATAAAAGACTTCCAGGTTTGATTATAAATATAATGAATTTAAATGAGTGCACACCACCTACATATTAATTATTAAAATGTACTGCAAACATAATTGAAAAAAATAATGACGTAGAAGACCTACAGATTCAATCTGGAGCCGCGCCCTGTATTTTTTGTTAAATAAAGCTACGTTTACTCGACAATTAATCGGACTGATTTCAGGTTTTGCCGAATGTTTATGCCGAATGCTGTCAGTTGATGATATCATCAGATGACGTTGACAGCGATATGTCAGCTAGATTTTTTATATCTGAAATGTAAAATGACATAATTTCTGCACGTCAGATCATCCCCCAGAATGCAGGAAACGCCAATTATCTAGATCTATACCCTTGTCAGTGGTTGTAAAATTTATCATAGTTTAAAAATGTTGAAAGTATGCAGCCCATCCACACACCCTTGTCATATACCATGTAATTAACTATTCAGATGCTTTCAAAATTATGGGGGGGGGGGTTGTTTCACCCCTTCATGTGTGTCTGCCACTGACTACCTCTATCCCTCATCCCACATTCAATGAAAACTTGGCACTGCTTTGCAAATTTTACAAATCTTTAGAGATCTTCCTCAGCGTGAGTGTTCTTTTTATGTTAAAAGCATACACCCTTATCAGAATACAGATACTGTACCTCTTTATCATTGGCAATCTTAAATTTCCTGAGGTATATAATTCTCATACATTTTCGTTTAGAAGAATATGACGTTTCAATAGAACAGACACCTCTCTAATAGGGACAGTTTTCTGTGCTCCTGATCCTTTCAGTGTCCATATTAGAGAGGTCCATACTTTGTTTAGGCGTATATTGGCACTCTAAAACATGCGTGGGCATTGTCCGAAGCAGCAATTTGGTTTGCTAATGGCGTGGAACAAGAAAGTCTTGCTGACGATGTGGAGGAAAACTGGCTTAGTTGTGAACATCAAGTTCAGGAAAAGGGTATTTCCCGAAATTTGTTGTAATAATGCTCTTTTGTAAAATTACAATACAGTACAATTGTACTGCATTCAATATTTGCAGTATCACCCAGAATTGACTGATTCGTTGTGATTTACAGTAGTATAGCTATAAAACTGGGGTTTGGTTGTGTTTTCCTGCTGTTGCGATTGGGTTGTAGTTTACTGGGGGTTGGCCAGTCAGTGGTTGACCTGGTACAATATATATCGCATAATCTTCTCTTGATCTTTTTGTTACCTACTGGGTGATACAGTCTGAAAACTACCTTCCATATACGCTGTTGGTCCATTTTTTGTACGTTCCCTGCGACGACGCAAAGCGACGGCGCTTGATCTCAATGCTGACAATGATGTTTTGCATGTTTTGTATGGATGCACTGGAAAAAAAATTAAATCCATACTACGAAATCTGCAATTGCACCACTAAATCCATAGTATATCCATCCTTTTTCCATACTATATCATACTATGGAAATACACAATTATTATGGATAACCAAAATCCATTTTATTTCCAATAAAGGTCCATACAATTTCCATTCTGTAACCTTCTATGGATTTTCAAAATTTTTTCCAGTGATACATGCACAGGCCTTAAAATATCGGTCGGTCACGGACATTGTCCGACCCATTCGTGAAATTGTCCGACGTAGAGAGGAAACTACCGGACATTCTGTCCGACCAAAGTGAAACTGAGGTTTATTGTTTGTCCGACACAAGTGAAATGTTCGTTTGTTCCGACCCAATTGTACCCTAGCCCAGGACTAGAGGCTTGTATGTTAAATGGAAAATCAGAATACTATTGTATAAAAGGTGAACTGGAAATGTTGTTTTAACGTAGTCGAGCGCGGGGCGGCGAGCGAAATGGTGAAGTGGAAAACGGGCTTTTAAGCCTTAACGGGCTTTTAACTTAAAAGTTGTCGAATTCTTTTGTAACACTGCTGTTCTGGCAAGCAAGTTAATTTTGGCTTGGAAATAAGTATGAAAGAAAGAAATTATTTAATATCTTTACAACATTTACCGGCGTTTATTCATTTGTGTCATTCAGACTTATATTTCCGAGTCAAAACTGAACTGAAGGTCATCGGACATATGTCCGACCCAAACTCAACGTCACCGGACATTTTGTCAGACGGCCCTGTAAAAGATATTTTAAGGCCTGCATGCATGTTTTGTTACTTGTAAATTGATGTAAGTTTTTACCATTTTGCAATCGCGCACCTGACGTTAATATGACGCGCATATCCCACACTTGTCTGATCTATGCAAACATTGTTTGGAATAAGAATTATTCCGGAATGTTTTCCCGTTGTTACCACGTTTTCAGAAACAATGAAAATGTTTCCCAACAACGTTTCCCAAGAACTGCGCGAGTGTGATTTTTGAGTATGATTTTTGTTATGGAAACAAAATGCTTTCTATAGTTTGCCCACCTCCGGAAACATGGCTAAGAAAAATATTTTCCAATTACGTTTGTTAGTTTGCCCCGTGGTCTATTGTACGTATAATGTAATGACCTCCTCCGTATATTTTCAAGAATTAATGAACAAAGGGAGAAAAGAAGCAGAGAAAGTGAAGAATGATATAGAAGATGTTCAAGAAGAATTGGAAGAACATGCTGAGGAAATTCAAACTGGTAATATTGCGTACGCGTCCTGGCGCACACTTAGTCGGCCGATAAAAATCGTTTGACATACCGATATACATCGGTATACTCCGCACACGATTACGAAAAAAATATGCTCCCTGAACTGTAGCCGCCATGTTGCCAAATAAATACAAGCACGTGATCACATCATGAAATCTGATTGGTTATACTTAAAATTACACCGATAAAAATCGTATAATATCAAAACGTTTTGATGTTATCCGATTAAAATCGAGCAACAAAAATCGGTTAAAAATGACACCGCACACACAACGATTTTGTTAGTTTTAGTCAAACGATTTTTATCGGCCGACTAAAATCGCATCGTGTGCGCCAGGCTTAATTCATACCTCCTCCTGAACGCGTTCCCGTTCGATTGGAACGAAATTTGGAACAGAAGGAAACGTAAATGGAACACAATCGAGTTGTGACTAGCAATGTGCATAATAGACCCCTTTTATGATGACGTCATACATTGACAGTATGGTGTTTTAAATAAAAATATGGGAATTTTGGTTTAAACAAGGAAGCTGAAAAATTTGTGCGCGACCTTTGCTATTTTAAGTAGCTATTTTAGCCTTATTTTTGTCTATTTAATCCATATTTTTACCCATGTTGCTGTTTAAAATAGCTACTGTATACTGAGCCAATTTTCAAAAGCTATTGGGACAGGATATACCTGAAAAGATGTGGTAAATCTTACGGAAAAAGATGTGGTAAATCTGACGCAAATTTTTCATAAAAGATGTGGTCAATCTTACGGACGCGGACATGACAAAAACACACCCTAAATTCGCAGTGTCAGCAACATGGGTAAATATATGGATTCTTTTTGTCAACAAAGAAGGATAAAGGTGAAAAACAAATTTAAACTGGTAACAAATCCAAAAGAAAAGCATAAGTAACCGGTTTTTTGTCACGTCCGCGTACTTTAGCTCATCTTAAATTAAGTTCGCTGATATAATTTAGCCGAGTCCACAATCACTACTAGATTTACCAACCGTTCTTATCAATCTTATAGCTGATGAAGCGATCAGGGAACAGAAAGTACAGATCCAGAATAGACTATCGGTTGTCAAAGAAAAGGTTAGAAAAATTGTGTTGAAATTTTTCATTTTAATATCGCTCATATTCACTGGAAAACTCGAAGCACTTCCATACTGTGGAAATTTTACAGAAATTATATGGAAAAAGGCTAGAACTTCAGTTTCCAAAGTTTTACACACTTGTATAGTATGGAAATGTTCCAGAAAAAGCGTGGAAAGTTTCTAGAAAACCAAATATGGAAATATTTCAAATTTTCCAGTGTATTATTGTATCAGAAATTAGTTTTCCATATTTCTGTAGATGGAAAAGCTAAAAAAGTTACAGGAAAGAAAAGAATTGTTGGAATCGCAAAAACGAGAACATGCTTCCGTAAGTACCGTTCTTTCCAACTAAGGATGAACAGTTGATGAATAAAACATATATTTTGATAAAAAAAAACACATTGTCATTTAATTCTCACGCAAACTTCAAGACTGAAGATTTCAGTTAGCTGGATATCTCTTATCTCCCCTAGACTGTGTGATTGCCTTGCCAGATCCTGACAATCATTGACGTTTTACGTCAGAGTAGACACTGATTTTTATCTATACGAATGTTAGTCCTTTAGGAGCCATCCATAAGTCACAATGAATAGTCTTTTGTTCCCCCCCCCCCCCAGCGTACGGTTTGTACGCTTGTTAAATTATTTATTTAAATAAGGTTTTTCCGCTAAATATACTATTTGTTTATGCCTTCACACTAGGCTTGCGGTACAGCCAGCTATACAAAAGAACATCTAACCGAAAAATTGGTAAGAAAAAACTTTTTTCAAGGCCGGATTTTGGTGTAAATGCTGGGGAGGTTGAAAAACTTTAGGGAAGGTGCAGCGGTCTGGGTAACAGCCTCCCTGGGATGTTAGGGTTTAGGACGTACTCTCCTGAAGTCGTTTCCCTGCGTGACAAGTCTGTGAAGTAAAGTACAGCCCCGTTTACGCTACTCTCAATTTTTGGTACAGCACGGATAAACTGATACCCGTACCAAATTTGTCCATGTTCGAGATTTGTAAATAGGTAGTCCAAGCACGGATAAAAATGGTGTAAACGGGCCTGTAGATATGTATGACCTTCGTTACAATACTACAAAATTTTTTCGAAACATTGCATTATAAAGCTAATAATATAAATCAAAACATTTCTCAATTCTGATTGGCTAAGAGCAGTGCAATGTTTTCGAAATACAGTGCAAAAAAATGAAATACAGTGAAAAAAATGAAATACAGTGAAAAAAATGAAATACAGTGAAAAAAATGAAATACAGTGAAAAAAATGAAATACAGTGAAAAAAATGAAATACAGTGAAAAAAATGAAATACAGTGAAAAAAATGAACTACAGTGAAAAAAATGAAATACAGTGAAACATGTGACCTCATATGCACATAATATGAAATACGTGACCTCATATGCACATTTTCATGTATATTGGTAATAAGTAATAGTACGGTTTTTCGTGGAATGTGGAAAACCATACATTCGTGAGTTTTCAAATTTTGATCGTCTTTGAAAACCTCACTCATGCATGTTTTTTCCTAATTGAAATGTCATTTTTTCAATTTCACTGAGAAGAACTTTATTTATATACAGACTTGAAGCAACACATCTCAGGGCACCTCCCCTCAAAATCCGGCCATGTCGGGTATTTGTCAGTTTGCTCACTTTACTATATTGTGTTTTTGGTTGCGTCTTCATTGATATAGTGTAACTTCCCATCAGGGTGTTAGCCAGGCGGCCGTCCGACCGTCCTATGGACGGCCACTTCTGAACTTGGACGGCTAAATTTTAATGGACGGCCATGGACGGCCTAAGGGAATATTTTCTTTAAATGGCAACCTACAAGCTTAAATGCAATATTTCTTGAATACTTCGCGCCATATTTTTGTAAAACGCACCATGTTTTTGATGATTCTCGCGTATAGTATCAAGAAGAATAATGTGAAACCGCTGTTTAAAAAAAACAATCGTTTTATCGCTTGAGCGCCACGTTACCTGCAGTTATGGTATTGATCATACCATACGTGTGCTTTTACTAATTTGTTGACGAAAATGTGCATCTAAAAGTAAAAAGGTTCAACGAATAAAACACCACAATTCCTCGACAGCAGAAAATTGCGGCCATGCCCAAAAACATGTGACCACGCCCATAAAAATATGTTGCCACGGCCACAAAATTATTTTGGACGGCCACTTTTGAAATCCTCGCTAACACCCTGTTTCCCATTTCTAAATATCAAAGAATGGGAAACATCATGTCCAAATCACTTGTTCGATATATCAATTGTATTAAATAAACTGTCAAGTCATGCTCGTTGTTTCCTAATCTAGGAGCAAACAACTGGCGCACGAGAACAATGCTCCGCAGCTGTAGATAGTTTAAGTGAGCATACAACATTACTTGAATCAGAACGAGATGCGGGTCAGAAAGCCTTGACAAAATTGGAAGAAATGTTATCTACCTCAAACGCGGAACAAGAAAAATCTTTAAATTCTTCAGAACAAGAACGGTAATACTTTGATATTGTTATATTATAATCATAATAAAGTTATCGCGGTTTGGCCAATAGGAAACATTCAATATTTGTATGGGATCCAATTTTTATAGGTAGTAGAAATAAACTACTAGTACTGTTTGTACGAAGACCTTTGTAAAAATGCTTGAAAAACTGCGAAACTACGGATATAGACGACACAAGAAGTATAAAAAACATTTAATTTATAAATACTGAACTTTAATGTGAGTTATACCAATCAACGACTGATTTAACAAAGTTTGAAAAAATCACTATCCCGTGGATAGCGCTATCCGGCCTTCGTACAACCGGCCCCTGTACGCTAGTTTCGGTCGAAACTACTGAAAAACATTCCAACGTTAAGGCGGTTTTCCACTAGGCGAAATTTTTCGACCGAATCGAAATTTCTCTTTGTTTCATGAGCTCTCAAGCAGAACTAATTGTAAAAAGACAAAGAGAAATTTCGTTTCGGTCGAAAAATTTCGCCTCGTGGAATCCGGCCTTAACGAGTCCTAAGGCCGTTCCTCTGGAGGTTAGCCATCCATACGATTACCACGTCCGATGCCACACATTTTGGCCGATACCAATACTCATACCGATACTTCACTTTAATTAATGATCATGTCACATTAAAACAGCAATGACGTCATCAAGTTTAATAAAAGTGATCGTGAACTAATCACGAATCTAGCCCCCTCCGCAGGCATCGCCTTTCGATTATCGGGCAAAATTTCTTGCAGGCAAAAAAATTACGACTTTCTAAGTACGTGAACTACGAGATGCCTGCGGACATAGTTAATATAGACTGACCTCTATATTAACTATACTGCGGAGGAGGCTATCACGAATCTAATGTGCCTTATACAAATACAATCGCGAGCTCCAAGGTGGAAATGTGAGTTAATGTAGCCACCATTCTACATTTGTTTGCGAAATATTGCATGCAGAGCGAAAACGCCCTGCATTTCTATTTTTATTAATTATCTACCTTCCTTATCTGAACGATTTCATGACTCAAGACGTTCCACAGACAGGGCTGGTGACAATCCATTCCAAACAGTGGGGGTGGACAAAATGAGAGTCCATTCAAAACAGTGAGGGTGGACGAAACCGTCCAACAGATATATGTAATTTATTATGGATTATAATGTTAAGACTGCCCAAAACGTGAGGCCCAGGATTGACGCCCGCGTGGTATCAGAACTTCGAAAAGACGTGAAAGTAAGAGACTTGAATCCGTGGATATGGATACTTGTTAGTCTAACAGCCTGGGGCCGGTTATTCAAAAGCTGGTTAGGCGTAAAAAAAAATACCTGTGGTTCCGGTTCCCGACCGACCCTATTTTTTTCTGCCGACCCTATTATTTTTTCAACGCGATTGACCGTGCGACCCTATTTTCTCCCGGTGGTTGCGGGCTGCTCATACAGCGTGCCAAAATGGCGTTTGTTGTCACACTAATTATTGAACCAAATTGCCTAAATTCGTCCATAGGAAATACGCATCTCTAGTTAATATTGATGTCGGGACTCTACTGCAAATCGCCCAGCAAAAAACCGCCAAAACCATGAAAAAAATATTCAAAAAAAAAATTTATTTCCGACCTACCGACCCTAAGTTTTTCACGATATGGAACCGGAACCACAGGTATTTTTTTTTACACCTTAGCTTAATCCTATAGGTTAACGCAAATTTCAAAGCAATCTTCCCAACAGCCTGTTTAGAAGCATGAAGATAGTTTTCCAAAATTCATGTCTGGATCAATAGAAGTTTTATTTTCCAAAATTTTGAAATAAACACATGTGCAAATGTACCCAAACTAAAACAGCGGGTTAAATTTTAACCCAGCCCCAGGGTTAGCTCTAATCCTGTTCAAAGCTGGATTAGATTTCACTAAATAGACCTTTCCCCTTTTAAGTGAAATTTTGATCTAGACAAGTCTGGACAAAAATTTCATCACAGCTTGAAAGAGCATCACAAAATTAGTAATATTCCGAAGTTTCGTTGCGAAATGTTGTAAAATGCAGATAATATAGCCTTGCGAAGTTTGCCGTTTTTCAGTCATTTTGTATTACAAACGGGAAATTGCAGTCCCAACACCCGAATCGTATGTCAATTTCCCGTTTGTAACACAAAATGACTGAAAAACGGCAAACTTCCCAAGGCTATATTATCCGCATTTTACAACATTTCGCAACGAAACTTCGGAATATTACTAATTTTGTGATGCTCTTTCAAGCTGTGATGAAATTTTTGTCCAGGCATATCTAGATCAAAATTTCACTCAAAAGGGGAAAGGTCTATTAAACACTATGATTTGTATAGATCTCAACAATCCACGAGTTTTATTTTACTTTTCAGGATGGATTCGTTTTACAACTTTGTGACATCATGTGGTCTACGAGTTGTAAATTTTGCAGAAAACTGGATAGAGATAGAAATTTCAGACATATATGACAGTCAAGATGTATCGACCTTGCTACTTACTGTACATTTTGGTGAAGGTGATGATCCCGTTCCTGTTGAAGATGTAACGGTAGGGTCACTTTTAGTGTTAAAGGTTTTCGCAGATAGAAGATTTGATACATTTTTAGACCTAACCAGGGGCACCTCTAGAGACTATAGATGCCGTACTGCCTCGCAGGTAAACTCTCATTATCTGAATACCAGACCTGACCGTAAGATAAACTTAAATGTAGTTGCTCTACCAGGTGTACGAATTAGAGAGGTGTCCGTATGTAGAGGTCAATCTTCTCCCGGTCGCAGCGGGACATACACTAACCATTCTTCCAACGTTTATTTTCAGGCAAACTGTTCAACGTCTTTTATTAAAGATCTAATTGATCATTTGAAGTCAACTCATGAACTGAAAGTTTTCAATTTTGAAGTTCAGAAAAGATTTCATAATCACGTGAAGTTATTGAAAGAAATGAAATTGTTGCAGAAAAGGTATTGAACAATAATAACCAAACTTTAATAATTATACGATTTTCAGTATAAAGCATCATGTATGCAGGGCGCGAACGACATCACAAATCTAATGTACAAAGCCTATAAAGCATTCTGCATTGTCAAACTTTAATTTGAAAATATTTATCGACGCAGATAAGAAATATCTCAATACATGCATGCATTTCATTTAGATTTGCAATTGACTGGAATGAAGACGAGCTGGTAGTGAGACTTATGCTTGGAAAAGCTGGTCAAATAGTTTGTAATTTGAAGGTAGAAAATGAATATCCTACTAATGGAGATGCCAGTGTGGAAGAAATTCATGGTGCGGACCCGGCTATTATATTTCAAGATAGTTTGGTGAGTGATTCACATGTCAGTGGTGCATATGGTTACTAGTGCCACCCCATCTGGTCAATCAAATACTAAGAAAAGCTAAAGCTGGAGTAATACGGGCAACAAAATTGCTGCAACTTGCAACAAAATCTGATTTCAACGCATGTTAAGTAGAAATGTCGACACATGTTGCCTTGTGATTTGTAATTCTGTTTCGTCATTGGTCTTGGTCGCTACGGAGTCATATGACGTAATATGAGAAAGCGCGCGAACCGGAAGATCAGTTGTGCAAGAACCCTTGCAAGGTCAGTTACGAAGAAAAAGCAGAGAAATATTTTACATTTATTACTGCAAGAACGTTGAATTATGGATGAAGAGAACAACCAACTAGAACAGGAAATCACTTCTGCAGATCAGGAAGAAGATCTACTTGCTGAAGGCGATGAAAATGTCGAGGAAAATCCAGAAATAGCCAGACGCTGGCAGAAATCGTTAACCAACGTTGGTCGTCAAAATTAGAAGAGCCTAAATTAACAGATAAAATGGATAAATATGATCGGCCAAAAAATTGTGAGAAGCTCACTGTGCCGAGGGTAAATCCTGAGATTTGGTCAACACTAAACCATACGGTTCGTGGTTCAGACCTAAAATTAGTGAATTTTCAGAAAACGCTTGTCAAGGTTGGGGCACAGGCGGCCCAATCTCGCAAGGGTCAGTATAGACTTCATAGTATAAATGTATATTATATTATATTATATTATATTATATTATATTATATTAATGTATATTATAGTAAAAATATGTCGTAAAATATAAATTTTAAAATGAAATTGACTTGCCTATTTGATAGTGTGTGTTCTCCTTTTATTCCTCCTTTGTTGGACTAATATTTTCCGAGACTTTGTACTCGATGTTACTAGTATACATGAAACATGATAAAGGCTAACTATTCCCGATCGTCGATACGACGGCACGGCACTTCGAATCGAAAATTTTCACACTCAAATCGCTTTATTCTCCAAAAAATTCGCCAGCATGTACAACAAATGCCGTTCTTCGAAAATACAGAGGTACTTCGGCGAGATGTACAAGTTTTGGACCATATTTTAACAATGGAAATCAAAACCCATTTTATATTGAACTCGCCCAGGCCGAAAATTACTACGGCGAACGTCTGCGCAACCAGGCCTCCTTTACCGTTAGATTTACAGGGGGGAGGATGCCACTAATATATTCACGATAATATTTCGAATTAAAGTATCATATTCTACCTTGCTTTCCAACAAAGAGCCGCTGTATATTACTTCTTCCTTAAATTTCTTCAATCTCCGTCGTTTAGTTTTCGTTTCTTCGACAACATCTCGAGTTTTATACAGTATACGATCCGATCGAAGGAGTTTTTATTTTGAATATCAAATTTCAAATAATGTAAATAGTCGCTATCGCGGCCGCGATTGGCTGGCTGTTACCGGAAATATCTGCTCCCCCCCTGTAAATCCAACGGTAAAGGAGGCCTGGTTGCGCAAACGTTCGCCGTAGTAATTTTCGGCCTGGGCAAGTTCAATATAAAATGGGTTTTGATTTCCATTGTTAAAATATGGTCCAAAACTTGTACATCTCGCCGAAGTACCTCCGTATTTTCGAAGAACGGCATTTGTTGTACATGCTGGCGAATTTTTTTTGAGAATAAAGCGATTTGAGTGTGAGAATTTTCGATTCGAAGTGCGGTGCCGTCGTATCGACGATCGGGAATCGTTAGCCTTTATCCAACCTCGTTCCCAGGATCTCTCCTTCTGTCATCTGGGAGAGACCCTGGCTGCGGCTGGTCACGTGCCTCCCAGATTCTGGGAGGTAAATTTAATTGTAACTGTGAGAGGGGTGGGAAAGGAGCGTGTTTGTAGCGTTTTAAAATTGCAACTTTGGGTGATGAAATTTACTGTAAATTTGCAACAAGAAATCGTAAAGAGAACTCTTCAATTAGTATTTATATCGTGACGCTCTACTCTATAATCTGGTGTCGAGTTACAATTCAAGCAAGTTGGATCAGATTTCAAACTCAACTTATAGACTTGCCAAAGAAAGCACGCTTGCCGCTTGCGTGGCAGCTGATTAAACCTACAAGAAAATATAGATCTCTAGACCTAACAGTGTGGTTGTTATTTATTTAGTATTAATGTCTATCCTGATACTCGGACCAAAAGAATTTATTTATTGATGAGATGTGGAATTGCAACGAAATAGCGAAATCTTTTGATTTCCGAAATATCGCCAACTGTATCCAGATTGTTGATCTATATAAAGGCCTTATCAAAAAAACTTAAAGCCCGTCAAAACACTATAAAATTGGCCCTTGGCATTGCTGAAACCAACGATCATGGTATATGTCAAAGTATAGTTGAAAATCTACGGTATTAAAATCATACACCAAAGATAAGTCAAACGACAAATTATATGTCACTATATTATACATGTCTTTCAATGAGCACTGTTTAGTAGTGTTCACCACCTTTATAAATTTTGTAAACAGCTTTCGTTTTGACATGAATAAGCTTTGATTTTTTGCTGTATATGCATTCTTAATAATACAAGTGAGATTTAAATTTTTGCTTTGACGTCTTTGTGAAATAGAATACCGTTATTTTTTAATGGACAGCTTGCATCGTGTATATCATATCCAGGATTGCTTGTGTGTAAACGCATTATTCAGTATATGACACTATCAAATAAATATATGTAGTAAATGATTAATGAATTAGAGATAAACAGGTGATTCTCAATGAAAACTTTAAAAGTAGGCTAGAAAACTCGAAAATTTATGTCTATTCGTATGATGCCAATGACGGTCTGCATGTGCGCATCTGACACTGTAAATTTGTGATATATAGATTATAGTATGTTAACACAGTATAATGATTAATAGAGACCCAAAAAAGGCTAAAGTCATACTATAATTACCGAATACGAATTATGTACTAAATCCAGATAAACCAATGACTGAAATTTCCTCTATAATATAGACATTTCTCCTCTGTTCGGCTATTATCAAATGTTTACATTTGCTAATATTGGGTCAGTCCTAGACATACTGATTACTGTTTCTTTTAAAAAATGTTATCTTGTAAACAAGACGCGTAGTAACAAGTGAATCGGTACAAAGCGTATCAACGTTTACAAGAAAGGGCGAATGTAATGGTGTATTTTAAGGTTTGTTATAACCGCGCTCGATTGTGAAGAGAGCATGCATTGAATAACAACACGAGAGAGCATGTACTGCGAGTAACGATTTGCTTTGTTTCTTGACTTGACTGTAAGTAAGAATGTAAGAATGTTCTTGTAAATAAACAAAAATTAGCAAGTATTTTGAACGTAATAATTCGCAAAATTTATGTTTTTAATTAACGAATATCCCACTGGAAGCATGTTTATGTAATTTGATACTTTCCCCACACCCCCTCAGGCGCTAAATTTTTGATGAGGCACGTGACCAGCCGCAGCCAGGGTCTTTCCCAAAGAAAGATCCTGGGTACGAGGTTGATTGTGATCTTACCGTTTCTATATGCTTCCGACAATTTTGCTGACACTTGCTTATACCGTGCAATTGATAAATTTGAATAAGTACATGCCACTATTGCTCACGTTTACGGTACGGAAAAGAACAAAGATAAAACGTATGAAGTTGTCCTTCTACAGCATAGTGTATTAATGATATGTTGGTTTGTGTGCATGTATCTGTATTAAAAAGTAAAGTCAGTAGTTAAAAACAGAGTAAGCCTATATGGACTCTGTTTTTAACTAGATGCTTTTTATACACACAGTAGCTGCAAGGTAACCATGCATGATTATCACTTATGATTTATTATATATAGCTAATTCAAAAAAGGCTGTCCTTCAATATGATGGGTAACTTTTATTTAGAATCTCAATGTTCGAATGATCAGTTAGTTTTCACATATCGTGACAAAAATGCAACGGTACGATTTGGAATTCTAAAGTACATTTATTTAAAACCAATAATGTATATAATGTATATTGAATTTTACTATTTCTGGATTCTGTGAGGAGTGCAGAGAGCTAGACAATGGGGAGCTCTATGAATTACTGCATACCGTACACATATACTTCTTTATTCAGATTATCTTTGATGAAATTAGAAATTACAGCGTAGAATATGTAGTACGATATAAGCCCGTAAATTGTACATATATAGAAACATAGCCATAGGGGATATATGAAATAGTATAAAGAATATAAAATAAATTAAACAAAAAATGCGATGTATGTGGGTGTATATCGTTTGTATGCAACATGTCTGTAATGCGGTTTGGCTGTAATAACGATGACTTTAACTTCTAGCTGAACAGCGGGTATATAACATCATTATATGTAAACAAATTTTAAAGTAATTATAAAGATCAACAAACACTATTGAGCAACTGACTTTTTACATAATTTGTTACCCTAAACAAATGGTCTGCAATTATCAAGCAAAATAACAACCTCATACCCAGGGTTTTATCTCCGCTCCCTTTGGCAAAACACGACTATCAATTTTGCTTCAATTACAGCACTTAACTTAAACACGATCTATAACCCTGAATCAGTGACCACATGTTGTTGGAAGGTCTATTCAATCAATTTGTCCTCACGATAACTCCACGAAAAAGTCAAGCCGGCAATTACCCCCCAAATGTGATAAAACACTACATTCTAGTTATTGCAAAACCTAAACACTAGTCGTGACATCCATTCGAAAATATATTTATTCCATGTGATTTTGTAGATTATATATACCACCCTGCATCTAGAATTAAGAAGGGACACCACCCACCTACCCACTCCCCCCCCCCAGAAAAAATCCTCAACATAATAACACTTGGTATTTCACAAACCTTCCCCCACTGTGTGGGCAGTTTGTTCAGCTGTTGATGTTTCTTCAAACCGCATCAATGAAAATCAGCATGAGAAATAATTGATCCTATAATGCATCTATATATTCAATTCTTAATGTGTGCATCTGGATACGCATACGAATTTTAAATGTTTGATGTTTCCAAACATAATAGTGCTTACCTACTATAACCGCCGTGTTATAAATAACTTTGGAGCAAAATATAGATATATAAAAAGCACAAAACCACCATAATTGGAAGCGCTACTCAAAGTTACACGTGCCAGATGGAATTTATATTTTGCACAGACTACACTATTATATTTCGTACAAGCAGCTGAACCTAATTTGCATGCATGCATTGATATAATAACAGAATCGGCTAATGGTTTGTTGACATCGTTCCCACTCCTTAGTATTTATACATAAACTTGTGGTTAGAGCTTTGTAGCTCAGTTGGTTAGATCGCAGGGCTGCTTGGTCAGTTCCTGCCAGAGGGGCTTGGTGTTAAATCGAGTAAAATCGTTATTAAATCTTTATTCAGTTGAATCGAGTCATGATGCCCAAAAATGCTAATTGTTACCCATACACCTTTATATCATGGCATCACTTTAGTATTTATACATGAACTTGCGGTTAGAGCTTTGTAGCTCAGTTGGTCAGATCGCAGGGCTGCTTGGTCAGTTCCTGTCAGAGGGGCTTGGTATTACTAAATGTATAAAATTTATACTCGAAATTTTCATCCACAACATCCTTCAACATCAGTTGAATCAAATGAGATGCCCCAAAATCCTGATATAGTTACCCATACACCTCATCATGGCATCACTTTAGTATTTATACATGAACTTGCGGTTAGAGCTTTGTAGCTCAGTTGGTTAGATCGCAGGGCTGCTTGGTAGCCTTGGTCAGTTCCTGCCAGAGGGGCTTGGTATTACTAAATGTATAAAATTTATACTCGAAATTTTCATCCACAACATCCTTCAACATCAGTTGAATCAAGTGAGATACCCAAAATCCTGATAGTTACCCATACACCTCATCATGGCATCACTTTAGTATTTATACATGAACTTGCGGTTAGAGCTTTGTAGCTCAGTTGGTTAGATCGCAGGGCTGCTTGGTAGCCTTGGTCAGTTCCTGCCAGAGGGGCTTGGTATTACTAAATGTATAAAATTTATACTCGAAATTTTCATCCACAACATCCTTCAACATCAGTTGAATCAAGTGAGATACCCAAAATCCTGATAGTTACCCATACACCTCATCATGGCATCACTTTAGTATTTATACATGAACTTGCGGTTAGAGCTTTGTAGCTCAGTTGGTTAGATCGCAGGGCTGCTTGGTAGCCTTGGTCAGTTCCTGCCAGAGGGGCTTGGTATTACTAAATGTATAAAATTTATACTCGAAATTTTCATCCACAACATCCTTCAACATCAGTTGAATCAAGTGAGATACCCAAAATCCTGATAGTTACCCATACACCTCATCATGGCATCACTTTAGTATTTATACATGAACTTGCGGTTAGAGCTTTGTAGCTCAGTTGGTTAGATCGCAGGGCTGCTTGGTCAGTTCCTGCCTGAGGGGCTTGGTATTACTAAATGTATAAAGTTTATACACATCAATTTTCATCCACAAAATCCTCCATTCAACATCAGTTGAATCAAATGAGATACCCAAAAATCCTGATATTTACCCATACACCTTATCATGGCATCACTTTAGTATTTATACATGAACCTGTGGTTAGAGCTGGACAACTGGACTATGTAGCTCAGTTGGTTAGAGCTGGACAACTATCGCAAAGCCACAGGTTCGATTCTGAACCTATAGAGTATTGTTGTATTTTTCACAACTGTTCCTGGTTAGGGCTTAATAAATGTATAAAATTTACACTCAAAATTTCCATCTAGAAAATCCTTTATTATTCCTATTATTATTTCATCATAAAAATGCTGAAAAACTCAAAATAATGTTGATTACATCACGCGCGGTTTTCTCCATTAAAAATCTGTGGTTGACTATAATTAATAATTCAAAACAGAACACCTTTTGCGATATGGCAGCAGAATTGATTTCTATTATCGTGGCCTTCCCACGTTGTTTCATTATTTTTCACGAGACATTTGATCTTTCCACACCAGTTACAAGTTACAATCACACGGGAAGTCTTCGCTATGAAACCTGATCTTGTATCGCTATACAACAAAGCGGTTTCAACCGGGAATACATAAGGATTCCGACTAGCTGTCATACGTTATCAGGTATAAGGAAGAAACACTTGAGACGCTTAGCAGAAAACGCCCTGTCATCTGACCAACGAAGCTTCGTGGGATCGTTGAGCACAGCTTTGGATTAGAAAAGCAAACGTGTTAAGTTTTATTCGAGCTGTTCTATTATTGAAACATTGAATCAAACTATCAAAATATTACATTCTCAACTGGTGTCGGTTACGCACTGAACTCTTAAGATATCGGACCCTCCTCAGTCAACAGTCAATACTTGGCGAGACATACGTCTTTGATTCAAGTTTGAAAGAAAGAAAGCTTTAAAATAGTGCTATAAAATTCACAATTTTGCGGAAACTTGTGGTATATTTGTTTGCGTGCTGTAAACAAAGGAACTAAATCTCTGACAGTGGTATCGGTGAAAGGATCAGGCATTCCGTTTACAAGTTGTCGGCGTAGAAGAAACATAGTAGAACACTCTACATCTTAGTAGATTACTCTACATGTGGCAAAAGGTTCACACAGTGAAATTCAATCTTATATAAACGACGAGACGAGATTAGTACTCAGAATTTCCCATCGTGTGACTAATCAACTTCGTATTAAATTACGTTGTTGTCGCGTCGACGTTACAGACAGCACTAAGCTTGCTTCGAGCACTTGCGAAAAGCTATAACTTTTAAACTTTACAGAGCACAGTTTAAATTTTACGTGAAAAGTATCAAACTCGCGATGGTAAGCGAACAAGTATCGGATTATTCAGACCTTACAGCCGGCCAGTACGAGGGAAAAGTGTTAAAACGTGAGAAGAACTACAAGTGGCAGCCGTACTGGTGTGTGTTGTATGGCCGTCAATTGACCTTCTATGATGATAGCCAGAAGAGTCACGTCGCTGGACGGATTGAGATTCAGCCTGGAAGCCGATGTGACAAAGGCCAACCAAAGAGCAAAATCCCTTGCCTTTCTGAGCTGCTTCATCGAGACTTTACGAAACTCAAGAAATACTCACTGAAACTTAAAACCAAGAAGGGGACACATGTGTTTACATATGAAAATGTGAAGGAACAAACTCGATGGCAAATGGCGATGAACAATGCATCACAAATTAACGCAAGCGGGGTGCGACTTTCGTGGATACCTACACCATTCTCGATGGTGAATTCACCCGAAGCTGTTCAAAACAAACGCTTAAGTCTATCACGCACGCCTCGAGACTGCAACTCAAACAATGCACGAACCTCCGAAGACGTAGAGATATCATTGGAAAATCGTTCGACACCAAAAAGCAAAGTAAAATCCAAGCATGATGATACGCATAACTTAATTCCTGAATCTGATTCGGAAATGACGGACGGACATGCCTATACGAATCCCAGTCTACAGAAAGAGGTGGTCACCAAATTATGACGTCATCAATATTTTCAACAAAGAAGTGTTTACTAAATCAAAGCCGGGCTTATATTGAGCGCAGTTTTGAAATGCTTGTCATTCTTAGAAGGTTTTCTCTTGCCGCTAAGGATACAAAGGTATAAATCCAACCATCTATTTCACTGATCTGTGATAAGTTGTTTTCAAGATCATTTACTATCTAGATCATTTACTATCAATACTATCTAGGTTAATTTAAGTTTAATTACTATTTGCTTGTTTGTTTCAAAACTATCCCTGCAGAGTTGATTCAATGAACAATGCTCAATTCTAGTTCAAGATGTTGGATTTATAATTTTTTGTACATTTAATTAAACATTTTCTAGCCTCCTCCGCAGGCAGGTGATTTTTTCAATACCCGTTCGCAGGCTAAAACCCATAGAGAGGTCTGCGGATCGAGGAGGCTAAACATTTTCACACTTTGGTGTGAAATTTAACAGATGCTCACGAAAGGTCATCCAAAGCCGCTATCCAAAGCGCAAAATAGTTAAGTTAAAGTAGGGTAAATTTGAAAGACATTCATAATTCTCAAAGTTTGGAATGGAGTCAGTTTGCAGTCAGGAGTTTGATATTGGACACTTTATTAGACTAAAAATAACACTTTTCGTTAAGAAAAATTCAGAACTACTAGAATGTAGAGAGCGTTTGTGTATAGTATTTTGTTTATAATAATAGTAAAAAAATTACGCAAATAATTTACTTTAGGAATATATTAATTATGTACACATATCTGTATGATCATGAAGTAATTTGTTTACAATATTAGTAAAGAAAATTATGTTAATTAACTGACTCGTACCCAGTCCCCGAATGAGGATTGGAAAAACAATGGTGCGTGATGGGAATGCACCACAGTCCACTGATCTATATATATACTCATAACGAGTCAGGTATAATAATATACATCTATTTTATTAAAACATACCTAAATCATAAAAGTAATAAAAATTGAAGAAAAAAGCTAAATTTTCGGCTGCAGCCTTCGTCTAAGCAATGTGACTAGAAGTTAATCTGAATTGTTGTTATGATGTCTATTGTTCCTCTTGGCTCTTTTACTGCGTAACAACAAATCATCGACCCGTGCCAACAAGTCCTTACCATCTTATTATACATATGTTTAGGTTATTGCATGGGCGCGCAAATTTTTGACAGCGAAAATGAGCAAGAGGCAAACGAAACGTTGCAAGCAAAATTTTGCATTAATCTTTCACCCATTCGAAAACCCAAAGGGTCCGTGACAAAGTAGAACGCGTTGTACACTCCTGACTTCTCATTGAGTTCAGTAGGATCACACTATGCGCGGATTAAATTATTAATCAGCCGACCTGCTGGTTCAGCTTGTGTCTAGAAAGAAGCGAGGAAAGGAGAACTCAGAGGTTTCAAGATTATTGATCATGGATATGTCGTTCTGATTGACTGGCTGTATCTGTCAAGATGTAGTATGCCGTATTGTCTAAAACAACGCAGCAGATATTGGCCAGATATGGGCAAGTATCGCAATTGTATTCACTAAGTGTTTTGTAATCACTAAACCGCAACGCCGACTCGCATCCGGAGACCCGAATACTGTCAGGTATTCTAGCAAGTCCTTGTCGAGGGTTCTCTTTGGTTTCAATAAGTATATACTGTAGCTTTCGTAAAACCATGTTGCTGTTCATTACTAGCTAAAGAAAAAAGCATTCTTTCTTGAAAATTGCCAGCAAAGCAATTTTTATTCTAAGACCTGAAACAGTGATGAACGATCTTGTTGTCTGGCTTCAAATGCGTACATATAGAAAACCTTGATTTTTTGGTATTGTACTTTTTTTAAAACACAAAATCGTCTGTATTCAATGTACGTTTAAATTTCAAGATCAGTTTATACTTATAATTTGGAACGTTTGGTGGCCTTTCGCTTGGTTTTAACTTTGGTTTTGAGTGTAATCAAATTCCCGGAAGTTCAAACGAGATACCAGAATGAGAATTTTGAACATGCATGTATCTAACACAAATTTCTGTAATGTATTCCTATATATTGGAGTTAAATTGACAGATTAATGTTTGTGGAAAACCAACAATCGCAAGGAATAGGCATGGAATACAAGTGCTTTCGGTTTTTATTTTTGTTTCTGATATTTGATAGCCTTTATATATTCACCCTGCTGACAGGTTTATGGACCATATATAGCCTGCATAATATTGTGTTTACCTATGGTTTAATGTATTAATTTATAAGGCACTGGTAGGCAACATCCCAAAAACTTACTGCGAAGGCCAGACAAATACACAATATAAGCCGAGCCATATTATTGATATTCATTCTTAATTCAAATAAATATATATTTAGCCTTCCTTATATTTACTTATACAAGTATACGATTAACACAAATAATAAGCTAGTAAAATATGCACTAGTGTACACAAGGAATTGTTCGCGTCTCCCAAAGATTTGAACGAAATTTGGACACATTGCGGTAACGCACAAATTGTGGGAGGAATTTCAATTTACAAACATGGATAATGCTTGGGGAAGACGAAAAAATTAAAGAAATGTCGCTGTTCGACTTTTAACTTACAACTTTGTACATAATACAGCTCAATTTCAATGTTCAGTCTAAATGCATTGGTTTCAAGGTAGAATGTGAAGACATGATAACAAGTATTCAGCTAAATCACATATGACAAATTATAGCTCAATTTTATCGTTGAAGCACACGGTTGCTCGGTTATTATGCTTTGGTGGTTATTATGAATGTCGACAATGGGGCACTTTGACCTTGACATGACAGCTGATTTAAGGTAAATTTGCGATATTCATTATACTATATTTCAGAATTGCCAAGAAACTCAAAGAGTATAAAACATTCAGTAAAAGAAATCCGATGTCTCTCTGCGACATAAGCGATGTTTTATCACGCGTTTTATTTGTTACGAAGAATATAATGCATTTGATTTTCAATGAGGCAGCTAAATTCACTTCATATTTGAAGTTAGTACACAATCACAATACGTAAAAGCACTATATAGGCCAATTAAGACGTTAAACGGATCATGAAGTACAACGGCGCATATTGGCATATATGCAAACATTTTATCATATCAGTAATAGACGCTGGTCGCAGTCTACTATAGTCTGTATTCTCAGTCGAACACCGACATTTCTTTAAATTTTTGCGTCTCCCAAACAATATCCATGTTTATAAATTAAAATTCCTCCCACGATTTGTGCGGTTCACAATAGAGAGGTTAAGATTCCCCGGTTTCGGTGTACGGGTACGAGTAGTGTCATCTTGTTTTACTGATGTCTGTAATTCGATCATACTTTTTCTGTTTTCTTGCAATAGACAATGATATAATGCGAAAAATGTGCACCTTAATTACGAGTAAAGGTACAGATATCGACGAAAATATTGCTAACCAAAATCATGCTACTCGTACCCGTACACCGAAACCGGGGTATCTTAACCTCTCTAATGTGTCTAAATTTCGTTTAAATCTTTGCGAGACAAGAGCAATTCGTAGTGTGTAATATACAGGGTGTATCAGAAAAAAGTATACAGATGCGCGCGAAATTTGCGAAAACTTTCAGTCAGCCA